AACCTCTTCCTTGGGCGCCCGTTCGTTCAACGTGGCGGCTAGTGCGTTCACGCTACGCACCAACCGTTCCCACGCACCTCCCATGAAGGGTGCGCTCGGGGAATGTAGCGCCACCGGATGAAAACTGATGACTCTTCTTGGATGGCTTCCTCGCAGACGTCAGCACCTTTGAACCATAATTCCGTGGGACACCCTCTGCGGCTTAATTATGGCGGAGTCCGTGCTGACCAAAAACCATTCTGGTGAAACGGTCATAGGCCCGAAGTAGTTGAACGTGAACGGTCGTTGATGATGCGCCAGCCTGCTCTGTGGATGGTTGCCCGTTGAAGGCGGCACAGCTGACACCTTTCACATGTTGTCGCACCTCGTTCGTGGTGATCTCGAAGCCGCCGTGGTGAAGTTTCCGATGCACCCATGCGATGTATAGGCGCACCCAGGCGTGGTTTCCGTCGACGATGGGGGCTCTCGTTGCTCGGCTGAATCGGCGGCGGCTGCTATTCTCGATCGAAGTTGTCGTCGTTGTCTAACGACTGACAGCTGTAAGTCGACTTGACGGCAGCTGTTTCCCATGTTTCAATGCTGCGATATTCGTATCGCGCGAATCCATAGTCGAGGTGTGTGTGTCTATGGGGATGATATAGATACTATTGCTGTTCTTGATTTTCATCTTCGTCTTCTCTCTATCGACTTTCTTCGTGCGGGTCCAAGTGGGGTCGGCGCTCTCTTTCTATGCCATCTTCCATGGTAACCACTCGCTCGACGATCCATTGAAGACTGGCAACTCGGTGACTCTTGACGCTGTGGAGGGCAGTATGTTGCGAGCGGCCATCTGCATGGCGATCGCAAACTCATTGCAATCGATGCCCACCTTCAGCACCGGTTCTTCTTTCTTCATCGACTGCATCGCTGCTGCTATCGTAGGCATGGCGGCATGCGGGTCAACGTGGCGTGCGTATAAATCGATGGGAAACCCCTGACGCTTGCCGGTGATTCTTCTATCTCTGGTACAAATGCTTCGATGAACCCAATCCGACGTTCGTTCTCTTCTGAGAGCGTCGTCGTCTTCTACTTCCTCGTCGTCCTCTGATTCGGCTTCCAGGGCGGCGATAAAGTAGCTTCTCCCGTGCCTTGGCCAGAGCCTTCTTCTTCTGCGAGGCCGTGGTGCGAACCGTGCGTGCCGTGCCGTGCTTCGGTTCCTTCTTCTTTGCTGTCCCCTCTGTCGTTCCTGTGGCTTCGGTAGTCTCCGTGGCTCCTGTGGTCGTCGTATCGCCGGACGTGTTCGTAGTCGATGTGGTGGCGGCGGTAGACGACGTAGCGACAGATGACGTTCTGACAGCCGCAGACGACGTGGTGGCAGCAGCGGACGGCGTGGCAGCGACGGACAGCGTTCCGGCGGCCTTAGTCGACGTGGTGGCGGCGGACGTTGTGGCTTCGGTGACGGCGATTTTTTGTTGCGACGACTTCATGTCTCTCGTATAAGCGATCCGGCTTCAGAATGGTATATATCCGGCTTCTTGATGTAAACGGTGTTCCTCCAAATCCGGCTAGGACTGCCGTTCGGTGAGCGTGGACTGTAGGGGCGTTGGTTCAGGCTGGAGTGAAACACAGCGATTACTATTCTGAAGCCTCCGGTAAAGAGAGTATTTTTTCTTCTTGTCCTATTTCTTCTCGAGTGTAGTGCGTCGCTTTTTTTCTTTATACCCGCCCGCTCGCACGATAACGTTTCCAACTCGCGTTAGCGAATCTGCGCGGGGGGGAGGGGCGAGAATGAACGAGACGCGTGTCTCTTCAGATCGGTACTCTATAGCGTTTATTTATTTATTGCAATTTACAATTTCTTAATTCTATTTATTGTTACAATTTCTATTTCTATTTGTAGGTAATAATGACAACACACAAAGGAATACTTTATTTAACTTACACTATAGGTATCTTAAATCTATGTAAATCTATATAAAATAACAGAATACAAAAAACGATTAAACTAGAAACCTAACAACTAACTATAAACATTGCTATAAATATCGCTATAATTACACATATACAAATAATGTCGCGAACACCATCCCTAAACTACCTGGTGGCAGAGTTTAACTTTTACTTCAAAAGTAACGTTAGACTAGGTTACTCATTCGTCATTCAGTGTTTAATAAAACAAAAATTGATTAATACTGTCTTATTACCCCGAATAAAATGAATTTCGCTTTATGTTTATTAATAACATATAAGTACAAATTTACACCGATAGATGGTGTTATAAAAGAAAAGGGAGAAATATATGAACATATTTTGTCATTGTTTTGTTAATGATGAATAAAAAATGTTATATATGGAAAATAGAAACAATCTGTTTTTTTTTTTTTAATAAAGGTCATGTTACTTGCTGATAATGTAGCTTTGGTGAAAGAATATTTAAAATTGGTATTTATTTTAATGGGTGAAAACGGAATGGTAACTCCGCCTGTGCTATCGGTATACGCTGGTGGGGAATCAGTGATAGATGATAGGCGAGCATGAAGGCAGGTCAGCTGGCCCTGTGTGAGGAATTCGACAAGAATTAAGCACGATTTCCAGGAGGAACCATGTGGAAGTCGACCTGATAAGGCATATTGCTAGCTATGGACTATTAGAGCCCATTACTAACAATCCGATTCTCCCCTGACTTTATCTATTCGATACAAAAAATCATTCTCCTTCATGAGATTAGTTTTTATGTAGATGTAATGTATTCAGTTTTTTTTTTTTTTAACGTAATGTATTCTAATGTATTTTTATTGATTCAACCGACTCGAGCTCCCGGATCTTACATTCTGGATTTATATTATGTTGTCCAATATCTTATTTATACCTACCCCTTATCGACTTGCTCGACTCGTACGTGCAATGTAAAGTATGACGTACGACCAATCTGAACCTTATTTTTATTAGCACAAGGTTGCACTTTACACCACAATTGCAAACATGTCGCACGCACAGTCAGCGTGAAATAATACTATTGTAAACAATAATGAATTCATTTGTCAGTACGGAATCAATTAAACGGTCAATATATCTTTAGAAATACTTTTCCAATATGTTTAGATGTCAAGACTTTTTAATGGATGGTAATGGAATGGTAACCCCGCCTGCGCTAACAATATAACGCTGGCGGGGCACCAGTGAGGGATGATAGGCGACAATAAAAAAGCTGGTCAGTTAGCCTATCGTGATGAATACGTCTGGAATTCAGCATGATGATTTCCAGGTGGGACCACGTGGAGGTCGACCTGACAAGGTATATTGATGGCAGTAGGAAGTTAGGAAATTAGATTAATCTTTTTCACTACGTTTTTACTAAACAGCTGTTTAATGGGTGATAATGGAATGGTAACACTGCTTTATCGGTTTACATTGACGTGGCACCAGTGAGAGAAGATGGACGAGAATCAAAGCAGGTCAGTTAGCTCACCATGACGAATCCACAAAAATTAACTACGATAGTTTCCAGAGGAAGCCGCGTGGAGGTCGACTTAATAGAGTACGAGTACATTGCTAACAATGAGGTTTTTAGATCCCATTACTAATAATTCCCTTCCCCCCTTACTAGACGGCCCTACTACCTAAAATATTGTTTATCTAATCAGTGTTTAACGAAACTCTAAGTGATTAAATATTGTAATTTATTTATTTGTAATTTTTCACGCCAAAATCTATAGACCATTATAATAAAATTTATTATTTTAAATACTTTTTATTTTCGTTTACATATACTTTCTTTGTGTTTAAATAGTTAGATGTTAGAAACGCTTTTGTAGTAAGTTACTTAAACATGCATTAAACAGCTGTCTATCGAAGTTTAATTGTTTTATGGTATGACGGATACAAACGATATATCTCGAGTCTGAACATAATTACCATACAACGCCATCTAGTGTTACAGCTGGTATATATTTTATAAATGCCATCATTGCTCAAACTAGAATACTCTGTACCAAATTATGAACATCTGTATACAGATATCACACGCAAATCAGAGGAAATTTTATAAGAATCTTATTGATATTTATTTTACTTAGACTAAGTACTTCAATATGAGTCGATCTATCTACTACTACTTAAAGATACTTTTTACTTGCTTCTACATAAGGTTTACTGTCTTGTATGAATGTTTATACTTACACCAGCTTTATGACGACACAGTCAGTCTCCTGATTTATTCACCCCTGGAATAGGTTGACTCCGACTATACTAGATTATTCCACGAATAGATTATTCTATGTACCCAGAATTAAGTGACCCAACAACGTAGTGAATCGTCATATACATACATGTCCAAGATACAAAAGTAGATTGAATAACTAGTTACAATGATTACATCATAATTACTGATAAGGAAATAGGTATAGTTAAATAACACAATAAATACCAGCCAGCAACTAAGTGTATCAGTAATAAAAACTTCAAGGAACCATTTACGCTATCATTTTTTTTGTAATATTTTTCAAAGCAGCTGATTTTCGGTGTGCTAACGAAACCCACAGCAACCGTGGGCACGCGCGCAGCCACATGTGCTTACGTCATCTACAGACTGGCCACGCCCTCTCTGTCGTCTCTGTCACTACGCATACAATAATCGACGTTCTCACTCTTCATTGCAGCGTGACTGATTTAATAATATTTTTTACATAAAGAACTTAATCACCGTACCTTAACGTTCATTGTTGTATAAACATAATACCAGACAGTTCAGTGTTTATATAGTTGTCTCGTTCGCACGGGTACTTTGGTCTCGCTTACGTGGTTACTTACAACTCCGACTGAGTTATGTTTTCCTGGTAGTTTACCGCCACGTATTGCAGCCGCCGACGAGCGGTTGACACGGGTTCGACAAGTACACCGACCGGTGCGGTCTGTATCAATAGGATTTTCTATAATGATTTTATTGATTTTTGTACGAACGATTAAATAAGCCATTTTTGTAATGATCCATTGACATTTCTAATATGTCACCTTGTTTACAGAGGAGGAGCCCAAATCGCCGGTTTCGGTGCGGGTAGTGACGGGATTGTCGGTAACACCGCGCAGCAACGGCGTGGTTAGACCAACGTCGCCGGTGCCGGTGGCACCCCCTTGCACGCCCGCGCCCTTGCTTGCTGCTGCCGCCCCTGATCCGGTCTCCTCGTTGGCTGCGACCGCCCCCGCTCCTCTTGACTTCGTACAAGAACATTCCAGGCCACGAACGACGAGTAATAGTCATGGGTACGTTCTGTATTCCTAGTACTAGCGGTGTCTAAAACAGCTGGGGATTCGCATCTTGTTTTTCGCAGTATAATAATGTGGTTGGTATAATGATGATGAGATAAAACTTTGTCAATTTTGCCAGCCTGTTAAAACAACTGCAAGAAAATGAAAAATAACGTCATCAAATTGGTGACCACCTACGGTATTCCATATTCACTAATACGAAAACATTAAGCAGTAATATTTAATAATGGCATTTGACTATTACTATTATTAATCATAGATTAAAGACAAAAAAATATATCTTTAAATTGTTGAAAATTTGCCGTAAAAATGGTAACCATCATTCATTAAAACAACTTTATCAAAATAACAATCCTATGGAATAGAAATGCACATATTCTGAGGTGGCTGACATATCTCCGAACCAACTCAACCTAATAATTTGATTTTATTCGTCGTCCCTTACGTACCTACGTGGCTACGCACTGTAACTTATGGGTGAATAATAACAATATCTATGCAAACTAGCCTCACAAATTCTATCATCAATCATTTATTATATTTTATAAGTAGTTACAACATATTCTGTACCATTTTGTAGTCCAGTCCTATTGTTAAAATTTTTATTTGATGAACTATATGAACTATGAATTAAATTATATTGTAGTCATATCTATCTATATTTTTAAAGTTTTCGTTGGAATAAAATTTACGTTGTGTCAAAATATTTTTTTATGGAGAATGCGAGTGATGTTTCAGATTTCAAATAATAGGACTTAATTATTTATCTTGATTTTTCCGATAAATTAAATAAAATAGTTAAAACGACAATAAAGATTTTGCGTTTCATAAATGCTAGATAAAATTTGTGGACGACATCAATAGAGAAAATTAATATAATAATTATAAATATAATATTTTTACTGATATTGTCGAATTCAAAGTTGTAATGCCTGTTTCACCGGATCTAAACTGGTAAGCGCCATTAAATATCAGTTTTAACTTATGATATTTATACGTATATATCTTGAAATAAATTAATATAAAATTAAATTCCTAAAAGTTCTTCTTTACAACCTTAAATTATAGAGTGTTTCTATAAAAATGCTTCGAGAACAATGGGTCAACTTTTTCATACAATTTTGCGTGATAAATAGTTATGAGTGATTCCTTTATAACTTCTATATTTATTTTGTCTTAAAATTTCCGCATTTTCTCAATGCGTAAATACTCATTTTATTTATTATATATTACATTAAGATACATTTTATGCGTAAATATATAGAATACTGATAATCGCCAATTTGACAATTAGCTGACAAAAAGTTGACAGTTTTGAGGCTCGATGCCTTTATCTATATAAACTAAGGTTACATCATAGAGGCAGAAAGCATGAGTTATTTTATGTGATATTGTATACAGATCTGATAATGTTTTTTTTTTTATGGGTGAAAATGGTATGGTAACGCCGCCTGCGCTAACGGTATACCCTTGCAGCGCACCAGTGAAGGGTGATAGATGAGAATGAAAACAGGCCAGTTAGCCCCTCATGATGAATTTATCAAGAATTAACCATGATGTTTCCAGGCAGAACCGCGAGGAGGTCTACCTGGTTGGGTATATTGCTAGCAATGGGATTCTCAGCCTCCATTACTAACAATCCCCTCCCCTTCACCCTGTTTGAGGCCAGTAGCACGAGGAAGCCATGCAAACGATTTAGTACAAAGTCTCCCTTTGGTGACATATGTAGTGATTATTGATTGCGTAAGGTAATCTACTAACGTCATCAACTAGTCTATCGTACTGCGTGCGAACATTGCCAAGTTTTGTTTCTCCCAAACAATCTATTACGTAAATCGAGATTACTCATTGTACTTTAGCAATATTATAAATGTAAAAGTAGAGATGTACTTAATTACGCATAAGTGGTTATCAAATAAAACCGTTCATACTAGATATGGGTATATGGATACCGATCCGATCGGGGTTGGGGCTTTTTGGGTTCCTCTGGACATTGAAGGCGAAAAAAAAGCCAAACCTATTTAGATATCACCCATATCGGACGGGTGGGATATTTTAGAATATGCTATTTTTATTATTTATTAATAAAAAAAAATCAATTACTATGAAATTGATATATAAGTACTTATATACGAAAACTATATCGACTACTTTTTATTTCAATCAGTAAATATATCCCGATCACGCGGACAAAGTTGCGGGTAGAAGCTAGTAAATAATAAAATCAATCACATATATTGTAAGTTGTTTATTTGTATTGACAGCTAATTCCGACGTTGTCACACTTCTGTTAGTTTCGGTACCGACGTTTTTAAAATTTAATTAAAAAGTAAATTCGCGGGTAGAAGGTAGTAGACAATAAAATCAATCAGATGTATTGTAAGTTGGATATATTGCTGTGTGTTCCCGGCATAGAATAGGCCATTCCTTCTTTTTCCGTATGTGTCATAAGAAGCGACTAAGGGAGGGTGCGAGATGGGCAGCAGTATCCCTCTTAAAACATCTCTAAAGCCTAACTGCGGTTGCCAATCCCCCTGTTAAGCGTGGTAACTACTGGCAAAACCCCCCAAGGGGGAGGATTATGTTCAAGAGTGGACAGTTAAAGGCTGATATGATGATGATATTGTAATTTGTTCATTTATCATTATTTAATCTTTGAATAATAATAATAATAACTGTATTGCATAACCATGATTGTAACAATCTCAGCACTGGAAATTACAGAATTCATTTGTACGTTTGGATCAGTTTAAACATCTGTGTCTGAACTAGGTTTATTGAATATTGACAGTTAATTCCGACGTTGCCACACTTCTGTCAGATTCGGTACCGACGTTCTTAAAATTTGACTGAAAAATAAGTTGCGTCCATTTATTCTAAGTTGGTACATATTTAAGCAGCGTCTCTTTACATTTTACTGCTTAATCTCGAGATTTTATGTAGTCACCTATCAAGACACATGCATTATTAATGAAGAAGATTTATTTCACATTTACCGGCCTTCTGACTGCATGCATAAGTAGGAACGATACCAATTATTACTGTGACTTTGTATGTGTGTGATCTGCCACAGCTGTGATGCATCTGGAACGTTCTGCGCCGTACCTACCAAGCTGTAATCGAATGTAAATGGGTCGTAATAGAAATTATAATCTATTGCATAGATGTATGATATAATCCAGGTATATTATTCCCGATTGCTGCCAAGGTTTGGATTTTAACTGATGTGGATTGAATAATCGATTAGATACTAGATAGATTACACAAATTGTGGCTTCCATTCGATCGATTAGATCACTCATTGTTCAATGTATTGATTCCATGGTATTATGATTGGAATGGAGTGCCAGAGTTGATCATATTAAAGTCATTCCAATATTTAGAATTTTCGAAATTGTGGCTGTTCTAAATCTATTTCTACTTATTTGTCAGACTCTATAAAACTATATCTGTGTTACCATAAAAAAATTAAACTTGCTATAGACATGTGTTCAGTACATATTTAGTCGGTTTACTATAAATATAAAATCTTTTCTAACATCTGTTTAAGTCGAAATAAAAAAGTTTCTGTAATTAAAAATAAAAAAATGTATATAAGTAATAAATTTTATTATATCTATCTACATATAAAGATTACTTTCAGCAATAAGACCGCCTTACTGTACTTGTACAACTGTATCGTACATTTATTGTCTTGCTTATTTCCTATATTGTATAATGCAAATAAAGTATACTTATTCATTCGTACATTTATAGAATTCTATAGACTTGACTAAACAATATTTATTAATTTAGACAGAGTTTCGTTAAACACTGTTTAACTAAACAGTGTTATAAATATTTTTTGTAGTAAGATCATATATCTTCATACACATAGCTTTATTAAAGAAGGCAGGAGAGAATACAAATATGTGAAAAAAATTATTTTTGCAAAGCAATGACGTCACTGCGATAGACGGGTTCCATATCCTCTTTCATTTATTATACCCTAGTACGTGAAAGCTCTTACTAGAAAGCTTCCCTCGCTCTCATTTTTCCTTGTTTATTTACGGAACATTTATGTAATCCATAATGGTTCGAAGAACACGTTTAGAAGTGAAGCTGGCAGAAAAGCGTTAAAATTAAAATAAACAAAGGAATTATTCGAAAATAAAATAAAAAATTTCGTTTTGTAAAAATCATAAAAGTTACGACGAACTTAATATGGGGGAGTAATTAAAGAAGCAAGCCTTATAAATTGTAAACTTAAATTTCCTAAATCAACTCAGTATTGGCAAAGATATTGGGTAACGTATACAAAAAAATACAGGCTAATTGTAAATCTCTGTTCTTCTTAATTCGCTTATTGAAATAGAAGAATAACTTATAGCAAAAGTTACTTTTAATTTAAGAAATTGTATTTATTTAAACACGTTTTAATTAAATAATTAATTAAAAAGTGTTATCTTACTAATTAAATAAAATTTACCACAGGGGGACTTTATACAAAAGTCGTTTGTTTGGGTACCTTTGTCTCATTCGTGTTTCTACCGTGAAGTAGCTGTGTTTGCATGGCTGTGTTTCGGTTTGAAGGGTAGGATATGGCAGTGAATTTACAGGGTACAGAGGAATAACACCTTAGTCCTCAGGAATGGCAACGCATGGGGGGTACCAGTATTATGGGCGAAGTGTATCTATCTATTTTACCATTCATGCGGGCAAAGCCGCAAATAAAGTAAATGTTTAAAACAAGTTTCACTCGTTCACAGGCCTCCCCAAATCCCCTCCCCACCTTCAGTGAGCAGCAATGGCAGCGGTAGCGGTAGCAGCGGCAGCAACAATAGCGCACCCCGCGCGGGCACCCGCGAGGTCCACAACAAACTCGAGAAGAACAGGCGGGCGCACCTGAAAGAATGCTTCGAGCTGCTGAAGAGACAACTGCCCGCCACCCCAGATGACAAGAAGACCTCAAATCTGTCTATACTCGGGTCAGCCATCAGGTATATTCAGGTTAGTAGGTATTATAACTTTTATCTATATATTAACACGTGAAGCGAAAACTTTGTACCCCTTTTTATGAAGATTGCGCAGACGGAGGAGTATGAAATTTGGCACACTTATAGTTTATATAGAGAAGGGGTACAGAATGCTAATATTTTTTTAACATTATGCATAAAAAATACATTAAAACAATAAAAAAAAAAAAAAAAATTACACACACTTCCATGTATTTGACATACATACGTATACATATATACTACTCTTTAGTTTATTGTTAAAATCTGTGGTCAAATTGAGAATAGATTAATATTTTTTGTCTATAATATTATTTGTCTATAGTGTTACTGAATGTCAAACATAACCATAATAAATTCATTTATTACAATATATGGTTATGGTCAAATTTCGACCACTGGACGACCACTAATAACTATTATTTTACACACAACCTTGTATTGCTTATTTCCTATTGCCACATACCAGTTAAAAAAATACGAGCAAACTTATAAATTGTTTCTTATAAAATTAGTATCATTTTGCAACCGTCAAGGGTTCATTGCCGGCATAATATTAAGAAATCCTCGAAACTCTATTAGAAGAAGCCGAAGAACATTCAAATAGCGTTTGCAACCTTTGCAACTTGTCACGTTATATTTTCTAAGGCTTTCTCTTGAAATGCCTATTAAGCAAAACAATACTGGCTACGGCAGTATGGTTCTTTCAAAATTCAATTATTAATAAGGCTTCAATGTTCGTAAGTCATTGCTCTTTACCGCCAACTTTCATGGAACACATTAAAGGTATTTATTCATTGCCTTTTTCAAAGTTCCCCGACCTTTTTAGAAAGGTTCAAGTTCTCTCTTTAAAACTCGAATTTTCTATTTCCAAATTATTTTGACTTTGATTTGTTATAAGTTTGACAAATAAATATATTGTAATACCTATTCAGCTATCTTTACTTACCAATAGCAATTATGCAACTTTTCTGATCCTTATCTCAAATTCCGTCGTCTAAAACCTCCTTTACAAAAATTTACTTTCCAAACGTTGTTTTTGGCGGATGCGCTATGTCCTGTGCCATATAAAAAAAAAAACAAATAACTTGTAAAGAAGTATCTTTGGTAATTAGGGTAATGGCTTTCTAGCCAGTTTTAATAAGTTAAAGTAAGTCTTTGGTAAACTGCATTACTATGATACAGTAATTTAGAGATTTTCTAAGAATTTTTAAAAGTTTTAAAATACGTATATACCTATCAGGGTTGCCATATGCGAATTTAGTTTTTTATTCAAATGTGAATTCTCAAACTATTAGCCAGTTTCCCAAAAAAAAGTACCCAAATTTCTTCAGTTCATTTTGTTTTTCCCCTAAAATTTCTCCAAGATTTTTATTTCTCCAATAATACGCGAACATATTAATTTTTATCCAAAATTGGGAAAAAATACCCAATTATCTATTTGCACTTGTAAAGTACATAAATTGATACACAATATTGGCTTATTTTCATTTGTTGATGCGATTATTATGGTATTATTGTAATTAAGCCCTTTAAATTTTTTAAAGTAAATGTTTTAAACTGTTGTTTATGGATACATTATCTTATTATACCTCTTGATGCATTATCTACAGGTGCTCCGACGCAAGGAACGCGAATGTGAGCACGAAATGGAACGTCTAGCTCGCGAGAAGATCGCGGCGCAACAACGGCTAGCCGCCTTGAAGAGAGAGGTATCGGTGCGTGCTACCGTGCGCCCTCGGAGTATCGGTGAGTTCACCTTTTTGCGCTTATGCACTCCTAGTATTATAAATCGAGATTATTTAATATTTGGCATTCTAAATAATATGCGAAAGTTTTTTTTTTTTATCATTTAATGAATGTTTTATCTGTGATGTAGGTATTGGATGGAAATTGAAAAATCTTTTGAGTTACAAAGTTATACTGTATTTTTTATATATTTTTTTTATAATGTCAGTTTATATTTTTTCAGATTCGGCAAGTGAAGAGAAAGAAGAAAATGTAAATGGGCAAATTATAGGAATTCCTATAAGTGTAAGTCGTTATTTAAATTTACCTATTTCTTTGTTATACAAATAATAATTTTAATATTTTTATTTATTCCTTAATTTCAGATTATTATCTGAATATTACTTAAATAAGTTAATCGTCTTATTTACAGATTACATCTTCGCCCCCGCGATCCGTAGTTACTAGAATGGAGGCTTCACCCCCCCGCACCCTAAACCTAAGCACTAAATTGCGTACGCTGCCGATACAAATAACGCCAACCACCTCACAGGTATGAACTCCTGGTATCGTGTTAGAAATTAGAGCTGACCTAATCTTGGATTAGGAGCTTAGTTTATAGAAACTACCTTGCTATATAAAGCGTCATCTATTGATGTGTTTATGTAATACATATTACATGTTTATTATGTCACTATCTTATAGATGGAGCTAAAGATGTTTTATACAAAAATAAGAGATTTCACTGGGGACAAAATTAATATGAACCTGAGATTAAAGAAATTATTCAGCAATTTTGAATTAACAGATAATTATCTGTTAATTTGATTATAATCAGAGCCGGATTATTTCTAAGGCAAACTAGAGCGCGCTGAGGGGCGTGAGGTAACATGGGGTGCGTGCGGAATTTTTAAACAGTAATAGAAATAACATAATTAATTATATCAGGACCTATGCTACTATATACCTATAATACATAATGTAAAATATATTTATAAAATTTATCCAAACATGTGCGTATCGATGGCAGTCAGCAATTGAAGTGGTGAGCGGAGTTTTTCCTGTCTACAGAGAGTAAAAAATTATCTTCGCTCAACCATGACAGTTAAGAAATTAAAGTCGTTAGAAATACTTAACATTGAATCAAACTTATTGTTTCTTTTATACTATAACGATGTTATTGGCAATTTGCAAGACAAAAATGTAGTTGCAAAAAATTCAATTTTTTTTTGTTTTATGTGATTTGTATCAATTTTTTAATAAATAATTCATAATTCAGTCATTTATGTTTACTACTACTAGTAAAATTTTGTAATATATTGTCCGCTAGAGGGTGCGCTAATGACCTCATAGTACCTTGCCTAGGGCGCTCTCTACATTTAATCCGTCTCTGCAAATAATCCAATTTTTGCTATACTTTTTTTAAGTAATTCAGAATGGTAAATAAGCTGATGGAGCCACTGATCAAAAGTGATACTCCTTGCTCGTGATTTGTCGTGATGCACATATGCATCATAGATGACAGTATACGCTGACATGCACGGTATCCCTTACGCGTTGCTATTTCTGAAGACTATGGTTTTGTGCCTTTGTAATCTGTAATTTCACTGCCATGTCCTAAGTTTCAAATCGAAATACAAAATCCATGCAAGCGTAGCGGCATGCTTAAATAAATAAATAAAAATATTTTTATTCCAGTAAAGTTAATTGTGTACCTTTTTTTTTATATGAGTTTTGTAATTTTTTTTTTATATGAGAAGAGCAGAGATTGTAAGTTTTTATATTTTTATATAATATGCATATGTACCCTAGATATTTTTTCTGTGTACAGGTTGTTCGGACTTCATATGGTTCCAGACACAATACCCTGACGCTGACCACACTGGCACCCGCCGATGGTCCTACGCAGGTCTGTGCATTTGTTTCATATTATACTAGTTTCTACCCGCAACTTTTTCTGCTCGACAGGAATACTAACTTACCGACATTAATTGTCAATATTTTTCTATTCTCTCACCTATAGAATTATAGCTACATTATGGCCGTGTGGTCCCGGCATAGAATAGGCTATATATATAAGGGATGTCGAGGGATGGGCAGTAGCGTCCCTCTTAAAACATTCCTAAAGCCTGACTGCGGTTGCCAATGCACCTGCCAAGCGTGGCAACTACTGGGCAAAACCCCCCAAGGGGGAGGCTTATGTTCAGCAGTTGACGGTTAAGGGCTGATATAATGATGATGGTATCAGCAGGTAGCATCATAGGCTATATTTTATTTTCGAAAATTCTTTGTATATGTACGAAGTCGGGTACATAGATTTAAATTATTATAATTTATTATGTATATATAATGAAAAATCCTTGTATTATGGTTTGCAGAACGGACAATCGGTGGAAAACGGAGTGGCCAGCACTCTGAGCACTGCCTTAGTTCACCCCGCACAGATACACCTGCCCCTCTCACAGGTTGGTGTTTTTATTTATCGAATATACTAGATCACATTACGCAGGACTTCTTTGCCCTCTAGAGGGCTCAGGTTGATTCTTGGAGCAAACCCCTTTGCTCCGGATTCATCAACAGGGGCGTCTATCTCGGATCTTTTTTTTTTGTGGGTGATAATGAAATAGAAAAACTCACCTGCGTTATCGGTATACACTGGCGGGGTATCAGTGAAGGATGATAGATGAGGATGAAGCAGGTCAGTTAGCCCATCGTGACGAATTCAACAAGAATTGTGTGAAGGTCGACCTGATAGCAATGGGGCTGTCAACCTCCATTGCTAACAATCCCTTTCCGTCCGTCTACCTCGGGTCATTGGCACTTTTCTGGCTGGTGTCATTGGGTGAAATAGGCTACCTATATGACAGTTTATGCAAAACTGTGTGTAGTACTAAAAATCTCGCTGTACACAAATCATAATAGGATTACCTATGTATGGAGTCGCCTATGTAAATGTGTATTCGTCCATGAATATTATGATTATCAAATTGACAGATCTAATGCAAAGTAAACCCCATTTATGGTTCGTGTCTTCTAGGGTCTTTTCTAATTCTCTTGATCTATCTTGCCTTTTAGAATTTTTCCTTTTAAAATTTTCTTTTCGCTAACCTCTATGGCGCAGTGGACACGTTTCTTTGCGTAACTGAGATTCTAAGTTTGATTCCTGGACGGGTTCATTTAGGGATCGAAATTTTCTAAATTGTCTTTCATCTGAGTGTTCCGAGTTGTGCTCCCAGAATTTCTTTGCCTTATTTCACATAACACGGAATTACTATTAACTAGTTTGAGACTCAGGCGATTTTGTGGCATTTATTTTTATTATATTTTTTCATAAATACAGGTGGTGGGGAGTGGCGGATTAGTAGTAGGCCCAGCGGCGTTACAGTTGTTATCTGCTGGCGGCGGACTAAGAGTTCTACAAGCGCCAACGATACATACCAATGGTGAGTTATGAGAGCCTGGTAACATGTATATAACACTGCTGAACATAGGCCTCCCCTGTCCCATAGACTGTCATAAGGAATGGGCATTCTTTATGGCAATTTCCAATGGAAGGGGGGGGGTGTTGCCAGTAGTTAGCACGCTTGGCAGGCGGATTGGCAACTGCAGCCTTGCCTTTGCTAATGCTTTAAGAGGAACGCTGCGTCCAACTCACGACCATTAAGTTCTCTTAGTCGCCTCTTGGGTACCAAACCCACGGGAAAGGTAACAAGTATATTATTTACAATTAATGTTACAAACAAGCATACGTCCCGCCGGATATTATATTATTTTTTTATGTGAAAGTGTGACAAACGAGTAGTTTCCGCTACTATGCTATCTCAAGAGCGTTCATAACTTTAGCTTGACGAAGTGAGGCAACGTTGCAGTTACCTGTCAATTTGCAAACATACAAAATGTTACAAAAACTTGACAAGAAATTGTGCACCCGTGTGTGGTTTGAATTAAGAGTGGGTGTAACTAAAATACATAGCAATATATATTTTAGTTACAATATCTATATACTAAAGAATATGTTGAAAGTCTGTTATCCAAAAAATAATATTCTATAACAGACTTCTAACATATTAGAAAATAGATATACGATCGATATGTGTGAAATGGAAATAGGTGATAACCTTTTTTCCGCTTTTGATGTTCAAAGAAATCCAATATATAGATATCGGATCGGTATTCATATTCCCTATGCTTAGTTTCAATATCTAAGTTTAAGAGCGTCCGTTCCAAACCTTGAATGGCAAAGTCGTTTTTTGTTAATTATTAAAAAGCATTCAACATTTTTGATCGATTTATTTAATAGACTTACATTTTGCTTCGCTCAAAATCAAAGAATCAAGAAAATATTTTATAACTATAGCAGCAAAATATGAAGTAGACTAAGTGTAAAATTTTTAATAAGTCTAAGTGTGCTGTGTGGTCCAGACGTAGAGTGGGCCACTCCTTTCTTTCCCGTGGGTGTCACTAAGGGAACATAATGGTCGAGGGATGGACAGCAGCGTTCGTCTTAAAACATTAAAACATCATCAAAAATATACCTAACTGCACGTGGTTCTCCCCGGAAACCATCGTGAACTAGTTTAATTCTGGGCTACTGCCAAGTGTGGTAACTACAGACGGCAAAAGCCATCTTTATGGGTGTGGTAACTACCGGCAAAAACCATCTTTATGGGGGAGCCTTATTCAGCAATGGATAGTTAGCGACTGATATGATGTAGGTCTAAGTACAAGTCGTAAGAAATTTTATTATATATTTTTTTTAAATAATTAAGTAGTATTTTTTTTAATTATGTTTCTAGGAATTTCCACGGGAGATAACAATAGGGTACCTAAAGAAAACGGGATTGTGTCGCCGACGCCCGTATCTACAGGTATGTTTTTAAATCACAATTCCATCTACAATTTTCAACCTTCTTTTAAAAGAAGGAGGGTTTTAATTCGGTTGTATTTTTTATGCTTGTTACCTCATGACGCCGTCTCTCGATTGGTCTCATAGAAATTTTATTAACATCGATTTAAAATAACGTATTTTGTTACAAGTGAAGTCGGTTTTTTCGTGGAATACAATTTTATGTAGTTTCGTGTTCGCTGACGATATTTTTTTATGCAACTTAGAATGGAAAACAAGCTGACGGCCCACCTGATGGAAAGTGGTAACCGTCGCCTACAGACAGAGCAGTACCATGGACATATACTGTTTCGCCCATGATGCCATTCCTGAAGACTCAGGTGTTATTCCTCCGTACCCAGTAAATTCACGTCATATCCCACCCTTCAAACCGAAACACAGGCATGCAAACACAACTGCTTCACGGTAGAAACACGAGTGAGACAGAGACGTCCAAGCAAACGACTTTTGTACAAAGTCTCCCTCTGGTATGCGATATGTGTAATGCGGTGTTTGTTCTAGAAGGAGGCAGCGTGGTTGTGAGTGGGCTCACTCCGCTGGTCGTCTCGCAGCCGGCCGCGCACTTGTTACAAACGCACACGCTTACACACAAGGTATTGTGTTAACATTATTAATTACTAGTTAATTAGAATTATTTATTTATTTACTAAACTCTTTATTGCAGCAAAAATATAAAAATAAACAATGATATATAAACAATTCAACTGAAATACAGCATGAAGCATGCATGAAGTAAAGATTAAAATATACATACAAAGGTACAAAAGGCGATTTTATTATTGATTATTAATTAATTACTTATTAATTAATTTGTTTAAATCCGCTACTATTAGACTGCCAACATACTAATGGTAGCGGAATTAAACAAAGTAATTCTAATTTTAAAACTATAACTCTGTCAGTATTCATCATATTTTATGAAGTACTAAGCATAAATACAATGTAAAATGTTATTGCAAAAAATAATTAAACAATGATCAATGGTTCTTCCAGATGGTAGAAACCCAAATGGTGAAAGGCACAGTGGCGCCACTGACGGTGAGCGCGCAGTACCTAAGTGCCACCACAATCATGAAACCCGTGGTGGTGGTGTCGAGTTCCCACACAGCGCCGGCCGCCACCTCTGCCCCTGCGGCCGCGCCGCCAGCGCCACCTACGTGAGGGTACCGCCGCGCCCGCCTTCATGCCGCGTGAACTTCTTAGCGCCTCATAGACGCCTGGTACTTTGAGACTTGATTAGTTAAGTAATGGTTAATCAGCTGTGAAATTTGAAAGTCAGTGTTTAGTTTGTGAGCATGATCGTCGTAATTCCATTGGATGAAAATGGGCGCGAATAATTCCTGCGTGAGCGGGATCTTTTCCGACAGTGCCTACATGTCTCTCCGTGGTTAGATGAAATCTGTGTACTGCCAATATTTTCTAGCAATAATACGATACAATGAGTGGCATGTTATGTTAGCGGGCTGGATTATGTAACCGAAATCACACCTATCCAAGTTTCTGTGCGCCTGCTACCTCACCTGGACGTGACTGCAATCATTCCTATTGAAACGCGACACGGGTGAACAGGTAAAAATGTACAGATTTTTCAGAATAATAAGAAAGTGAAATGTGAAAAGGTCGCGTTTTAGCGCGTCTTATGTTAAGATCGCGCGTATGTATAAATGTATTTATGCAATACCTAATTAATTATTAGTGATTTTGTTTATTTGAGATGGTGATAGCAAAGTGACAAGTCGTGATGTTTGAACATTTGTGGACATGTATAAAAGTAGGCCAAATAATTTTATTCGAAATAAATTGTTTACTTATTTAAAATCAATGTAATATACCCAACTCAGTACTGGTTGCAAACAATAACAATGTGAATGTGGAATGTTTTATTTTTAATAGTTATTTATTAATGACAAAAAATATTTAAACTATAAATAGGGAACAAACTGTAGTTAAACGTGAAATGGATCGGAGCGGATACCTTCGTTAAAAACAGAACGAATGTAATTTAATATTATTAGTCAAATTATATACAATGCATATGGTTAATACCTACTTGAACTTGTCTGTCAATAAATCCATGTATAATAGATAGTTAAAATGTTATAGATTGACAAGTGATGCATGTGCTAGGCAATCTGTATCTTGTTCAGTGTCCAAATTCTTGTTTGCATACGTTGTGAACTAAATTGAAACTTATATCAATATTAAATGTTTTAATTTGATCCAATTTGGGCATTGAATAAGTTTAAATGAATATCCATTGATTTACAATCTCAAGATATACTATTAACACTCTAAATGTAGGGCGCATTCTGTGGTTAACCATGTAAAAAGATGTCGCAGTGCACATTAAAAACTGCTTAAATAATCGTTATTTAATAACTTCAGTTAATGGAGTTACAAGAAATGTATATAAAAAAGATGATAGAACTATATTACATATGGTATTATCGAAATGGTGAACCAGAGTGGAGAGGAATTTCTTATTGATTAATAATAGCGTTTGAAGAAATTATAGAAAACAGTTTAGTGGTGGTTTTCTTATAAATTGAAATAGCGCCCTCGTTTATATCTGTGATAATAACATTTGATTTTAGGTTAATTGTATTTAGTCTTTATCAAGCCGGTGACAGTTTCCAAACGCGTTTTTGTGTCACGAGCGATATCTAGGGATTGTAAATCAATGTTACCTATACCTAACCTACCTGTTTCCCTTCAACTCACAACTGTGAAAACGTAGAATTAGAGCAAAAGTGTACTTGTTATAAATATAGAATAACGGGATAAAATTTATTTTTTCTATATAATCTGTGATGTGCCGTAAGGTAGATACTGTAAAAAATTCTTGTACAAAAAACATGTCTAATAGGTGTCGTCAATTTCTAACAGTTATATAATAAAAAAAAAAGGAAGTCAATAAATGAATAAATTAATGAGTTAGGCATTAAAATTTGTGGCTTATATGTGTAAATGCAATATTAATTGGTGATATGCGCCGGCATTAAGTACTAGGAGACCAGGAATAGTCAGAAAGTGATTATTTGGTGATTTTGAAAACTGGAAAGTACAATACATGTATTAATTGGCGTCGGCTTATTCCTGTATCAATCTGGAACTAGTAAGTAGTACGAGCTAGTGTCTACGTCTGGCACGGGCCGCGCGGCCGTCCTCACATTGTGCCTAATTTAACTAATCGGTTTTATATGTGTATAAAAATTACTGCTAGACAGGGCATTCGTTGTGTACCAGATAACAACAAAACACTGTTGGTGTTCACAGTTGACTTTAAAATTGATGTTTATAAAAAAAGTATTCGTGTTTCTGGGATCTTGGTGGTTGATCAACGATTAAGTTTATTATGCTGGGTTTACACGTTTGTCTAATATCACAATTATGTCCAAAGAAAGAGTGGATATGATTTTACTTGAGTAAAATTGCAATTTATAATTTGTTCACGATTTGGAAGCGGATGCCAAACTTTGTCTTTGTAAATTCCCAAATCTTTTAATTTTGCATTTTTTTTAAAATAAAATCTTTATTTATTTAAACTGTATGGCGATAGCCGAAACGAGTTTGATATCGTCCGATATGTATATATTTGTATTTTTATTCGGCTTTTGCGTTGTATTTGCAGATTTACGAGACATTCAGCAAGTTATAAATGTGTGTACCCAGCATTATGTTTAATATCCAATTGTAAAATTGTTACATATCGTTCAATTCGCAGTAAACAATTTGAATAGAACCATAGATAAAGAAAGTTGCGCAGGAGACGCGTTTGTATGTAGAATTGTTACTCGTGCTGCGCAACTGATGTCATATCGAGTTAATTTGTCGGTAACGATATATCTAGTAAAATACCTTATTATTTTATTTATAACTGAATGAAACACTAGTTTCACTAGAATTAATCACAGGTTAAAATCATCCCAAACTCCCTTTATGATTTAAATCTTTGTTAACACGAGGTTAAGAATAACAATTTACGATTTTGAGGTTATGCTACGTACAGATCGCAGCAAACAGCTTAAATAAATCCATAGATATTTAAGCTTGCGCAATACATGTTTCTGTAAAATCATGCTCAAGTTACTTGCTGGTATCATTTCGATAACTCTATGTCTTAACTTGTTAAGTTTTACCAACTTGAACGTTAAAATTGTTAACAATGTTATTAATGTGAGGTGGACACACGTTATGCGTTATATAAATGGTAGTAATTCACATCGACGACCTTAACTGGTCGTTTTATAATTTTCTGTGGCATAGCATGTTACGACACAATTCTATACTTTTATGTGGCATAGCATGGTACGGCACAATTTTATAATTTTACGTGGCATAGCATGGTACGGCACAATTTTATAATTTTACGTGGCATAGCATGGTACGGCACAATTTTATAATTTTACGTGGCATAGCATGTTACGGCACAATTTTATAATTTTACGTGGCATAGCATGGTACGGCACAATTTTATAATTTTACGTGGCATAGCATGGTACGGCACAATTTTATAATTTTACGTGGCATAGCATGGTACGGCACAATTTTATAATTATACGTGGCATAGCATGGTACGGCACAATTTTATAATTTTACGTGGCATAGCATGGTACGGCACAATTTTATAATTATACGTGGCATAGCATGGTACGGCACAATTTTATCGTCATTATAATATATCGATATTATCTATCGTCCCATATCGTATGATTATTGTGGCGATGTATGCTGCACCGTGTTATAGCGTTCGATGGTATTTTCGAAGGAATTTGCAAAATGAAAAATATAGTATTTTTAACATCACAATAAAGAGATAAAATTATACGCTTAATTTTCATGTAAATTTAAGGTTTATATCTATTCTATTTCTTAAGTTGTAATTATTTATGCAGGCTTTACTTACGCTTTAAACTCGGGGGTGTTCGTCTATTTTCGAACTCTATAGGAGCACTTATTCATGAGCGCGGTTTACGGCTGTGTCGCGAACAGCACTGCGCGACCAGCGCGCTGTTTGTCATTACGCGTGTACTGTCATCGGCGGTGGTTGTAGGTAAAATTAAGAGTGTTTATATCGAAATCTGACTCATACATAATCAGTTAATTTTAAAAATAATTTTCAATAATTACTAAATGGTTATTAAAAAATGCCAACTTTGTTTTTACCATTAAATTCCAACATTTTAACAATTGTATATTAAGATACCCGTGTCTGATATTTTTATTTACATTTTAAGAGTAATTTATAAATTGCTTTATCAAGTTAGAATTTTAGTTTAAAACGAATGACATATAATTCTCAGATTACGGTACGAATGTGTAATACCGTCATCAAACACACAGTAATCTATTATTTCATGTAGATATTTTTTAACATTTTTTTTTATATGTTTTGTGACATGTATTTTCAGTGTATTTGATGAATTTTGCTAGGTGTATGCATCAAATTTTGATTCTAAACTTTGTAATTACCTTTCGTTTGGCAAATGAATACATTTTGAATAGTGATTTGCCGAATCAAGCTCATTCGAATACTTATTCGAGTACTCAATATACAGAACTTAGACACTCTGAGACAAGGATAGAGGGGGCTTTTTTATCCCCCAGAAACATGTAATTCGTGTTTAGCATATTTCTGAAATTTTCCTAATTACCAAACAAATAATTTTTAGATTATTGAACATTTATTTTCTTACTTTTTCTTGTTATTATTTACTTTTAAATTTCAAAAAGCAATTAGAAAAGCACTTGAATATGTCAAAATTACTCGAATATCTATACCAACTAGAGTTCTCAGATTCGATTCGGGATTCGATTACATTTTTAATGTGTACCAAAATACACGAATACAAAAGGGGCAACTCGGTACATCACTATATTTTAACACGGTTGGAGTGTTGCGTATACCTGGCTTAATTGTCCACCTCTATCGCTCAACATGTTACATGCTCTCTTGAAAGGTTCCAGTACAATTTGTATCTACATCGACTGACACTTACAGGTCGAGGTGGGTCAATTTGTAAATATAAAATAAGTTAATGCTGTGCCAACAGTCGATGTTGTTAAATTGTTAATAACTCCTCGTTGTTTATGAGTTCCGTGTAGTATTGTATGTACAAGAAATTAATTTCGTGTTTTGCTGTCGAATTAGGTAATAAATATTTAAAAACTATTAATGAAATTAATTTTAAATAATACTATTTTATTATTAAATTAATTCGCTCAAATTATTATGAATTATATATGTATATTAATTCTGCTGAAAATAATTTCAATATTAATTTTATTTGTATGAAATGAGTTAATTAGGAATAAACATGTATATTACCTACAGATAATTGTAGAAAAAAGAAAACATACAAAATGTAATTTGCTTTTCTTAATTTAATCTATGAATTTTAAAAACAAAGTCATCACGGTGCAATACCAATTGTTTCTTTATTTATTTAAACTAAAATGAATTTTATAATCTATACGTTTTATTGGCTGTGACTTAATTTATCCTTCTTATGACTACATGCACATTAATTCCGCCTTTTAACCAAAATCTTCCAACAACTTTGATATTTTGTCTCATTTTATATAGTACCTGCAAATGGTCACATAATAATTTTCTTTGTACATTAACTAATTGATATTAATATTATATTTGCCGAAGCCCGCTCCATGATTCGAAATGTTATAATCTAATACTAGACGTTTCTATATACATAGGAAAAAAAAAACAGTATTTTTTTCAAATGTGCTTTTGAAGTGAGAGGTTTTTGTCACTTTGCCTAATGAATAGGTTGAATGAAAATATGTGTATAAATAATATAATAAAGAGAGAAATTTATTTTAATTGTAATATTATTGTGAAGCGAAAATGCTCATGTAAATAAAATGACTTAGTGTATAAAGTTCTGATATGTTAGAAATACAAAAGAATTACATATCTGCATTGTTTTATTGTTTCTTAATCTAACCTAACTTTACCTGGCTGCAACTACATACACCAGGGGTGGCCAAACGGTCGATCGCGACTATTAGTCCAGTCGATCGTGGCAAGGCAAAAAATATAATATTTTTTGCCTTGCCACGATCGAGTTATTAAGAATAATTTTTTAGTATTATGTTTTCCCTCTTAATAAAATAAAACATACTGCAATACTACATAATTGTGTACGAAACCATGTTGTTTCATTTATGATTTCAAGAAGTATGTAATTGGTAGATCGCACAGTTTCGACAGCAAACAGATCTTGGGACTAGACAAATCGGCCACCCCTAAAATACAAAGAGTATTTTGGTGTTTATATCATAAAATGACTCGCTTAAAAATATTTAAGATCTCTCTCTCTTTTGTGTTCTACTACTTGTATAACGGATAGTGTTTTGAGGAACTGTTCGAAATTATGCCCATGGCTAATTTTTATCATCACACCGCTCGCCATCGATAGTGAATTCATCTTCACACGCTAGAACCTAAATGGTCGCTTACAGTGCGGTTTTAGAAAAGTTACTCCCCATGAACGAGCAAGCTGTGGAATGAGCTCCCTGCTGTGATTTCCGCTAGAGATTATTACTACTTTATATTCTGTAATTTCATTGCCGCATCCCACGTTTCAAACCAAAACACAGACCTGCAAACCCAAGTGATTCCCTGTAGATCCTTCCACTTGATTTTATGCAGCGTCGAGCGCTACGAGTTGCCGTGTATCCTAAGTTAATAGATGGTTTGGATTCTCTGAGTTTGAGGTAGAATGTTGCACGAGAAAATAGAACTTAAAGGGAAATATAGTAGGACTTAACACAGGTTCTACAATAATAACAAAAGATTTTAAAAATCAATACAGTTCTATCGGGCTAACTGTAATTAGAAGTGAGTTATTTATAATTACTCAGCGACGTTTGTAGCTAAACCAAGATGTTCTAACTAATAAAATTATGTTTAAATAAATCGAATAATTTTGCTGTGTGGTCCCGGCATAGAATAGGACACCCCTTGCTTTTCCGTGGGTGTCGTAAAAGGCGATTAAAGGAGGGTAAGGGATATTTAGCAGCGTCCATCTTAAAACATCTCTAAACTGTAACTGCGGTTGCCAACCCGCCTACCAAGCGTGACAACTATTGACAAAACGGCCAACGGGGGAGGCTTATGTTCAGCAGTGGACAGTTAAAGGCTGACGATGATGGTATACTACTACCATTGGTGCGTCCCGTTCATTTCTACCTCGTACTTTTAGGTTGTAGAATGAGCTCCCGTCTTCGGTTTTTCCTTTACAATATTTTATTTATTTATTTATTCATATACTACATATCGTCATAGCCGTAGAATACTGACGGATCTTTATATATAATCTTTATCAGATCCGTCAGTATTCTACGACTATGACGATATATGTGTACATAGCGGACTTAATGCTAAAAGCATTCTCTCCCAGTCAACCACAGGGAAGTGTCACAATACTCGAATGCGGTTCTAGTAATTATAATATATAATGGGGAATTAAAAAAAAAATGTGTCTACAAACATTTAAAAGTCCGGCAACGTACAAGCAACTCCTCTCCTGTTGCAGGTGTTCATAGGCGACGGTAGCTACTTTCCATCAGGTGGACCATCTGCTCGTTTGCCTCCCTAACAATAAAAAAATTATACAGAGGTACCCAAGCAGAGGGCTTTTATACAAAGCCTCCCTTTGATATAATTTGAATTGAAACACGATGGTAAATGATTGTAGTTTTTGTTTTGGGTTCATTGCCAAGTAACCAATTTAATTAGTGAACGATTAGGTACCCATTGTACGTAATTAACTATTTTAAAATACGGGTCCCCTATTCTTAGTATAAATTTTGTGGGTTATAAATTAAATTTATAGGATAATAAAATAGTTAAACTGCACGAGTTAATTGACCTGTGTTTAGTCACAAGTCATTTATTTTGGTATAACTTTAAAGTGTTTTTATGAATTAAAAAGTAAATAAATTAACACTATTTTATACCTTGGTCGAGGGATGGACAGCAGCGACCCACTTAAAATATCACCAAAAACCTAACTGCGGTTGCTAATTCGATTGCTAAGCGTGGCAACTACTGATAAAACCCCTCCTTATGTGAGAAGCTTATGTTCAGCCGTAAACAGTTTTAATGGATGATAATGGAACGGTAACCCCGACTGCGCTAACGGTATACACTGGCGGGGCACCAGTAAGGGATGATAAGTGAGAATGATAAGGTAGGCCGGTTTTCAGGGGGACCACGTGGAGGTTGACCTGGTTGAGCATGTTGCTAGCAATGGGACTGATAGTCCGCATTACTAACAATACCCCTCCAGGGGGTGGGCAGTTTAAAGTTGATATGATGATAACATGTTTACATAATATATATGTACGTGGTTTGTTTGTTAGTTTGTTTAATATAGGTGTTTGTAATTAATATAACTATTACATTGTCCTACTTTCTCGTTGATTTTAACAGATAACAATGCTTACTTTGTTCAGGGTCAAGGTGATTCATAATTTTATTTAGTGTTACAATATAAAGTTTTTTTTTTTTAATTTAATTAGCATGCAAATACATTAAAAAAAAGCTATGGATTTTTTAATGCCATTTAAACCTTATGGGCTTGTGTGTGATACAAGGGGTAAAGTTTGTTTTCTCGGTGTAGATGTGATGCACCGTCTATATTGCACTTTATGTTACCCCAGTCGAATGTTTTAAATTCACTTTTAACCGTTTGGTTAGTCAGTCGATTTTAAAGAATTCTTGAAACTGACTTCAAAAAGAAGGAGGTTCTAAAATTGATTGTAATTTTTTACGTTTGTTATATGAATATTTAAAGAATATGCTTTCAGACTGGTCCTGTAGCAATTTTATCAAAATCGGTTCAGTAGTTCAATTTTTAAACCAAAATAGCTGCGACAATTGAAGTCTTTTTTTTGGGAACATAATTTTAAATTATTATTTATTAAAAAATTATGTATATTTATCAAAAATGCTTATAAATCAAAAGCCATGCATGGATATAAAAAATATTCTAGATTCAAATTCCGAAACAAAATTATACCGTAAGTTCGAAGAGTGTAGTCATCGTAAGAATACATGTGGAGCTATTTATGTAGTGTAAAATATCACATTTTGTGGCTATTTTTATTATCGTATCAGCTTTTAACTGTCCACTGCTTAACATAGACCTCCCCCATAAGGGGGGTTTTACCAGTAGCTGCCATGTTTGGTAGGCGGTTTGGCAATCGCAGTTAGACTTTGGTGATGTTTTAAGAGAAACGCTGCTGCCCATCCCTTGACCATTAAGTTTAGTTATTCACCTCTTACGATACCTACGGTAAAGGAAAAATTGGCCCATTCTATGCCGGGACCACATGACAAAATTATTCGTTATATTGACACATAATTGGTAAGAACATCTTGGCAGATTTAGCTACAAATTGGAATGGATTCTTAGAAATATCTCACTTCTAATTACAACAACTAGCCCTATAAGAATATACTTAATTGATTTTTAAAATCTTTTGTTAATATTGTAGAACTTCTGCTAAGTTCTACTACCTCTCCCTTTAAGCACTATTTTTCCGTGTTCTCTCTTCATCTTCCATTTTTATTCTCTCCTGTTGTATATGTGCTATTAAGTACGTATATGTTTACGTATATATTTGTTTATATATATATATATATATATATATATATATATATATATATATATATATGTTTGTATATATTAGTATATATATAACAGTGCGGTACCTACTCTTTGTCTTTTTTCTCAATGCCCTCTATCCAAAGGCTGTGTGGAAGAGATTGCTTAGCGATAAGGTCGCATTTCGTATGACTTCTCATTAATATTAACTTTATTTATTATTTTATAAATAGTGCAATAAAGTGTACAATAAATAAATAAATAAATAGAATGCAATAAAATAGTAACAAGAATAAAATATGTAATTTGTTCGAATTAATATTATTTTCAGTGCTGTTCTTCGATATCCGACTGTGCATCTTGTGTTTTTTGTATATCAAAGCTGTGATGTTTTTTTTTTTAATTTGAGTGTCATAACTAGGTGCAGTGAGACAACATTGAAACTGGGTTATATTTACTTTACGTCCGTGATTGGTCTTTCAACAATACTTTATGTAAAATCCAACGACAAGGTAGTATACTAGTTACATCAATCACTGAGCGCATCTTCTGTACCGTTGATAACAGGGACCTTGTTTGTGTCGACACGTGTTTGTGTAGCATTTCCTATAACATAAATAATTCCTGTGCAGGAATGAAACATGTGAGCCAGGTATGACATGTGACAAACATCCGACATTTTTATCCGACTGTCGAAGAAGTGAGGGTAATGTTTTTTGACTGTATATATGATGTCGCGGATTAAAAGCGTTTTTTGTGACTTTAAATTATGCTTCTTTTTAATTTGTTAGTAAGTTAAGTACTAAGGAATTCACTAGAGGAAGACTATTTGTACAAAAGTTGCCTGCATGGTAAAAATTAACTAAAAAAATAATAAAATAAATTAAATATTTTGGACCTTTGGGTCGGGTATGGAACATTAAAATTGTTTTGACTGTTAATTTAAAATAATGTTATTTTTAGATTTATTTTAAATTCACAAATATATTATATGCACACACGATTATACTGTTAATCAATGTTCGTTTTTTAATGAAGTGATTAATTTATCTATATTAAAAATCCTTTACCACCATTTAAAAAAAAAAAACAAATTAACGAATCGTAAATATTTAATGTTTTTAAAATTTTTTAATTCTTTTATCGGGAAAGATGATATAAATAAATGTTCAGATTACGTACGTGCAGTAAGGATGAAGTTATTTATTTTATTTATTTGTATGGAAAATAAAGGAAATGTTAACTGAAAGCAAAACACCCAAGGTTCGTCTTATCGTTTGTTTAAACATATTTTCGCCGCTACATCCTTTATCAGGAAGTAGGAGTAACGAACCTTGTCGCCGTTTGTTTACCCTATGACAGGTCCCCGTGCATCGTGCTCACCATTATAAATACTGGCGGCGGGCGAATTATCACCACATACTTTCGGGTGACTTTTGATCGCCTAGTACTTGCGATACGAATAGACGTACGAAAAATACGATGAGCACAACATATGTGGCTTTATTTTTATTTTTCCTATTGTCTGGATACAGTGCGTTGCCTCTGGAAGGTGATGGTGAAGATGTAGACATAGCACCTGATGATTTGGACAATAGCATCGATGGCGACGGTGATGGCACCATAGACATATCTCATTTAGGTGCAAATGCATACGGTACACCGACAAATGAGAGTGGTAAGTTAATTTATTCTTTTACTAGTTATATTGATTGACTTTGCTTGCATGAATTAGTAAATACACAAAGTATCCTATGTGATAAGTTAGAACATAACCTATCCATGTAACAAATTTAATTCAAATCTGTTTAGTAGTTTTTGTGTAAAAGTGGAACAAACATCTATCCATTCATGGTTACAAATTTTTGGTATTTAGATAGATTGGACTCTTTATTGTTTTCTGCTTTTTTTTTATTGTTTTTTTTTTTTTTAAACTTATTATAGATACAAACAATTACAAGAAATGATCACAGTGAGAAAACATTGGTTGGCTTTATCGCTAAAAGCGATCTCTTCCAGGCAATCTTTGGATGGAGAGGAGCGATTATAAACAGTTTGTTCGGAGGCACGATACAAATTCTGTTATTTAATCATAATTTATAATAGGTTCACGTCTATAGGCGACGGTTACCACTTTCCATCAGGTGGGCCGTCAGCTTGTTTGCCATTCTAAGTTGTATAAAAAAAATAGTCATAAAAAACTCGGATTTAAAATAAGTTTCTGATAATTTAAAATATTTGTTGCCTTTTCAGCTGTTTTACATTAATTATAAAATAAAATACAGTATAGTTAGACAACATTTTCAAGCCCAGCATTAACGTTGACTTTCAGCCTGGCTTTAAATAGGCTAGGAAGTGTGCATATTTTTTACGCATGTGTAAACGAGAAAAATATTTTATATAATGTCATATTCATTTTATACTGTAATAATATAGCCTATAATCATTCAACAATTAATTCAAAAGTTGTGACATTTACTAGTATAAAAATTCATCACGCCGTTTGGGAATGCTTGTATCCGAAAATTATTCTCCATTTTTAGCTGCAGGGTAATCTTTTTGAGTTACTCTATTTAAGGGGAGTTTCTTATTTAAGGGGAGGGGGTTATTAACAAATGGGTACTGTCGGTCTATTGTTAGAAATAGTATTCCTTGTCAAGTCTAATGAGATACGTATGTAGTGTCGTGAATGTTTGGAGGTCCTCTACCCGATGCTCTTGAAGACTATCGTGGTTGATTCCTGGTAAATAACCAGAGGCCCATTACAAGGGGGGAGGGGGGTTACTGGCCCCTTTAAGAAGGCGTATATGTACGTCTTAGATATGTCTTTGCGAAGCTTTGGTCACAAATTTGATGGTTTGACATTATATCTATATTAACTATTACGAATTCAACAGTCGGAGATTGCTTACGGTCTAATCAATCTCCCAACAAGTAGAATTAGGGTTCTAAGGCATAGAAAACATCATCGTCAGGATATCAGCCCTTAACTGTCAATTACTGAACATAGGCTTTAGTAGTTGCCACGTTTGGCAGACAGATTGGCAATAGTTAAGAAAAATCTATGTTATCTTCGTAAGAGCAACATAAGTCAAAACAATAATTTTTGCTTAGACAAGAAACTTGTAAAAAATCTTATAAAAATCTTGTAAAAGGACATGATGAAATCGCTTCAGAATTAACGACGTATAATTATGTAACAACTTTTTTTTTTATATAAAAAAATTCAATATTTTATGTAGGTACTCTTAAATTTCATGCTAGTCTCTTTTGGTTCAGAAGTTATTATTAGGTTACAGATAAACAAACAAATGTTATCACACTTTTATCCAGTTTACGGAACTCTAAAACACTACAATGGCTATTAATCATTAACATTATCATTCGTTTGTATTTAACTTTTTGACACCTGTCTTAACATGTTTACATGACAGGCGATTTGATAATGGCGTGAAAAAGTGCTCTTGGATCCTGACTGTGACGGCTCACTTCCTTTCTTTTATGACATCCTAATAGCTGTCGATACATACGTAATTTTTATTTTCTTTATATATAGAAAAATAAAAAATAATTTAATTTAACCTTAATATTTTTTATAATATACTTCAAGATAGATTTTGTTAATTAATTTAATTAATAGAATTTAATTTTAAAATTTTACATTTATATTTATTATAGGCCATTCAGTAGCAAACTGGACGGAGTCATCGTTAATGAATCCTGAGGAAATGGGGGAATATGCCGAAGGTGACATTTTGATTCCAAAACCGCGAGGGAGGAACGGAATCAGTCATGAGACTTTACGTTGGCCTGGGGGCATCATTCCATATGTTATTGAAGGACATTTCAGTAAGTATAACTAGGAATGAAATAATGTGCTAAGAAAAGTATTGTGGGTAAATGTAGATGGCTAAGGTGGATGGTTATAAAGGTAGAAGATCTGAAAATAAATGAATAGGATTGTGTGAAAGGATGAATGGACAAGTAGAGATGAACGGAGGAGGAAAAATATATTTTGCTAAACTTTGTTCGAGATAATGATATGAGTTGGCATAAGTAACTAACTTAATAAAGAAAAAACGTAAAAAGAAATTGAAACATTTAAACAAACTATTGCGACAAAGCTAAATGTAAATTTTATATTATTTATTTAATTAATGATAAATGTAAAAGAACTTATAATCTCATTACTGAAAATTTAATACTGAAGTAACATAATACGCAAAGTGTTCAGATATTTAAGATATAAATTTTATTTCTATTATTGTTGTGCGGTTGTATAGTATTTTAGTCTTATTATTCTTTTTAATTATAATTGTAAAATATGTGTTATTGTACTCATGCTTTCCTGGTATTATGAGTGTAGGAGTGTAGTTGTGTAGTCACCAGCCTACGTACTTCACTCTCTTGTTATGTCGCGACGATAACAATAAAAGCTGTTTATTATCCACATAGGCTTCCCTTAATTGGGGGGTTTTACTAGTAGTTGCCACGCCTGCCAAGGCGGGTTTTTTTTTATGGGTGAAAATGGTGTGGTAACCCCGCCTGCGCTAACGGGATACGCTGGTGGAGCACCAGTGAAGAGTGATAGATGAGAATAAAAACAGGCCAGTTAGCCCATCAGGAATTAAGCAGGATAGTTTCCAGGGAGAATCGGGAGGAGGTCGACCTGGTTGTGTATATTGCTAACAATGGGATTCTCAGTCTCCATTACTAACAATCCCTTTTCCCCCTGCCAAGGCGGGTTGGCATTTGCAGTTAGGCCTTGACAATGTTTTAAGAGTGATATTGCTAGCCATTCCTTGGACATTAAGTTCCATTAGTCTCTTACAGCATTTATGGGAAAGGAAGGTGTGGCCTATTCTATGCTGGGATTACACGGAAAAACACACAAACACACACACACACACAACAGACAAACACACACACACACACACACACACACACACACACACACACACACACACACACACACACACACACACACACACACACACACAAACACACACACACACACACACACAAACACAAACAAACACACACACACACACACACACACACACACACAAACACACACACACACACACACACACACACACACACACACACACACACACACACACACACAAAATTTAAGGAACAAGTACACCTAGAGTTCAATTTAAATAACACACTTTCAGATCAGCAGCAACGCGATATGATCAGGATGGCGATAGCTGATTACCATCGGTTGACGTGCCTCCGGTTTGTCCCATACAAAGGGCAGCAAGATTACATTACAATTCAAAGTAGAAATACAGGCTGTTGGTCAAGCGTGGGACGCATTGGTAAAACACTCTTCAGTTTTTTACAATAAATCTTGGTTTCCTTTAAAATTTACATATTTTTTATATAAAAAGATATAATTTTTATGTCTGTTGTACTTGTATATAATGTACGGCTTTAGGATTGTTAGTTATGTGGACGTTAATTTCCATTACATAATATACCCTATATTTTTTTTTATCGGTGAAGATGGAATGGTAACCTCCGCCTGCGCTATCGGTATACGCTGATGGAGCACCAGTGAAGGGTGACAGGTGAGGATGATAGCAGGTCAGTTGGCCCATTGCGACCAATTGAACATTAAAATTAATGATGAATGAAAATTAACCGCTATGGTTTCCAAGGGGAACGGCGTGGAGGTCGACCTGATAAAGTGTATTGCTAGCAATGAGGTCGTTTAATCTCATTACTAACAATTCCTTTCCCCCCAATGTACCCTACATTGCTAGCATAGTCAGTATCGACCTCCACGCGGATTCCTCTGAAAATGATCTTGATTAATTATTGTCAAATTTGTGACGATGGGTCAACTTATCTGACTTCATCCTCATCTATCACCACTCACCGGTGCCCCGCCGGTGTGTACCGGAAGCGCGGACGGGGTTGCTATTTCATTTTCACCCATTAAAAAAAGTATGTATGCTATTTATTAAAAAGTGTCAAACCTTCTATTTTGATTAAGTCCGTATTTTCAATTGGTCCATTAGATACCTAATAAATCGACCGTTTACTTTGCAGACAGCGTGGCGAAATGCAATTTTTATATTTTAATAATACGTACTAATTTTAAATATTTTTTATTTAAATAGACTACCTACTAAAATGAATATACTACCCAGTTGAGAACACATTTTCCGTAAAAAAGAACGAGCGAGAAACTTAGTTGTTGTTTTTTCCCCAAACAGAAGTTGAGTTTACAAAAAAAAATCTCAAACTAACATATGTCCCTCTTAATATACTTAGGAATTTTTCGAAAACATTTCTCATTTTTCCAGAACATTCCATTCCATTTTTGCAAGATTAATATGTTTTTCTGTAATAACAGAATCATAGAATTTAGTTTCCAATATTTGCAACAAAAATGTCTATACATTTTTATATACATATGTCATATCTAGTCTCTATAATGGACCTTTAAGAGATCGGATATAATATATTTCCTTCATAGACAGATTTTTGTATTTGTAATCTATCTACGGGGTACCTAAAATACATTCTCAGTAGTTTTATAATGGGTGATAATAGAATGCTAACTTCACCCGCGTAATAGGTATACACCGGCGGGGCACCAGTGAAGGATGATAGGTGAGGATGAAGCATGTCAATTACCCCATTGTGACGAATTCAACAAGAATTGTTCACAACGGTTTCCAGGGAACCATTTCTACGAAGAGGTCGACCTAATAGGGCAATCCCCTAACAATCCCTTTCCCCCATTCTCAGTAGTTAAGTAACATCATAATGATATTAACGATGGACTTGACGAGTAAACCATTTTTGTGCCTCTGATCCTAAAGTTTTCTGTTTGGATTGTATTTCTTTTTGTTTGTACACTAAATTTATCTTGTCCCACAGGCGGCCGACAGGAAGTAAACCTGCAGTCTCCTGGCTGCGTGACTAAAAAGGGCACCGTATTGCACGAGCTGCTCCACGCCATCGGATTCATGCACGAACAAAGCCGCCCCGAACGAGATGATTTCGTCAACATTATATATAACAATATTAGACCTGGTAAGTACTCCTAGTATCATCGTATCAGACATTAACTGACCACTAGCTGTGTTAGTATGTTCATAGGTATCCCCCTGTTTGGTGGCTTTTGCCAGAATTTGTCACGCTTGGCAGGCGTAAGGTTTTTAGTGATATTTTCTTGTAGGAAACACGATTCGTATTTACCATTTACATGCATACAAAGATTAACATAGGATTTTCAGTATTACTGATAATTATTTATCTACTAATTTATATAAAGCAATTACCATTATTAAGATCTCACCATTAATAAATTTCACAAAGATTTGTGCATGCTGTAGGACATGTATGGGTAAGTATTATGTAGTGCGAGAGTATGTGCATGTGTGTGTATGCAGACGTGCGTGCGTGCGTGCATAATGCGTGCGTGTGTGCGTGCGTGCGTGTGTGCGTGCGTGCGTGTGTGCGTGCGTGCGTGCGTACGTGCGTGTGTGTGTGTGTCTGTGTGCGTGTATGCATGTATTTGTGTGTGTGTGTGTGTGTGTGTGGGTGTGTTTGTGTGTATGTAAATAGTATTATTATTTATATGATTAACATGAGTATGTTTTCAATATCGTTATAGTTCACATCTGACTTCTGATAGGAGACTTCAGATGTTTGCTTACCTTAAAGAGTGTTAGTTATGCGGTCTGAAAGTCTTATTGTTAGCAATATACCCTATCAGTTCAACGTCCACGCGATTTCATTCTTCAATTACATGACAAATGAAATGAAACCAAATGAATTTATTTTGCTAGAATGTAGGTAATGTACAGATGAAAGAGGATTACATTTCCCGTATACATTCTGCCCGACATAAAGGCAAATGTTTGGCAATACAAGACATTTACATATATACATTCCACATTATATTTCCTTTCATTAATTATTTAACCCCTTATCTTATTACAGTAAATGTATTTGTTATTTTAGGCACAGAAAACAATTTTAGGAAAGAAGATAAGAAGAACACTAATGATTTCGGCGTGTCGTATGACTATAACAGCGTGATGCACTATTCTGAATATGCATTCTCGAGGAATTCACAGAAGACCATCGAACCTAAGGTTAGCTTAATTTTTAACAGACTCTCTAAAGAGGGAGAAGCCGAAAGATGCTTTTATCAATCGACTTAAAAAAATTCGGATATCGATTGTAATTTTTTTTATTTTTGTTTTTTTTATAACTTTGTCAGTTATAAGCTAATTTGTGTTTTTTTTTTTATGTGAAAGGATATAATTACAAATTGGCCTTTTCGAAATTAAAATAACTGGTTTTGTTACAATTGAAATAGATTTGTTTTTGTGGGTGAGAATAGGATGGTAACCCCAGGTGGAGGTTACCATCTTATCCAAATAGTGAGTCAAGCCTATATAAATAATTATAATAGCCATATATATTTTTTAATGGATGATAATGGAATGGTAACCCCGCCTGCGCAATCGGTATACGCTGGCGGGGCACTAGTGATAGATGATAAGTGAGGATGAAAAGGCAGATCAGTAAGCCCATCGTGATGAATTCAATGACAAATTAGTTACTATGGCTTCCAGAGGGAATCGCGTGAAGGTGTACCTGATAAGGTATATTGATAGCAATGGGGACTAACCTCCCCATTACTAACCATTAATAACCTTCCCTTCCCTCTTGGTATATATATTTAAAACGTAGTAAAATATATACTAATGTTACTTTATATGATTTAGGTGAGCGGCTACAAATTGGGTCAAAGAGAAGGGCTCAGTCGCGGCGATGTGAGAAAAGTCAACAACATGTACAAGTGCAAGAAAGAGTAAGTATACTTAGCAAAATTTATGGACTCCTAGTATATAGTTAGATATAATACTAGCTTTTGCCCGCTACTTCGTACGTGTGTACTTCAGAAATAGATAAACCAATGGAATAAATAGATCACTTCTACATAGATAGTGATCAAGTTGAAACTTACAAAAATTAAAGGAAAAATGTTTAAAAAAATAAATTAGATAGCTATATATTTTTTTTATGCAATGTACAATAAAAAGGTATCCAGACACGATCAACTTAAAGTGAACTTGTTCTTTTATATAATTTTTGGGCGTTGAATGTTATGATGGAAATTTCCACCATTATGCATAGAAGGATTAACCTTTTATATTGTTATATTACAATAATATACAAGGTTAACTTATATTAGTTGGTACCTTTTTAAATATAATAACTATATAGCTTGTTTTGATCAATGATAATGTTGTATTCTGCAGGTGAAAAAATTTTTAAAAATAATTGAGTACTTTTGAGTTTATCCATTACAAACAAAATCTTTCCCCTTCATAATATTAATATAGAAGTGTAAATATAGATTTATTTTCAATTAAAAGGATAAATAACTTCTCAATTCGATGATTTTTTATTTTTTACGTGAATTACGCTTTATTATCAGAACTCTACACCGATTATCTTGATTCTTTTTACAATGAACAGAATGAACGTATTTACAGAAATTGTTTAATGGAACGAAAATAAAACTATAATTTTTTTATTTTTAATCAATCGTAAAACTGCTTTTTTTTAATTTATGGTGCATGTTGATTACTTTTTTACAGAGGCACAGACATAGAAGGTGATAAAAAAAGGTAGAATTGTATTGTTGTTATTGTGAAAGTGTCTTTGTATATGTGGTGTTTTTAATAATACTTTCTGTCAGTCGTTAACTGCTGGGAAGCTATGTTCAGCAGTTAACGACTGACAGAAAGTAAATGACGACTGACATAAAGGAGGTTTTGCCAGTAGTTGCCACGCTTGGCAGACGGGTTGTCAACCGCTGTTTGACTTTTAAAGATATTTTAAGATGGACGCTGTCCATCCTTCAAACGTAAGCTCCTTTAGTCGCCTATTATGACACCTACGGGAAAAGAAGGGGTGGTCCATTCTATGCCGAGGCCTACATGGCATAAATAATATTCACTATACATTATTCATGTCTATAGACGACGGTTACCACTTTCCATCAGGTGGGCCGTCAGCTTGTTTGTCATTCTAAGTTTCATAAAAAATAAAGCAATATTAACTAACTAACTTGGTACAATTATTCTTCATACTGCTGGGCAGGTTATAGTTTAGTTTTCATCACGCTACGATCAATAGGAGCAGAGCAGTGAAGGTAAATGTGGGAAACCGGGAGAAGTTACTCCATTTTTAAGCTTCCGTCGCGTGTGCAGCCTTAATGGGCACTTTTTAAAATGTAAAAATGTCCACCCGTGCGACGCCGGGACTGACGGGCCGCTAGTTTTAATAAATTCAAACGATGCGCTGGGCAACTGTGGAACAGACTTCCTTCTAACATACAGAATAGTCCTTCCATTACTTCAAGAAAAGCTTGAAACATCACTTTTTAACTAATAACTCATAATAATACTTAATACTGTGCACTTACTATTATATCGTATATGTGTATATACCGGGACGGACCGCTAGTATAGAAATAAAGAATAAATATTTATTGTATAGAATGTATTTAAAATATTTTATGTAATAATGCATATTTTCTGTTTTACAGAGAACCATCAACGGGTTGGCTAGGCGGTATCTGGCAATCTCTCTTCGGTGGCAACAAGGACAGCGAGTGAATAGCAAATATTGCTACCATAAAATGATTTTGAACGCATCAATAGTTTTATGTAAAGATCTGTTAATAAAACATAAGATTTGTGTGCTAGTCTTTTTACGTTTTTGTATGAGTTATTTCTATTAATAAATAATTATGAATATTTAATTTGTTTCTATTTGTATCTGCCAGAATAACATTTTAATAGTAAGAACACTGTTTGACTACTTTCATGGCCATCCGGAACTCTTAAATTTATTTTTTTGTCGAGCATTGTCAGCAAAAATACACATAAACCAATTCAGATATCATTACAGTTAATCAGGTGAGACTGTGATAAAACGCACACTATTTTTTAAAATAAAAAATAAACATGCGAAATTTTTAACAGTTTTCCTAACCTAAGTAAACCGTTATTTAACAGGGTGAGAGGGATTGTTAGTTTTAACGGTTAGGTTTAACGACCCCATTGCTAGCAATATAATCTATCTAACTGATAGATTATATTGCTAGCAACTTAACCTCCTGAATTCTCCTGAAAATCAACATATTTAATTCTTGTGAAATTCGTTAGGATGGACTAACTGTCCTGCTTTCATCCCTTTTCATTTTCAGATTTAATAACATTTAATATTTAATAACAATAACATAATTTGCTACATGAACACATTAATTTGTTTTAGATCACAGAAAGCAACGGGAGACTTTGTACAAAAGCCATTTACTTGGGTACCTCTGACTCATTCGTGTTTCTACCGTGAAGCAGTTGTGTTTGCGTGGTTGTGTTTCGGTTTGAAGGGTGGGATAAGGCAGTAAATTTACAGGGTACAGAGTAATATCACCTTACTCCTCGGGATTAGCAACGCATGGGGTGTATTATGAGCGAAACAGTATACTCTGTTATATCCATAGTACTGTTCATGTCTATAGGCGACGGTGACCGCTATCAGGTGAGCTGTCAGCTTGTTTGTCATTCCAAGTTGCATAAAAAATTAAGCAATATTTACAAAATAGGCATATTAATAAAATGTTGTTCCTCTCTTACTACGTTTTATTCATAATAGACAGAATAGACAGTTTTTGATTATGTACACATGTAATATAAGTCATATGCTTTTGTATTAATAATATATTATGTACCTATATATCTATATTGCCACGTCGTCTATTTGAGAGCACAGGGAGATACGAATTTTATTCATATTTTCGAATCTCAGTTTCCATCATGCACTTTATGTATTGGTATGCCCTTTCGCACTTACAGGATTCTTCTGAAAAGTTACAAGTAAAATAATTATTTAAAGCGATCATCATCATCATCAGAATTTTTCCTTTTTTTTGCCGTTTATTTTTACTTCTACTATACTTTTACTTTTTTTATTTTTACTAAAAAGTCATCATGTCGTATAAGGTGTGTCGTTCGACGCAAGTGACGCAGAACCGTTATTTGTGTGGTAATATGGAGGAGATATAGATATGTTCAACAGTGGACAGTGGATAGGCTGTGATGATGATACTTACTGCGATTTGCGCATCCTGTTGCGATTTCCTCGATATCATTCATAGGTCTCCCGGCTCTTTTTCCTGCGAAAATTACTGCCGTTCTAGCTGGATCATAATTGCCATCCTCTGATGCAACTCCAGTCTTTTCAAGCACACACCGTACGTAGCACTAGGAAAACATGAAATTATAGAAGGTTTTAAATAAAAATCCCATTTACAGAATGTTACAATTAGTTTTTTTTAAGGGGTGGTCATGAAATAGTAACACCGCTTGGGTTAATGTTATTCGTGAGGGAAGATAGATGGGGATGAAAAGGCAGGTCAGTTAACCTATCGTAATTAATCCACATGGAATCAAGCACGATAAAAATCCGATTTCAATAGTAGGTAAGCTAAAGTCTTTAATTTCATTATAAAGTTAAGAACCTGAATTCACTTACTTTCGGTGTCCTATCAGTTTCATCAGGGAAGCTGCCACTCTCGTTGAGTGACTCCAAATAGGCTAAAAGAGATTAAAAATATTAAAGAAAATATGTAATAGGTAAGATGTTAAAGTACAGTCTTACCTATCTATCTACATATTAAGAGCATTTATGATCAAGTACAGCAACGACGCATTTATCTGTCAATTTTTAAAAACAATTAAACATTTTTGAATGATTATTTACAATTTTGCTCTGCTAGCGAACTAAAAACTTTAATCATGCAATAACATTCTTATTAATCCGTCACTGGAAATTTTGAATTTAATTTTGACAGTAATATTTTGTCTAAAAATTTCAAAGCATGATTTATTGAAATAAATTTTTATTCAAATATAAAGTCAGTGCAAATTAGTAGATTTATGGTATGCACAAGTATTTTATGATGAAGAGTTTTAGATTTAATTTTTAAATAATCTGTCGGATAAATTGAAAAATGCGACGTTGCCACATTTCGGTATGAAAAATTTTAAGATCTCTGTTAACAAAAGTAGTACGAAATGACATAATAATAAAAATAATACATCATTGGGGTCAACAATCTATTCTCAAATTAAATCTATTTTTAAAACTAACACTTTATATTTGATATCATTGCGAAATTTTTATTTTAATAACTAATATGTCAAAATTTTAACATTTAATTAAACATTATTATAAATTTAGTTTCGATGGTTCAAAAAATATTACTTTCCTATATCAAATTAAAATATTAGGTTAAGAGATTAATCTCGTAAAATAAAGTCAATTAACTTTAATTTCTTTTTAATTTACTTTTAAGACTTTTTTATACATATGTTTTGTGTGGTACTTACACATTTCGACACGGAATGTCTCGTTACATTCGTTCATAGCTTGATCCAGTTCAGTTTCGCTACTCCGTGACTCTGTGAATACGGTAGTAAGTCCTGTAGAGGTCATATTTTTATAATCATCCCTATCAGTCTCTTTTACATCGCTGCCAGTTTTGCTCACCGAAGCCAATTCGGTAAAAACAAAAGATTGTACTGCTAGTACTACGAGTAACAGAACTCTTGACATTTTATGTTACTCTGGTACCTATTGTTGCGATGAACAACGATTTTATACAAATACTCTCAATTTGTAATTAATTTGTGAGGAGTGGTCAACAGTTTTTTTTTTTATTTTCGATCATACAATAAATTATCTATATTTATTTATATTTTTTATTTATTTTTTATTTGTTACCCAAATATCTAATCTTATTTGTGTGCTGTAAGTGATGTAAATAAAGGATCTATCTATCTATTTAGGTAATATACTACATTGAAATGTAACGCAAGTAAATAATATAGTAAATTACAAATATTTTAAAAGTTTCATTATTAGTTATGGAAATATAAATATAATATAAGATGTTTTCTCCCACGAACACTCAGGTTACGGAATAAGCTCCCTGCCGAGGTTTTCCCAAGAGAAATGGCATGGGGTTCATTAAAAGGGGGGTAAAGAGATTTTTCTTCAGGGTCGGCAACGCGCGCGTAATACCTCTGGTATTGCAGGCGTTCATAGGCTACGGTAACCGCTTATCATCAGGTGGGCCGTATGCTTGTTTGCCACCTCAGTGCTATAAAAGAAATATATAATTACAGTTGTGAATAATATCAGCAAATACTATAATAAATAGTGAATTAAATTCTCATTATTAACAACCCCCCCCCTCCCCCCAGCGTAGAGATAGTTTCGTCCCTGCATACGCAAAGTTAAATGTAATTAACTAATTATAAACTATATAATGACAATGTTTGAAACTTTTTGCAATTGTGTTGTTCAATTTGCTGTGATTACACAAATAGGTTCCGGAAATATTGTATTTGCTACATTAATATGATTATCCTTGACTAATGTCATTGTAACAGGGGTAGTCAACATTTTACTTATTTTACTCTAGAGAGTGGGAGGAAAGGGATTGTTAGTAATGTAGACTGAGAATCCCATTGCTAGCAATATACTCAAACAGGTCGACCTCCTCGCGGTTCCCCCTAGAAACTATCATGGTTAATTCCTGATGAATTTATCATGATGGGCTAACTGGCCTGTTTTCATTCTCGTCTATCACCCTTCACTGGTACCCCGCCAGCGTATCCCGTTAGCGGAGGCGGGGTTACCATACCATTTTCACCTATCAAAAAAAAAAAAAAACTGTAGATAGTTTATTTCTTTATACATTTATGCGCTTTTCTTTAATGAAAATGACAGTAATTATGACTGCAATATTAATTACTAATTTACTTTCTAGTATTAGTTTTTAGTAATAGATTTTATTCCAGAAAATGAATTAAAATGAAACACCAATTTCAATCGTGAAGCAGTTGTGTTTGCATGGCTGTGTTTCGGTTGAAGGGTGGGATATGGCAGTGAATTTACAGAGTACAGAGGAGTAACACCTGTGTCCTCAGGAATGGCAACGCATGGGGGTATCATGGGCGAAACAGTATATGTACATGGTACTCATGGCTATAGGTGACGGTTACCACTTTCCATAAGGTGGGCCGTCGGCTTATTTGCCATTCTAAGTTGCATAAAAAAAATTCTTAATGCATTTATAAGCAATGGAGTTATGAGATAATAAATAAAAAATATAACCGAATTGAGACCACATTCTCATCTATCCTCCTTCATTGGTGCTCCGCCAGCGTATCCCGTTAGCGCAGGCGGGGTTACCACACCATTTTCATCCATCAAAAAAAAAATATGGATACCGATTCGATATCTATATTTTGGGTTTCTCTAGTCATTGATGGCGGATTAAAGGTCATCACCTATTTCGATATCGCCCATATCGGTCGGATATCTATTTTCTATATAAAGTCTGGTTATCCAATATTATTTTTTGGATAACACACTTTTAACATATTCGTTATTGGTTTGCTACATATTACCTGCTTTTAAATGTATGGAATCAAATCTGCAACAATTAGAGGGCAGAGAAAACAATAAAAAAATTACCATACAATTATTTAACTATTCATTAGAAAATTTATCAACTACGAACATGAATTAATTAAAACAATTAGTTGAATTGAAATAGTGCAATTTATTATCAGAATTTTAGTGTTTATTGATACAAGAATCATTCTTCGCGTTGACCATCGATTGAATTGGTTTATACAATAGTATAATTCAATCTGTCTCATAGTTGTAGGAAGGGCCTTTGCCTTCAATATTATAGTTGTCTATATTATCTTTCTCAGTTACGAAATTTTCACCGTGTTGCTCAAAATGATCGCCTTTATCAGCGGCTTCATCTTCTAACTCCTGGTTACCAGCTTCCCCTTTCTCCTCGTATGTACTCAAGTCGTTCTGGTTTCCGTAATGTTCCTGATTAGTATTATGATGTGATTCTAGATCTTCTTTGTCATTGTTGTAATGTTCATTCATATCCTCACGGTTGGCTTCTTGTTGCTGCTGTTGATATTCTTTCTCGTTCTCATATTTTTCCTGGTTCTTTTCCCTGTAAGAAAAGTACACTCTACAAGTCCTTAAATTGACTCTATTTCTAAATCAACAAAGTAGAAAATAGAAATCGCTTGTTTGCATTTAATTGAAAGAGCAAACAATTTTGCACCCAAATATTATGGACAGTGACGAAAAATAAAACTTCGAATGGAGAGAGAGACTTAATTAAATACAATAAACTATAGGAAAATCTTACAGACCTACTGGTATTTAAAAATACATATAGTAACAGGGGAAAAAGATATTGCATGGATAAAGTCGATTCATTTTAATAATTTATTATAAAAATGTAATTGAACGCAGATGCTAACAAATAATGCTTCCAGAAATGTTCATGATTATAAGACAATAGCTTGGACTGATTTAGAGGGTGAGATATGGCAGTGAATTTATAGGGTATAGTATCATATTATATGTATATATATTATATGTAATATAATATCATATTTAGATATAACATATGACTTGTTTTACAACAAGGGGATCCTTAGCTTATTTGCCATTTTAAATAGCAAAAAAAAAAATAGGAAATTTCCACTGCTTTTTTATCGCGAGCAAATTGATTTGTGTAGATTCGTGTTCTCTGACAGAGAGTCATATTCTTTTTTAAAGCTATAAGTTGTTACATTATGTTATAACATTTACCAGTCGTCCTCGTTGTAACGATCTTCCAGTTTTCCTGCATTCTTTTCCCCCTCCTCGTGCCAGTATTCCCCTTCTTGTTCCAATTTATCCTCGTATTCCTGACCATTCTGCTCCCCGTCTACTGAGTAGTCCGGAAAGACCACTTCAAATTTATCTGGTGACCTGACTACGCGATATTTGCAGTCAGCTACTTGAAGTACTGGGAAAGTATATAATTAATGAAAAGTATATTTCAATATATTTTTTTAATTCTATTATTTTTAAATTAAATATTATAGATATTTATAGGCTGAAAAATTGATACTTATTCCTTTTATGTATTTTTTTTTATTTTAGTCGTTTCGACGAAGAAAAGCATGCAACAAATAAATAGACAAACCAGTAAATATGTAAAAAATTATAAAAGTATGGATATATCTGATACAGATTTTTTATCTCCGTTTTTTCTTATAATATAAGCATTACACAGGCATACTAAACTTATGTTTTTATGTAAATAAAGTTAAAAATAAATCTTAACATAGATAATAACTATTTCAGTGTATTACCTAGTACTCCAATAAGGATAGAGGTTTTAAGCACGTACATTTTTGAGTTTTGGTGACTGTTCGACGCATGTAGGGGATATATATACGAATGTATTTATGTACCTAGGTACAATTATTAAGATAATGCATGAAACATAATTATAGATAAAATAGTTTGTAATTAAAAACACGCAAGCCAAAAGTACACAGTACTTGATGATATATCTATAGAACTACAAGTAAAATTTCATAAGTAAATTAGCAAACTATATAGGTACTCGCTTTCATTTGAATGCTCAAAAAAAGCAGCTTACATTTACGGGCGTTCCTCTTAAAATATCACCAAAAGCTAAACTAAGAGTGCCAACCTGCCTGCCAAACGTGGCTACTAATGGCAAAACTCTGTTTATGAGGAAGGCTTATGTTCAGCAGTGGACAGTTAACGGCTGGTATGATGACGATGATCACTCATTTTTTTTTATACAACTTAGAATTGCAAGCAAGTTGACGGCCCACTTGATGGATAGTGGTAACCGTCGCCTATAGACATGAGCAGTACCATGGACATAACAGAGTATACTGTTTCGCCCATGATACCCCTCATGCGTTGCCATTCCTGAGGACTCAGGTGTTATTCCTCTGTACCCTATAAATTCACGCCCTTCAAACCGAAATACACGAAAAATAAAAAAATAACTACATGAAGCAAAAAAATATATTGATGAACGGTTTGAAATCAGTACCCACTTTTTTCATACATATTAATTAGTTTTATGACTATCCAAGGGAAAATACATTATCGGTACATAGAAAATAAGACATCAAAGGGTGATTTGCATAACACAGTTTATTATTGCAACATCCTTTTGCATCGATAACTTATCGGCTTGAACAATACTTCTAAGGTGGTTTTCCTGACAATAGTCACTGACGAAGTTCCATTGTTGGTCGCTAGACGTGTTGATCAAATATATTAATAAATTAAAGATTAGTATGAAAAAGAAGTATTGTATGTGTGTATTATTGTTAATTTTATTCTTTAAAGCATTTGGCGAGGGTAAGTGAGATTACAAGGGATTTTTTTATTATTATTTAGTTTTCTGTATTCTATATGTTTTATACATTTTCATATAAGTTATGATTGTGTTATACAAATAAAAAAAAAAGATTTCAACTGTGGCAAAACCAGTTATTTGGATTTAAAAACTAAACTACCGAACCGATTTTGACAACGTTTCTATGGGTCTAATCTGTAAGTATGTCCTTTCCAAATTGACGGAATTATAAGTTCACAATCATAAAAAAGTAGAACTTAATTGAAAACCACCTCCTTTTGAAGTTGTTTGAAAACCAGAACTAGCGACGGATGTGATTTGGAAATACTACCATGTTAATCAACATATTGCAATATTAAACATTAAGATTGCCCGTACTAATGTTATAAAATTAAAAGTGAGTTTGTTTTTTACTTCTTAACGCTATAGTAGCTTAATTGATCAATATGAAATTTGTTATATCCTTACTATATGAGATGGCTACTTTTTGTCCTGGATAAGTCAACATATTTCGGTTACACTACCGAAGTCGCAGGTAAAGGCTATTAGATAATAAATTACAGTTCCTTATATATCGTGCAGAAAAGAAAGATGAGTCAACACAAGAAGATGAATATTCGGCTGTACCAGAGGCATACTCGCAAGTATTCAAAGATTTACCAGCATTATACGAATATATAATAGCTACACTTCAAGACAAACCAGAAGTGTTAGAGAATAGCAACGCTGCAGCTTTCGATGATCTCAATCGCAAAGAAAACCATAATGTTAATAAAAGAAATGCTAATTATATAAATGTTGGCACTAACTATGATGTGAATAGTAATAAAATAGATGATTTAAATAATATTGATTATGGAGTAGTATTTATTGGGGCTGATAGTTCCAGTAGGTATTTAGATCCAGATGAAATCGCTGCGAAAGCTATATGGGTTGAACAGGAATTGGAGGACTATAATTCATAAATACACACAAATGTATCATCGGAATACATGTAATATGTATATATCAATATTATCTATAATATTAAATAAACAAAATATTTCTCATTCCGTTTGTTTTATTTACATTTCTTTTGTGGAAAATTAAACATAGTTTATTAAGCTATAAATTTTATAAAAATGGGCCTTACAAATTTAATTTGCAAAATCATTCATTTCTCTCATTTCTTTATCACTGAGAGCCGTGACTATACAAGGATGTCACTCTCATTAACGTTGCTCTCTAAGCCATGCAGTCGTATACATTTTAGGTATATTTCGTCCAGTAGGCTTCTTTAACTGCATCTGTCCATCGTATTGATGCTCATCCTCAACCCTTTTATTCTTCCATATAGCTGACAACAAGGAGCTCCTCTAATTTATTTATCTCTCGTCTGTCATATGACCAAAGTATTGAAGGAGTCGTTGTATCTATGCCGATAGGCGGATTTTCACTTTTAACATGGCCAGAATCGAAGTATTTATATGGCGCGCCGTCCAAAGAATATTTAATATTTTGCCTCACCACCATACTTCGAACACGTCGATTCCGCTCTTTATGCGCGTCTTCAATGTTCATGTCTCGATGGCATATAGGATTATGGAGAAGACCAGGACTCGTAATTTAACCTTTTACTGATTCCTCTATATTTCAAATTTTTTGCTAAACGGTTTTCCAAATAATTATCTGTAAATATATTTTGTTGTATTCCACTAATTAAGTGTTCTGCATGTTTATTTATACTATATATAGTTTTAGTATCTTGCTACAGTGCAAACATTAAAATTTTGTATGTGTGTGTTTTTTTCGTGCTTATTTATAATTATGTGACTAGAATCTTTGAGTATTTAGTTACGACAATTAAATTAAACCATCTTTTTTCTCATCTATGCTCTGGAATTGCAATAGAATAACCAAATATGTCGTGAGGGTGCCCATGATCTGAAAGTAAAGGTAAAATATCTATTATGCTTATAGTAAACTCTTTAAAACCTTAACAGTAAAATATAGTTCTTCGATCAGTTAAAATATATATTATTGCGGATTCATTATTCTTTGAAATGATAATTCTAAGCAACCAGAAATGCGTAGTACGTTTACTTTGTATTTACGTATACCACCATTTGACTGTACGAATTGTTATCAATTTCTATTTTATTTGTTTTAAATACATATGATGGGAAAGTCCTTGTTACCCCATTGTCAAACTTGTAATACCATCGATGATGTGCATTATATTCTATTAGAGTGTCGTATTAACACGAAGAAAAGAGAAGAATTCATGCGCCACTTTAACTTAAATAAATTGAATGTTGGTCTTATTCAAACTATGTTAGCTGAACTTAAACCAGAAATTTTTGAACATCTGTGTAAATTATTGATCCCCATTAATTCTTCTCTTTCCGCGTCTAGGGAAGGTAGATAAAGTTTTGTTGGAGAAATCAGTTCAGGGTACAATAGGACTGATATACCTGAAGAAGGTAAAAGCCCTTAAAATATTTAAAAAAAAACAAATTTTAGTCAAAATCGAAAAAACTCTGAGACATGCTTATTAAAAATAAAAACATATATGATATACAGATGATGATATATTTTTTTACGTGAAAGTAGCTATCCGTCTGTTTTTGGTACGTGTAGTTTTGGAAATAAGAAAATGAAGAAACTGTGCTACATCTGGAGGACAAATCAAAACATATTTTACTTGTAATTACCACACTTGGCAACCGCAGTTAGGCTTTAGAGATATTTTAAGAGGGACGCAGCTGCCCATACATCTCCGTTCCTTAGTCGTCTCTTATAACACCCATGGGAAAGGAAGAGGGTGACCTTTTATAGAAAAGGCCACCGTCTTCCTTTCCTGTGGGTGTATAGGCCAGGACAATACGGTCAAGAATACAACTATGAAAATGGTCAACAATTTGGTGCAGTAGTTTTTAGGTAATGCCGGAACAATCGTACAGATTGATAGACAGATAAAATGACTAAAATTATTCCTTTGAGTCCTGTTGGTCTTATTAAGACCCCTCATCTATTTATTTCAGCTTGGGTTCACTTATTGTTGTGTATCGGCTTCTTCATGATTTCGCTAAATGCCCCTGTAACTTGTACCTAGTCTATCTATTTCAAGTTCGGGTCACCTATTGTTGTGTATTGGCCTCTTCATGATTTCGCCAAGTGACCTTGCAACTTGTACCAGTCTATCTATTTCAAGTTTGGGTCACCTATTGTTATGTATCGGCTTCTTCATGATTTCGCCAAATGACCCTGCAACTTGTACCCAGTTTATCTATTTCAAGTTTGGGTCACCTATTGTTGTGTATCGGCCTCCTCATGATTTCGCCAAATGACCCTGCAACTTGTACCTAGTCTATTTTAAGTTTGGGTCACCTATTGATGTGTATTGGTTTCTTCATGATTTCTCCAAATGACCCTGCAGCTTGTACCCAGTCTATCTCTCTCTTTCAGCCCAGGTTCACCCATGGTTGTGTATTGGCCTCTTCATGATTTCGCCAAATGACTTGAACCTTCGTCATATGCGTCCAGGTCTTATCCACTGTTCTATGTAAATTATCGATTGTTGTACCCAGTAAAATTGGTTAATCAATAAATAAATGATTACTATTTGTAACACTCACTGAAGCACACAAGGATCTTGTGAGTTGACAGATTCCCAGCGGTGAATAGATAATCTTATTTAGCACAAGGTGTTTGAAGAATTTAGTAAGTTCCGTCGCTAGGGAAGCGTCAGTTGCCGCCAGCCGAGCTGACAGTCGACTTACCAGGGTTTGAGTATGGCTGGCCTGATGATAAAGAAATTTACGATTAAGAGAGTTTAGTACCTTTTCCTGATATTCTCTTTCTACGAAATGTATAAGAGTCTAATAACACCCTATAGAGGGGAAAGTGAATGTTAATACTGAATAGTAACAGCCCCATTACTAGCAATGTACCCTATCAGGTCAATGTGCGTTACGCGGTTCCCCTGGAAACTTCATGATGGGCTAACTGACTTGCTTTCATTGTTATTGGTACCCCACCAGTGTGTACCGTTAGCGAAGGAGCGGTTACCATTTCATTTTCATCCATTAAAAACGACGCTTTATATATTAAAATTTAGGAATTTATTTAGGTTAAGAACATATGTTTGGGTGGGCAAGGGATTATTAGTAACCGGGACTAACGGTTCCATTGCTAGCAATACTGACTGGGTTACGTCACTTCTATGCGTTCCTTCCTAGAAAGTATTTTGCTTAATTTTTCTTAATTAGGTAATAATTAAAATTTAAATAAGTGCAATAAATTTAAACTCCGATTCTATCTTTGCCTTGTTTAAAAAAATATATACTTCATCCTGTGTCCAATGGCAGGGTTCCACAAGCATCAACAGGCTGATGATATGCGCGAGGCACCATGCGAGTTCCAACAGTACCATGCCGGGGTGGTTTCTTGCGCTAACTGTTTAGGTGAAAAAAATCTTGTAACGTCGTAGATATTGTTATATATATATGCGTTATGGGAATTTTATGAACTTTATAAACATCGCCTATACTTACGGCTCTGCAAGCTGCAGCGCTGCAGGCCGCAGTGCGAGGCGGGACATTGCGTAAGAGGTCGTACGCTCTCTGAAGAAAACTTACGGATAAAGTCGAAACAATTATAATCACCAACAAACATAGTATGTTCATGAAATTCCTGTCATACACATATATGGACATCGTTTAAAAAAAGAATATAATTTAAAAATAAAATATTTGAATATTTTATTCTATAACTAATTTTAACCCGCAATTTCGTCTGCGTAACCAGGATACATAGATTGATAGGAAATATGGTGTATATCTTTTTCCATTAGACAACCCTTTTTCATTAGGCAACCCCATCTGCGCTATCGGTATACACTGGCGGGATACCAGTGAGAGGTGATAGGTGAGGATGAAAAGGCAGGTCAGTTAGTCCATCGGGACGAATTTAACGATAAATTAGTCACAATACTTTTCAGGGGGAACCGCGTGGAGGTCGATCTGATAGGGTATATGGCTAGAAAGGGGGCTATTAAACCCCATTAATAACAATCCCTTTCCCCCCTCAGTGAAGTGAGTTGACGCAATTGCGCGGCGTAGCGGAGAGTCACTCATCAGTCTAAGGCAAGGGGGGAAAGGGTTTGTTAGCAATGGAGTTTGGCAGCCCCATTACTAGCAATATACCCTATTAGGTCGTCCTCCACGTGGTTCCCCCTGGAAACCACCGTGAAAAATTCTTGTTGAATTCGTCACGATGGGCTAACTGATTCGTTTCATCCTCACCTATCATCTCTCACTGGTGCTCCGCCAGTGTATATCATTAGCGCGGGCGGGGTTTTTTTTTGGTTGGATGAAAATGGATTGGTAGCTCCGCTTGCGCTAACGGGATACGCTGGCGGAGTACCAGTGAAGGGTGATTGATGAGAATGAAAACAGGCCAGTTAGCCCATCATGATGAATTCATCAGGAATTAATCATGATAGTTTCCAGGGGGAACCGCGTGGACGTGAACCTGGTTGGGTATATTGCTAGCAATGGGATTTTAGTCTCCATTATTAACAATCCCTTTCCCCCCGCGCGGGCGGGGTTATCATTCTATTATTACCCATTAAAAAAAAAGAAAAGTCTAAGGCAATATTTAATAAGATATCCTAAAATTACTTACATAAAGTTAACAGCAGATAGTATGGCGTAATGACTAAATGTGTGAGGTTGCTGCAAAACATCATTAGAACTGTTATCGCATGGCATCTGTTCGCCTCTCTCACCACTAAGCACAGTTTAATATAGGAAACCGCAAGATGGCGCACAGTTTCACAGTGTCTTTTTGGCTTTTGTATTATAGTTATACAATCTGTGTTAAAAAAATACTTATTACTATAAAAATTACATATTATTGGCCACAATTGAATATCAGCGTTTAGCTCTTTTGAGGGCAAAGCAATAAACTGAGTTGTGACCATTTTGTGTTACTGTAGCACACGCATGAAAAAAGGAAATTTTTGTTATATACATACTTTGCTTTCTATTTTTTTTTGCTTTTTTGTTTTTCATTCTTTTATCTCTTTTACTGTGTATGTCTGTATTATGTGTATGTTTGTAGTGCAATTTATATAATAAATTATCTATCTATCTATCTATCTATCTATCTATACAAAAACGATTGTAGTTTATTTTTATAATTCTAATTGGATTATTTTTGAGGTTTAAAAGCCATATTCTGCGAATTGTATAATAATTATATGAATTACTTCGCATATTTTTTGTAGCCTGTAGCCTATGAACGCATATAACGACAGAGAAGATACGTGTGTATTGTCGAGCCTGAAGAAACTTTAATACTCACGCCCTTTTTTTAAGAATTTTTCTGTCTTTAGTCTTTAGGGAAAACATCGGCAAGAAGTTTACTCCACAGTCTGTCCGTTCAAATTCTCTGAAACCGTCCTGTACGCGATCATTTAAAACCATTAGACTCAAGGATTGGCCGTTGACCAGTATATAATTAATTCAAATGTTTTCTTTTCCCATGTTTTTTTATGCAACTTAGAATGGCAAACAAGCTGACGGCCCACCTGGTGGAAAGTGGCAACCGTCGCCTATAGACATGAGCAGTACTACGGACATAAAAGAGTATACTGTTTCGCCCATGGTACTTCCATGCGTTGCCATTCCTGAGGACTTAGCTATTATTCCTTTGTACCCTGTAAATCCACTGCCACCCTTCAAACCGAAACACAGCCTTGTAAACACAACTGCTTCACGGTAGAAACACGAATGGGCAGAAGTGTTCAAGCAAACGACTTTTGTACAAAGTCTCCCTCTGGTTACTTACTCTGTTTGCAATCTGCGATTTCTAGCAAATTTGTTAATGGTTCGTTGAGCGCCTCTACAGCGGTATATACCATGATAACGCCGAAAATGAACTGCATCTCTAGTAATATTAATGCGAAATATGCTCCCATGTAGCTTATATAGAAATATACAATCAATACTGCAATATAAAGATATAGAATTAAATAATCTATAGTTAGTTATAATAAATCTGTAGAGAGGTCAATTCTGTACATGAAATATATTTCCAAAATAACTATCAGGGGGTGATTAGTGATCGATACTGATGCCAGAAATGCAATTAGTAAAATTTTTGTCTGTCTGTCTGTATGTTCGTTATAGAAACAAAAACTACTCGATGGATTTTAACGAAACGTGGTGCAATTATTCTTCATACTCCTGGGCAGGTTATAGTATATTTTTAATCACGCTACGATCAATAGGAGCAGAGCAGTGAAGGGAAATGTTGGGAAAACGGGAGAAGTTACTCCAGTTTTAAGCTTTCGTCGCGTGTGCAGTCTTAATGGGCACTTTTTAAAATGTAAAAATGTCCACCTGTGCGAAGCCGGGACGGGCTTACGATATTTACCTATCTTACGATACCCACGGGAAGGAATGGGTGGCCTATTCTGTACCGGGATCACACTGCGAAGAATTGGAATTATTAGAAATACGAAATTTTGAATGGAGAAGCGTACAATATTAGAAAATAAATTACTCACAATCTCTCTGAAAGTGTTTCGCCTGGTTGACAAATATGTAATACTCTGCAGCGAGAAGTGAGGCAAAAGTTACCATCGACATCAACGCCAAGACAATATGCTTTCTCCTTTTTGATGTTACGGGCTGGATGTTATTTATACTCATTTTTATCTAAAATAAAAAACTAAAATAAATAACAGTACAATAAAAATAGAATCATATAACAGACAAGTTACAATATTTTAGTTTTTCAATATCCTGTAGTCAAGAATTGTCTGGAAGAGGTTTTTTTTTATAATGCTTCCACTTAGGGGTGCGCCCTGACCGGATATTAATTTCCAGTTTGTTTAACTCGTTTATTTATTCTTTATATATCCTTTCCATCCACTTTTCTTCCATCCTTCATCATTCACACTTCATTCCTTCTTGATAATTTTACCTTTGTCTTTATTATCATTATTATTTTTACTGTTCAATTCAATGCAGTGTCTATTTAGAGCAACTTCCCTTTGGCGTTTATGTTGTATACAACACTCGCCCTACAGTTTGCGCGTGTAATTTCGATTGGAAGAGGTTGCTTAGCATTTAAAATCGTTTATTATATCACTTTACATTAATTATTAACAGCATTCATAACTTATGCTTGCCGAAGTGTGGCAACTTCGCGATTACCTGCCAATTTTCCAAAACGATTCTCAATTCTCAATGTTTCTGATTGTTTATTTAAAAAGTTCTTTGCTATCGAACTAAAACGAATTAATATTAGTATTTTCAGAAAAAAAACCGAGTTCAATTATGACAGACCAGTTATAAACTAAATTACTGAACCGATTTTGATAAAATTTCTATGGGACTAATCTATAAGTATTATATCCTTTCAGATAAATTTTTCCATATCGGTTTATAACTTTAAAACGTAACAACAGATTTAAAACGTAACAAACATAAAAACAACTAATTAAATATCTCTTTACTTTGGAGATCGATAGTCGGCACATTCCCCTCTGCTATTGTTAAATATCTACATAGCTGTATGAAAACCACAGGGTCTTTATGCAAGTCTGGGTGACTTGTATACTCGTATAAGCGCCCAAGCCTTTTAAACTTGGAAGAAAAAAACAGGAAGTAGTTAAAACTCAACCTTATTTGTTTGATTTAGATATCGTATCATGTTGTTCATCCGAAGAGGCCCACCGAAAGCAGCGACCAGCATCGTTAACATCACGACACTAAAGTCTGCGATCCACAGGATGCGTTTGGTGGGCGTGCGCACGCGCAGCGACCTAGATGGATCCACGCTGAAGTCGAGTACTACTCCACCTATGCCCGTGGCCACTAAACAATACAAATTTTTAAACCTTATGGTTCCAAACAGTGATTGAAATTTAGCAATGCACAAATATAAAGACCCTATAATTTCGTCATGTTATTCCTTTTATTTGTCCGATCTTTCTTCATTAAATGTTATAAGAAGATGTTGGAGATATGCAAACCTTGAAAGGGGAGGGAGGGGGGTTGATTCTTGATTCTTGGTGAAATTATTTTTATATCACAGAGGTGGCAAACAAATATATAGTCCGTCTGATGGTAAACAGTCACTGTAGCCTATGGATGCCTGCAACACTAGAGGTGTCACGTACGCGTTGCCGACTTTGAAGAAGCCTTAATTTATTGCACTTGTAAATTACATTATTAATGCATTTATAAATATTGTGAGCAAGGGTGGACTTATCTCTGACAGAGATCTCTTCCAGTCAACCCAATGCAGTTAGAAAACATGTTATTAGCGGGCAGCTGAAGTGCTACAACTATTAATATTTAGTGTACATAAACAAATATTAAGATACATAATAAAATATTACATAAATACATATACTATAAATAAATATAATACCTACCTACTTATACAATGGATGTTAAAATAAATGAATATACTACCTACAATAGAAATTTGGTTAAATGATTTTAAGATTATGACTCAAACGAAAGAAAACGTAACTTCAACCTTTTGCTTGAAAGAGGTAATTGAAGGGCTCTCTTGTATGTGGGAAGGGAGTTTGTTCCATAATTGGGCAGCTCGATACGAGAAAGAGTTGCCCATAAAACATGTTCTACACAAAGGTAGGTTGAGAATCCTGGACTGAACTTGATAGGAGCGTTTAGGACGGATTGGTGGTGGTAATAATTTAAATCGAGAGCGGAGGTACGAAGGAGAATTGGGGTTATTAAGTATGTTATAAAGGAAAGAAAGGATGTGCATATCACGTCGAAGTCGGATAGGAAGCCACTTTAACTGGTTGCGAAAGGCAGAAACGTGATCATACTTACGAAGACCAAAGATGAACCTAATGGCCAGATTTTGTAATCGTTCCAGCTTGTTTAGAAGCTCCTCAGTCACATCCAAAAAACAGAATATATTCTTTTGAAGAATCCCATATTATAGTCTCTATGTAAAATTTTACAGATACTATTAGAGAGTCTTATACAACTCGATGGAGAGAGAAAAGGGTTGGCAACCGCAGTTTGGCTTCTAGAAATGTTTTTAGAGGGACGCTGCTACCCGTCCCCCGTTTTCCCTTAGTCGGCACTTACGACACCCACGGATAAGGAAGGGGTGGCCCATTCAGATATTGTTCAGTTAGAATTTAGTTATACTAGTCTATCTATCCTATTTAAGAGCTGCGCTCTTGTCGGTGGAGAGTTATACTAGTAAGATTATAAAATTGAAAGAATAGCGAGGTAAATAGATAAAAAAATATGTAAATAGATAGTAAATTCATCATTATGTCAGCCGTTACTTATCTAGAGGTGAGGAAATCCTTCCCCATAAGGTAAGTTTTGCCAGTAGTTGCCACGCTCGGCAGATGGGATGGCAACCGCAGTTTGGCTTTAATGATGTTTTAAAAGGGATATTGCTGCCAATTTTTCGACCTTTAAATTTAGTCGTCTATTACGACGTATGTATGTATGTGTGTGTATATATATAATAGTATATAAGATATATATTTACATTATTACGTGTATCACATCTCTATATTTTAGAAATAATAGAACTGTTTATAATTACTCCTCTCCATCCAAAGGTTGCCTGGAAGAGATCGCTTTTAGCGATAAGGTCGCCCATTGTTTTCTCTTTGTGATTATTTCTTGTAATTGTTTATATTTATAATAAGTTTACTATTGTAATCTTTTGGAGAAAACAATAAAGAGTATCTATCTGTCTACGAGACTCACGGGAAAGGAAGAGGTGGCTTATTCTACGCCGGGACCACATGGAGAAGATAGTAGATTACCTATAATTAATGTTAAAATGATGCTGTAAACGAATGCAGATGGTGATACGCTGATGAGCCAGCCGTCACGATGTCGCCTGAACCTCAGCGGCGCTATGCCGGCGGCACGGGACACATACAGCACCATAGCCGTAGCGTCGGACACTAAACACTGCGGTTGAGTTATTGCATCTGTTGGGATATAATTATATTGTGATTAACAGAAAAAATCGACTTCAACTGTGACAAAGCCAGTTATTTTGATTTAAAAATTAAAAATACTGGACCGATTTTGATAAAAATTTTATGAGACCAAGCTGTAAATGTATCCTTTCAGATAAAAAAATATTAATTTTCCATCCCGGTTTACAACTGACGGAGTTATGAGGTAATAAATATAAAAAAAAATTCAATCGAATTGAGAAGCGAGTGTAGAGAATTTTTGAAGTCGGTCGACAATTATTGAAGTCATTTCATAATTTAGTATGATCTTCTTCAACATAAACTAATATCAAACGTCGCTGACAGATTGATTTACTCGTATTTTTATGCACTCGGCCTTTTTATGTACATACATATTTGTCTTTTTTTTTAATATTATAATTTTTCATTTTGTTTATATATATATATATATATATATATTGCACACATTTTTTTTGTTACCTCATAACTCCGTCAGTGTGGGGGGAAAAGGATTGTTATTAATGGAGACTGAGAATCCCATTGCTAGTAATATACCCAAGCAGGTCGACTTCCGCGCGGTTCCCCCTGGAAACTACATGGTTAATTCCTGATGAATTCATCATGATGTAGCCCATCATGATGAATTCATCAGGAATTAACTGGCCTGTTTTCATTCTCATCTATCACCCTTCACTGGTTCTCCGTCAGCGTATCCCGTTAGCGCAGGTGAGGTTACTATTCCATTTTTACCCATAAAAAAAAAAACTCCGTCATTAAATAACAAACAAATTAAAAACGTTGTCCTTATTAAAGTAGGTTTAATATGGTATGTATATACGAGTATAGTGCATTATGTATATATAATATTTAAATGTAACTAACCATATTTTCACGTTCTATACTTTAACCATCAGTTAAAATTATAACTGATTTGTTTATAATAGAAACTAGTAAGACATTAAAATTTGCAAAAAAAAAAAACAGAAATCCTGATTCTATTCTCTAGATACTTTTTTAATAAAAAGAAGGAAAAGTAATCTTAGATTAATTTAAATAAATGACAGCGTTGAAGATCTTACGCTCACAAAGCATACCGATCACTTTAAAAATAACATTGTGAAATTCTTTATTTGAATATTAAACTTTTTATCCTCACCTTGTTCTTTGTTAGTTATATAATTCAGTAAATAATTCCATAATATACGTATTCCTTCCATTCTAACTATACAAGTTTTTCTTTTTTATAATTTTATAACATATATTGATTAAGAAATCAAAGTAAGACGTACGGTAGCCTCGAATATAGAACCGTTTATAAGCGTCGACGCTGGTTAGGTACTGGTTAAAACAACAAATAAGTGTTGACCAATCAAACAACTTTTGTGTTGTCATTATGTACAATATTGATTGTATGGAAAACATTAAAGTTCTATAAATGGCCAAGTATAGGTTATATTGATCAAATTTATCATCAACATGATGATGATGACCGCTTCTCGATCCATAAACTTCATAATGATTGGTACTAGTTCTATATATACATAGATTTTTTTTTAAAACACAGGGGGCAGGGGGGAAAGGAATTGTTAGTAATGGGGTCTAAGTGACCCATTGTCAGCAATACACCCTATTAGGTCGACCTCCACGTGGTTCCCCCTGGAAACCATCGTGAACAATTGCTGTTGAATTCGTCACGATGGGCTAATTGACCTACTTTCATCGTCACCTATCATCCCTCACTGGTGCCCCGCCAGTGTATACCGATAGTACAGGCGGGGTTACCGTTCCATTATCACCTATGAAAAAACAAAACACAGGGGACAAACGAGCATGTGGCTCACCTGGTGGTAAGTGACTACCGCCGCCCATGATCACCCACAATAGATATACTATATAATGTTACTATATACTTCATATATTCATGGACAATCTAGCCTCTTTTCAACCGACTTAAAAAAATATAATTCTTAATTAGATTTTTTTGTTTGTTACCTTATAACTCCATCAGTACTAAACCGATTTGGAACATTCTTTTTTTATCGAATAAGATATACTTACAAATTGGTCCTATAGATTTTTTTTTTAAATCAGTAGTTTAGGTTTTTGATTTAAATAACTGTTTTTTTTTTTTGTGGGCCACAATTTATAATTTTCAAGAATACAACAGGAATTTGAAGGTCTAACATGAAAACTGGTGTATGATTTATCTTGATATGTAGTCTTGCCGTGTGGTCCCGGTATAGAATAGGTCACCCCTTCCTATCCCGTGGGTGTCGTGAGAGGCGACTAAGAAAGTGCGAGGGATGAGCAGCAGCTTCCCTCTTAAAACATTTCTAAAGCCTAACTGCGGTTGCCAATCCCCCTGTTAAGCGTGGCAACTACTGGCAAAACCCCCCAAGGGGGAGGCTTATATTCAGCAGTCCACTGCTGAGCACAGTTAAAGGCTGATATGATATATAAATAGTCAATTTTAATTGGTATTTCTATTTCCGAATTTGGACGAAATAATTGGTACGAACTAGCGGACATAAAGATAATATCAGTATAAATAAAAAAGGCGGTCAAGTGCGAGTCGGACTCGCGTAACGAGGGTTCCGTACAAAATTAACAACTCTAAAAATTTTTTTGTGAAATAATTACAAATTTTCGGATTTTTCCCTTTATCTATGCTTTCAGACATTGTAGGTTTTTTGCTTTACAGGATTTGATTTCCTTAATGGAACATAAATAGCCGTATCTTTTGACTGCGTCTATTTACTATAGAAGCTTGATTTTTTCACTACTTTAAGAGATTGCAGACCTAAGTATATGATATATATATAATTTATCTTGATACCTCTATACATTCCTAAGAAAAAGGGTATTGACAGACGGACAAATTAAAATGAAGAATTATAAGAATGTAATGTACATCTAGGGATATATGTGAGGTCAGATCGGTATAGAGTCAAGTGGAGATTTATAATAAATAACAGATTTAAAATAGGTATATTAACAATTTATTTACAAAAATATACATAACAACAGAAGGAATTATTTAAATGTTGACTTAGAAACCGTCAGCTTTATCAGCCGATGTTTGGAATTGGAAAATGATGACCAGGTAAGTTGTAAGGATACCCATGATCTGCAAAAGAATAATAATAATAAAAAGATTTAAGAGAATCTCAACAATTGGCTTGCTGAAAAATGCTTTTACTTACTTGAAAAACCTACTGAACTGATTTAAATGAAATTACGTACAAATATAAAACCTTTATGAAATAAAGAGCCAGAAAGTGACTTAATATGAAAGGAGACTTTGTACAAAAGTCGATTGCTTGGGTACCTCTGTCCCATTCGTGTTTCAACCGTGAAGCAGCTGTGTTTGCATGGCTGTGTTTCGGTTTGAAGGGTGGGATATGGCGTGAATCTACTGGGTACAGAGCTTGTTTGCCATTCTAAGTTGTATAAAAAAAAATGTCGATTGCATAGATACCTCTGTCAATTCGTGTTTCTGCCGCTAAGCAGTTGAGTTTGCATAGCATTGTCTCAGTTTGAAGATATTTTTTTTTAAATAGATGATAATGGAAAGGTAACCTCGCCTGCACTAACGGTATTCACTGGCAAGGCATCAGTGAGGGATGAAAGGTGAGAATGAAAAGGCAGGTCAGTTAACCTATTGTAATATTCACTTGGAATGGAACACAATAGTTTTCAGGGGGAACCGCGAGGAGGTCGACCTGACTTATTAGCTCCATTATTAACAATCCCTTCTCCCCCCGGTGGAGTATAACAGTGTGTCGGCATGTTACAAAGGCATAACATTTTCTCATAAATGTTACACATGAATGGGCGTTACAGTTGAGTTCGAGAGAACATAAAACTGGACATCTTAGCACTAAGTATGCAGAAAAAATTATAAAGAAAAAAGTAATGTCAAAAACTTATATCAAATCCTATTATCTTAATTAATATGTACGTTTTTAACTATGAATGGATGGGTACATGTTTGTTATTATTTTAGGTAAAAACTACTGAGCAGATTTGAATAAAATTTGGTACATAGGTAGATTAGATCATAACTTAGCATATAGGATATTTAATGTACTGGTTTACGCGGGCAAAGCCGCAGGATAAAGCTAAGAGAAACCTTGAAATACAAAACATAAAAAAAAATGGCCGGCCAAGTTACCAGCAACAACACTGTATACTAGGATAACCATGGTCTTTGTTACAAACAAATTCAAAGTTCCATAAAAAAATACATAATAATGGTCGATCCATCCATACCGTAGCGCATAATGGTCTCGCCAGCGTGCAGATACCAAGCGGCGAAAATGTGATTTTGTTCAGAGCGAGGTGCTTGAAGAACTCGTTTAACTCTTTGCTTAGAAGCTCATCAGCTGACACGCTGTCTGTCAGTATACTGACGAGCACGTGAGTACGATTCAGCTATAAAAAAAGTACTGTTAATAGTGAAATCATAAAGTGCTAGTATCACCGGAGGGAGACTTTGTACAAAAGTCGTTTGCTTAAGCACCTCTGTCCCATTTGTATTTCTATCGTGAAGTAGTTATGTTTACATAGCTGTGTTTCAGTTTGAAAATATACGATAATGCTATGAGAGAGAGTGTTTGATAAAGATGACCTACAAATTTCCAACGATAAAGTGCTCCACCGACACATGATTTTTTAATGCAACTTATAATGGCAGACAAGCTGACGGCCCACCTGATGGAAAGTGGTAACCGTCGCGTACAGACATGAGCATACTGTTTCACCTATGACAGAGTATACTGTTTCACCTATGATACCCCTTGCCATGAGAACTCAGGTGTTATTCCTCTATACCCTGTAAATTCACTGCCATAACCCACCCTTCAACCCAAAACACAGCCATGCAAACACAACTGCTTCACGGTAGAAACACGAATGGGACAGAGGTGCCTAAGCAAACCACTTTTATACAAAGTCTCTCTCTGGTAAAACGTGGTTATGTAAAAGAGAGTCGTACTTCCTCCAGCGTCCAATGACACGGTTCTACAAGCAGCGCCAAGCTCATCAGATGTGTGCCGTACCACAGTAAGAGCAGTAACACAGCTTCTACTTGCGATTCGGAGTATTCTGTTTAGAAAAAAGATGTTAAGATTATTAGGTAGGTAGTTATTATTAAGTTGAACATTATTTTAATAGGAATTAAAATGGCAAACAAGTTGATGACCCATCTATCATCATCATGGAAAGTGATAACTATTGCTTATACACACGAATTGTATGGTGAACATTATAGAATACCCTATGCCTGAAGACCAAGGCATTATATATACCTCCATACCCTGTATCTCTACTGCCATATTATTCCGTTTTTCAGATTGATTACAGATCCGCTTAGCGGCAGACAGGAGAGTAATAGATTTCTTCAAATAGACATCTATTACAATATATATATATATATATATATATATATATATATATATATATATATATATATATATATATATAGATAGATAGATAGACAGATTATTGTTTCCTCCAAAAGATTACAATAGTAAACTTATTATAAATATAAATAATTACAAGAAATAATCACAATGAGAAAACAATGTAAGAGCGATCTCTTCCAGGCAACCTTTGGATGGAGAGGAGTAATTATAAACAGTTATATATATATATATATATATATATATATATATATATATATATATATATATATATATATATATATATATATATATTAATAAATATTGTTGTACAAAGATATAATATGCGTTTAACATTATTAACAAGTACCTATAGTGTAAAATAAAAATAATTTATATTGATTAAAAATTGTGCTTAGCGGCAGACAGTTGAGAAACAGATTTTTTTTTAAATAGAATAATTTGATAAGGTTATATAAAAATAAAAAAACTTTAAAAGGAAAAAAAACTACATGGGACAGATGATTAAATATTGTTGTACAAAGGTATAATTCGTGTTTACAAGAGGAAACTCTTAAATGAAAAGAAAGATGTGGGATAAATCAAATAATATTATTAGCACAAAAAAAAAAAACACACACTACCGAATTGAGAACGTCCTTCTTTTATTAAAGTCAAAACTATAGTGTAAAATAAAAAAAATTATATCAGTTTTGTTTGAAGATTGCCCATTCCTTGAATATTAAGTACCTTTAATCGTCTCTTACGACGCTCATGGGAAAGGAAGGGGTGGCCCTTTCTATACCGGGACCACACGGCTATAAAAATACATACGTAAAGCCAACGAGATATAATATGGAATGATGACCAGATGGATCGCGAACGTGGCTATCAGTAGGAGTAAACTGTTTTCGTGGCATTTCGTCACTGACGTCACCACGTAGCAAATGTTGCTGAATGAGAGAGCGAGTCGACGCACCGTCTCATGACTCTTCTTATTTGGATGCGATTTTAAATAATCTGTAAAGGTAAGTTTTTTTTATTCAACATAGAATGGCAAACAAGCTGATTGCCCACCTGTTTACTGTTTCACCCACGATACACCCCATGCGTTGCCATTCCTGAGAACTCAGGTGTTATTCTTCTGTACCCTGTTAATTCACTGCCATATACCATTCTTTAAACCAAAACAGAGTTATGCAAACACAACTGCTTCATAATAGAAATACGAATGAGACAGAGATGCTCAAGCAAACGACTTTTGTACAAAGTCTCTCTCTGGTATTTATTTTAGAGTTATTAATGTGATAATTTAAGATAGTGTTTTGCAAAAAAGCAGTTATTGTTATGACAAAACCAGTTATTTTGATTTAAAGATACTGAAACAATTTTGATAAAATTTCTATACGACCTTAGATTAATAGGTTGAACATCAAGCCTTAAAAACGGGTCAACTTTTTTTTTTATTAATGTTCTATATATTTTTATTATTTAATAAATAAAGTTAGTGTTTACGCATGAAAAAGACGCAGAAATTATAAGACGAAATAAATATACGTGTTTATAAAGGAATCACTCATAACTATTTATCACGCAAAATTGTATGAAAAAGTTGATCCGTTTTTCTCGAAGCATTTCTATGAAGACACTCTATCTGTATAATATCTAAGTATAGGATCAAACTGAAAGTAAAAAGAAAAACAATCATAATATTATTTATGCTGTAAATAAAAAGTTGTAATCAAAGACTCACCGGAGTATGAAATACAATTTACATTTGTAGAAATATTCGATGGATAAATCCGATTCTTCTTATTCATAGCAAAATTATCATTTATTCCAAACGCAGCGCCTGCCATAACGAAATGTATGATATGAAATTGTCTATATACATATATAACGGGATATTAATGTACTGTGTTTTTGTCGTTTTTGACAATTTCGACTTCATTCAGAAGTTTTCTTGAATGACTATAATTACTACACGAGGTACAGCTACTCATCTCCGACAATACAATTTTTAGCCCATCATGACAAATTCAACGATAAATTAGTCACGATAGTTTTCAAGGGGAACTGCGTGTAGGTCGACCTGATAGGGTATAGTAGGGTATAGCAATTGGGACTAACCTCCCTATTACTCACAATCCCCCCCCCCCCCCCCCCCCGACAACACCATTGTCTCCGGTCACCGCTATCTCTGCCCCCTCCCCCACATGCTACATCGCGTCATCAACGGCTATGCAAGCTGCGGCTCGCAGTGTGAGGAGATACTCTCGCTAAATCGCTAATAGATAAATAGAAAAGGTATAGAAAAAAGGTATACAAGGTAGATAGAACACAAATAAAATAAACATTAACAATTTACCACAATGGTTGCAATAGGGCTGTTAGATCCAATTACTAACAATCTCTTTCCCTCACAAAATTGTGGTTAAACAGCAATTGGCAAGTTGTTTGCATATCCTTTAAACTGAAACATACAGCTGCTCGTCGGCAGAAACGCATGTGGGGGCAGATGTACCCAAACGATTTAGTATAAAAAGTCCATACGTGAAATACCTTGTATTATTGTCTCAGTTTCTAAGACATCATTTAGATTTTTCAAAGTAGAGTGAACTGCCAAAGCGCCGACTACAAACTGAGACTTGAGAAATATCATGGCCATGTACGAATACCCGAAACTCATGTACAGACACGCTATAAAACCTGTAATAAGAAAAATACCTTCATTCTATTACCCTAAAGTTTATTATTATGTGTTTATTATATATAAAAAATCGTACTTACGATCCCTGCCATAACGAATGACGTCCACCATTATGGTCCAAATGTCCAGCACCGTGACGAGGAGGAAGCCGAACATTATGGACACTAAGACTATTGTACGTTTCTTCTCTGTTGATGCTGAGGACTGGATATTGATTATAGTATTTATCTGAAATACATAGCATTCTTAAACCATAGTATACCAACATATCAAATTTCCACCATAGATCTATTATTAGAGAAGGAGTTTGATATACTCTATATCTCTCTATACTCTATATGTCTTTTCAAGTTTTTCTTCTCTTGCGTTTATGTGTCGCTTTAGTAGACGCTTTGTCTACTTATTCACCTCTTATGAAGTTCTGGTGATGAAACTGTGTGGCGACACGGCTCCGCCCGCATGAATGAGTACATAAAATACCTTATGTTCTAAGTTACTATATAACATACAGGCCAGATAGGACAGACCTACGATCAGCAGTAGGCAATTAACGGTTGCTACAATATGACGAGTAGAATGACAAATAAGTGGATGGTTCATCTGACGGAAAATACCCATAGACATGAGCAGTACCATGGACATAATAGAGTATATTGATTCGCCCATGATACCCACATTATACATGATAACATGATACACACGTTGCCATTCCTGACGACTCAGGTGTTATTCCTCTGTATCCGGTAAATTCACTACCATATCCCACCCTTTATACCGAAATTCTGAATTCATGCATAAGGACTGAGAATATCCTCTATATTCATAAAATATTCCGCCTTTTACCTTCTGTAATTCATTCAAATATCTTATCATGCTATTCATCCGGAAGGGTCCCTCGTAAGCACCGACCAGCGCCGTCAGTAACACTACACCGAAATCGGCGATCCACAGGATACGTTTAGTAGGTGTTCGCATGCGTACAGCTCGCGACGGCTCTGCGTTCAGGTCTAGTATTAGGCCAGCAACTCCCACAGAAACTAGAAAACAATCACTTAGTAAGTTACCTCAATGTCTAAAGACAAAAGTCTTTAATACGTGCATTCTCATTAGATTCTACGGTGGAGAAACAAGGACTTTGATCGTTGGACTGGCAAATTAAAGGCAACAAAGTGAGCAATGGAGAGAACTAGCTCGGTATTTCTTCGAGGAACAAAATCCGAAATAAAAAGATCAAATAAAGAACTAAAGTGGCTGATATGGCCTCAAAGTTTGCAAGCTATACTAACAGTGGACTAGTCATATATATCAAGTGAGGTGTGGCAGATGGGAGAGAAAACAGTCAGAAAATGGATGCAAAAGCAGAGGACGGCATTGGTTACAGGGCAGCAGGTGATCTGAATAATGGTAATGAAGTAATTTTGATCACCAAGATATTTGATAGTGGGTGTTAACATTTTTTGTTTTCTAATTTTGTAAATATTTATATTCATATGAAGACCCATAAATACAAGAAACAACAGTAAAAGGTCAAAATCTAAAAAAAGATTTACTCAAAAGAGTAAGACTTACCCTAGAATTATACTTGGGTCCGATATAGATTTTCGGTTTCATTATTAATTCATTAGATGTTAAGTCCCTAGATGCTTTATTTGAGATTTTGCGGATGAAAAGCAATAGTGGTAGACACTGTCATCAACTGTCATTTATCAATTCTTATTATTCTTACACAGTGTATTAGTATATTAGTACAGTGACTAATACTGAGGTTACAGAGTGAATTCCAAGTTATCATGACAGTAGAAGGATTATAATACAAACAATTTTGTAATTTTATATTACGGTACAACTCACCTATGAAAGAGAATAAAATTACGTCGTAAACATACACGTAGGGCGAGACGGTGACCAGCCAGCCATCGGGCCGCCGCCGGAGCCGCAGCGGCGCGACGCCGGCCGCGCGCGACACGAGCAGCACAACTGCTGTGGCGCCCCACGCCATGCATTGTGGACGGGACATTGGATGCACTCTGAAATATGTCTTTTAGAATCAGATGACATAATAGTACAAAAATCATGTTAGAAATGTATTATTCGATATTGGTACTAAAAAAAGATTTTGTAAAACTTTGCTTTACAATTGACATGTGTTTTTGTGTAGATTGCTGTGTTGCTGTTCTATTAATAATTTCTATCTAATTTTTATAAAAAGACTATAGATATCTATTTAAGAAAGTCTGGAGAGGTCGAATTAGCAATAAGGAGGTCCTGTTTAGGGTTAAGGAAAAAAGACAAATTATTAGAACTATTGAAGACAGAAGGGGAAAAATGTTGGGACACTTGATACGACACGACGAACTTATGAACATTATAATAGAAGGTAAGATAGAAGGAAGTAGGGGGAGAGGCAGACCGGGAAATAATTACATCAGGCAGATCAAGGAAGGAGTTGGTGTTGTGTCGTATCAAAAGGTGAAGAGACTCGCTGAATATCGTAGTGAGTGGCAAGAGCTCTACCGACAAGAGCGCAGTTCTTAAATAGGATAGGTAGATAGATAGTCTAAGAAAGAACTACTCGTAAGCTCGGATTTTCTTTGCGTGATAGAATCCGAAATAAGAATTAAAGTCACCGACATAGTCCGAACGATAAGCAAGGTGAAGTAGCAATGGGCTGGTAATGATAATGGTAATACTAGATGTAATGACGACCTCAAACTTATTGCTGGAAACGGATGCAGGTGGCTCAGGACCGTTACTTATGGCAGTCTATGGAGGAGGCCTATGTTCAGCAGTGGATGGATAATGGTTAGGATGATGAGGATGATAATTGAAGGATAAATGGACTGTAAAAACATGTCATATTGACTTCAAATAATAAAAATCTGTTTTACAATTTTTTTTATGCAACTCAAAAGGTAAGCAAGCTGGCAAGTTCTGATTTTAGATTTACCAACTCCATTGCTAGCAATATACCCTATCAGGTCGACCTCCACGTGGTCCCACCTGGAAACCATCCTGCTTAATTCTTATAGAATTCGCCAGAATGGGTTTACTGACCTGCTTTTATCCTCATCATCCCTCACTGTTATCCCGCCAGCGTACACCAATAGCGCAGATAGGAGATATGAGTACCATTTTATTGTCACTTATTAAAAAAATTGTATGTACTTACAATTAGTAACAGAATTACCTTGATAATGTTATAAGTACAATATAACTCTTTATAAATAGATAAAAATGTATATAACTTTTAATAAATATATTGTATACTAGTAGAGAATTGTCAAAAATCAATAAATAATTCCTTTTTGTATTTCTTTTTTTACGTAAGTCTTTATCTGTCGTACTGGTTCTAATAAATGAATCGGTATCGGTCGATCGCCGTTTACAGTGAAATAGTTAATATTTACTTTACTGTCTTTTGTTTTCATAAATCAAGGTTTTCATAAATTATTGAATATATTATTGATAGGTGCCGTTGGTAAATGCTTGATGGTTTCTTGATTCTCAAATAATAGCATTGTGTGTACATATTTGACTTTAAAATACGCATTTTATTAATAATATATAATTAGTGTTCTATTTAAAATACTACGATGTCACTTAACTTTTTAGGGCCAAATTGTTTTTTTCTAAACTTATATAATTAACAGGAAAGATTTTATTTTGTGTTTATTATAGATAAACTCAAAAAAATATTCGACCAATTTAAAAATCCCTTATAGTATATTACATTGTGAGTAACATGGGTTGTATTTTATTTAAAAAATAAACCATATGTATCCAAAGCGGGATGCTAGTAATATATTTTTTTATGCAACAGAATGGTAAACAAACTGACGGCCCATCTGATGGAAAGTGGTAACCGTCGCCTATATACATGAGTAGTACCATGGACATAACAGAAAATCTGTTTCACCTAAGATACTCCCCATGCGTTGCCATTACTGAGGACTCAGGTGTGTATTCCTCTGTACCCAGTAAATTCAATGCCATGTCTCACCCTTCGTAACAAAACACAGCCATGCAAACACCACTGCTTCACGATTAGAAAACGAATGGGACAGAGGTGCCCAAGCAAATAACTTTTATACATAATCTCCCACTGTTATATAATATAAATACTTTTTAGATCTTTTTGAAGTTAAGCGATAAAATGTATTTTTTTTTACGTTTCAGCTACTTCTAAGCATTCCGCTCTCATTATCTCTTATTCATCTAATCGCATTAAGCTCTTTCCGGTCTGCAAGAGGCCTTGAGAAATGTGTTCTTGGGTTTCTCATAATCTAAGACTGTAATCTGATTATTCATTATCATTATATCTGCCTTTAATTGCCCACCGCTGAACATAAGCCTCCCCCATAAGGGGGGTTTACCAGCAGTAGCCACGCTTGCCAGACGGGTTGGCAACCGCAGTTAGGTTTTGGTGATGTTTTAAGAAATATAATTACTTGTACAATAAAATATCAGTGTTTTAATAAATGTATATGTGAATATAATATTATATATATATATATATATTATCTTTAATTATATATATTTTTAAATTTTTTAATGTTATATTGGATTAAGTAATATTTTGTTATTATTTCTTCTTGTAAATAAATTAGATATTTATAGAAATATTCCACGGCCAAATAAATAATTATATATCAAAATGTATAAACACATATTGTAGACACAGTAAATACTTGTTAAACAAATGAACGAAAATAACTAACTAGAGGCATATAGTTACTATGTTTACAATCTGACAGGTACGTAGAAACAATAAGTTCTAACCGTGACAGTATATAGTGGGGAAAGGGATTGTTAGTAATGGAGACTAAAAATCCCATTGCTAGCAATATACCCAACCAGGTCGACCTCCTCGTGGTTCCCCATGGAAACTATCATGGTTAATTCCTGTCGAATTCAACATGATAGGCTAACTGACCTGTTTTCATTCTCATCGATCACCCTTCACTGGTACCCCGCCAGCGTATCCCGTTAGCGCAGGCGGGGTTACAATTCCATTTTTATCCACCAAAAAAAAAAAACCGTGGCAGTATCTGTTATACTTACCTATTTAGTAATAGACTGATACAACAGGTAATTTGATGACCCCCGTAGCGCGGGGAGAAGGGATTGCTAGGAATGGGGATTAATAGTTCCACTGGGGAGGAGAAGGGGATGGAATTAATGTAGATTACTACTCCCATTGCCAGCGATATAATATTGCTGTCAGGCGGATCTGCCTGCGATTCTCTCTTGAAACCGTCGTGCTAGATTATAGGAGTATTTATCATGGAAGGCTAACTGACCTGCTTTCATTCTTTTTATCATTCATATATGGATGGTATCGTATACCGATAGCGCAGGTAGGGTTGCCATTCCATTCTCACTCATTAACAAAACAGCTTCATGGCTAGCAATATACCCTTGGTTGCCGAGGGAAAAGGATTGTTAGTAATTAGGAGGTTTTTCCCCATTGCTATTAATATACCCCATCAGGTCGACCTCCACGCGGTTTTCCCTGGTAATCATCGTGGCTAATTTATCGTTGAATTCGTCAGGATGGGCTAACTGACCTGCCTTTTCATCCTCACCCCATCCATTTCATCTTTCCATCATCCCTCACTGGTGCTCCGCCAGTGTATATTGATATAGGGCTACCATTTCATTGTCATCTATTAAAAAACACCCTCGGTTGCCGATGGAAACCATTGTGGTTATTTCTTATCAAAATTCTTAAACAACTATTTAAAAAACAAGAAAAACAGTGTATAAAGATTTGTAGTGATGCTTTCTTTGCCCATTACTTTGATTTATATCCAAATATAGACAAAAAATAAATGTTTGTTTAAAAATCATTGAAAATGACCACCTTTTAAATTAATATATGTACATTAATTCGTAAGCAGTACATACATATGTATATTGATATTATGTCAGAAAAATCTGGGTATTTTTTAATCCAATTACTTGCAACATTAAGAATAGTGATTTTAAAAAAAATGTATCAAATTGATTCAATTAAATGCTGATTACATGTTGACAGCTTTTTAACACTTTATATAATCTAAGACTTAGTATTTATAACGGAGAGGATTATAATCACTTTATATCTCAGTTAATTTTAGAATTAACGTATCCTGATTACGCTGTCGAAATAGCGGATAAACATTGGATGGGATATAAGTTATTTTCCATAACACGAATTAAATCTGAAATGTCACAGCCGTTAATTGTACATTGCTGAACATAGAGCTCCCCTAAAAGAGGAGTTTTGCCAGGAATTATTACGCTTAGCAGGATTCGCGATCGCAGTTAGGCGTCAGTGATGTTTTAAGACAGATGCTTCAGCTACGTCCCTCTACCACGTAATTCCCATACATGCCTCTTACGACTCCCACAGGAAAGAAAAGAGTCACTCTTACATGTCTAACATATATTTGAATATATTTTGCTTGACATATAATTTGATATAATATTTACAATAATAGACTTGGTTTGACTAATAATTTAAATAACTCTTGTGCTACTTTTTAGCTTGTTACTGTTGAGTTTCTTGGTCAAACTTCATACCTGAAACAGTATTCTAAATGGGCGGTAGAATCCTACAAAAAAAGAAAATCTATTCAAAAATACTTGTAATTAAGTTTCTTTAAAAATATATATATTTTTATTCTTATATTATTTATTTAAATATAAAAGAAAATACATTTTAATTGAAAGTAATTTTATTAATTAGAAACCGTCTACTCTATCGGCCGCTGTCTGGAACTGGAAGATGATGACGAGGTAAGTTGAAAGGATTCCCACAATCTAGAAAAGAAATACTTCATAATAACATTTTTATCAGAGTGTACTTAAAAGTCTATCACCTGAATTTAAAATAATAATAACCAAACGATAGATTCCCAAACTATTTTGAGCAAGAGACTTGTTTTCCAAAACGAACTGATATCCCAGATCTTCACAACCAAATTACTTCAAAAATCCTTTTCAGATTTTTTTCCTATTGCAATAAAATACTTACTAATTTAAAAACTTTTCTGTTGGTTAAGTGAATGAACTTGAACAACAGTATTTATGGCCAGACTAGTTATATGTATATGAATGTGAGGGAGTCTTTGTACAAAAGTCGATTGCTTGGGTACCTCTGTCCCATTCGTGGTTCAACCGTGAAGTAGTTGTGTTTGCATGGCTGTGTTTCGGTTTGAAGGGTGGGATATGGCGTGAATTTACTGGGCACAGAGGAATAACACCTGAGTCCTCAGGAATGGCAACATATATATATATATATATATATATATATATATATATATATATATATATATATATATATATATATATATATATATATATATATATATGTATATCAATAATAATTAATAATTCCCTGTTGAAGCTTTCCCTGAAGACTACAATATGGGGTTCTTCAAAAAGTGTATACAAAGGTTTCTTTAGCGTTGGCAAATCGAACGTGACACTTCTAGTGTTGCAGCCGTCCATAGGCTACAATGACCGTTTACCGTCAGACGGTCTGCATACTTGTTTACCACCTTTGTGGTATAAAAAAAAGTCATTACCGTAGCGCATAATGGTCTTCCCATAGTGAACATCCCAAGCGGTGAAAATGCTACTTTGTTCAATGTGAGATGCTTGTAAAATTGGTTCAATTCCGCATTCAGAAGATTGTCTGCAGCTGATGCTCGATCTGTCAGGAGGCTGACCAGTATATGAGTGCGATTGACCTGAACAGGAGAAACTTTTTTTTAAGCAGAAATAGAAATCATAGGTAACAGTTTGTTATGTTTAATCTTATAAATCAATGCAATACCATACATATACCATACAGTCGTTTGCTTGGGCATCTCTGTCCCATTTGTGTTTCTACCGTGAAGCAGTTGTGTTTGCATGGTTGTGTTTCGGTTTGAAGGGTAGGTTATGACAGAGAATTTATAGTGTACAGAGGAATAACACCTGAGTCCTCAGGAATGGCAACGCATGGGGGGTATAATGGGCGAAACAATATACTCTGTTATGTCCATGGTACTGCTCACGTCTATAGGCGACGGTTACCACTTTCCATCAGGTGGGTCGTCAGCTTGTTTGCTACTATAAGTTGCATAAAAAATATTACATGTATATAGAATTAAATGAAGGAAATAATATAAGTACTTAAAAGGGCTCATCACTTCTCTCTCTTGCGACTAGATTCTTTCTGCTTGTTGTAGAGGTATATGACTGCAATGTAGTCCCAGCACAGAATGGGCCACTCCTTCCTTTCCCGTGGATGTCGTAAGAGGTGACTAAGAGAGCATAATGGTCGAGGGATAAAAAAAAAACTAACAGTGGTTGCCAACTCGCCTGCCAAGCATGGCAACTATGAGCACCTCTCATGGAGGAGGCCTATGTTCACTAGTAGACATTTAACAGCTAATATGGTATGGTATATGGTAATGTATCAATGTGCATAGTAAACTTGAGATGTCAGTACTTCTTCCTGCGTCCAGTGACATGGTTCCACTAACAGAATCAAGCTGATGAAGTGTACGATACACCACAAGAGCATCTGGAATACAGCCTGACTCTGTTCTTCTGGGCTCTCTGTTGAAAAATTTAGAAAAATCATTCATTGTTAAAATTAAGCATATTTACAATCGATCTGCGGTGGTGCTCGTATTTATTAGGATAATTTTTTATGCAACTTAGAACAGCAAACAAGCTGACGGCCCTTCTGATGGAAAGTGGTAACCGTCGCCTATAGACGTGAGCAGTACCATGGACATAACAGAGTATACTGTGTCGGCCTTATGGAAATGCAAGAAGGGTATCATACTCTTCATGCGTTGCCCTTCCTGAGGCCTAAGGTGTTATGCCTCGGTATCTTGTAATTTCATTGCGATATTCCACCCTTTAAACTTGCTTTTAGCGATAAGGCCGCCTTTTGTATATGCACATTCTGTATAAATACTCCTTGTATACATCTCTACTGTGCGCAATAAAGAGTTCATTATTATTGTTATTATTATTTAAACTGAAACATCAAAATCAGTTCATTAGTTTATTTTTTAAACCAAAATAACTTTGTTTTGCCATGATTGAATTCATGGTTTTTTTTGATGGGTGTAAATGGTATGGTAACCCCGCCTGCGCTTACGGGATACGTTGGCGAAGCACCAGTGAAGGGTGATAGATGAGAATGAAAACAGGTCAGTTAGATCATCATGATGAATTCATCAGGAATTAACCATGATAGTTTTTAGGAAGAACCGCGAGGAGGTCCACCTGGTTGGGTATATTGCTAGCAATGAAATTCTCAGTCTCCATTACTAACAATCCCTTTCTCCCCGAATTAAATCGGTTTCGTGGAATACAATTTTAATTAAACAGTTGCAAAATAACATACGTATCGCCAAAGAGACGTAATACGGCGTGATGACGAGGTGGATTCCGTAGAATACGAGCAGTAATAGTAAACTGATCTCGTGACATTTGGTCACTTCTGTTACTATGTGACAGAAGTTGCTGAACGAGAGAGCAATATGGCGAACGGTTTCACGGGTCTTCTTACTTTGTTCCGATGTAAAATGCCCTGTAACATGAGTTTTATATAAACTGATAGATATTTAATTCGTTAATTTTAAACTTTCACGTTCTGTGGGCATCGTGTAATGAATACGATAGCCCGATCCTCTGATTGTGGGTCAAATTTATTATAGGGGCCATAAAATGATTTGTTTTGTATTTTTTTTTTCTACTACCACTACCAGAGAGAGACTTTGTACAAAAGTCGATTGCTTGGGTACCTCTGTCCCGTTCGTATTTCAATCGTAAAGTTGCCACGTTTAGCAGACGGATTGGTTAGGTTTCAGAGATATTTTAAGATAGACGCTGTTCGCCCTCCCTTAGTCGTCTCTAACGACACCGAAAAGAAGGGGTGGTCTTTTTTTTTATTTAACTTAGAATGGCAAACAAGCTGACGGCTCACCTAATTGAAAATGGTAACTGTCGCCTATAGACATGAGCAGTACCATGGACATAACAGACTATACTGTTTCACCCATGATACCCCCCATACATTGCCATTCCTGAGGACTCAGGTGTTATTCTTCTGTACCCAGTAAATTCACGCCATATCCCACCCTTCAAATCGAAACACAGCCATGCAAACACAACTGCTTCACTATTGAAACACGAATGGGACAGAGGTACCCAAGCAACTTACCTGTAAAATACTTTTTATTTCTAACGACGTTGACAGATTTTTCCCCATTAAATGTGGCCCCATCATCATCGTTTCCGCAGATGTTCTTATATGCGCCTGCCATAAAAAAATTAATATGAAAAGACATTAAGGAAAAGATCTAAATACTTGCTTATACATATAAAGCTTGCTGCTGAATGAAGCTGAATCATTAACTGTTAAGTAAGAGATATTTTTCGTTAGTAATGCGGACTGCCAGTCCTATTGCTAGCAATGAACGTTATCAGGTCGACCTCCACGTGGTTCCCCCTGGAAACCATCGTGCTGAATTCCAGGTGTGTTCATCACGATGGGCTAACTGACCTGCTATTTCATTCTCACCTATCATTCCTCACTGGTGCCCCGCCAGCATATACCGTTAGCGCAGGCCGGATTACCATCCTATTGTCAACCAATAAAAAAAAAAGAGTGATGAACGACCTGATAGAAAATGATCGCCGTCGCCTTGATCATGAAGAGCACCGCGGTATCACAGTATAATGCCCATGGTATCCCTCGTCCACTGCCATTGCCCAAGGCCTATGGTGTTGTTAAATTGTTGTGTTATCTAATAGGTACACTCGAAATATTAGTTAACAGTTCGCCGTTAACTGTCCACTGAGGTTTATCTTACTCATAGGTAGATTTTATTCTTGGATGGATCTTGCTTTTAATGACTGAATGATGATTAATGACGAAACTTTTAATGGTGAAACTCGTAATTTATGTACTCGTATACATCTTCTGATGTATGATTATGGTTATTTCTAATGATTATAATTAATTATCTGTAATAATTGTCATAATTTCATAATGATCATTTGATTAACCTTCATTATCCGTTTGTGTTTCTAATGCATTGTTTAGATTCTTCAACGTAGAGTGGACAGCCATAGCACCCACAGTGAACTGGGACTGAAGTAATATCAAAGTCATGTATGTGTAGGAGAAACTCAGGTAGAGGTTTGATATCAACTCTGCGAGATAGAAAGAGAACAAACTTATTCCACATTAATTAATTTTTCTTCCTTAACTTACTCCATTTTGATTGTGGCAAAGTTTAATTAACGGAAGTATACCATTATTTACCGCAAAAAGAATCCCCAATAATAGTTCAGAATTATGGAGAACATAGCTTAACACACACACACATACACACACACACACACAAATAAATGCAAATGAAATTAAATATAATAATTCGAAATTTTTCTTCGCATAAAATAGTATTTACAATCCTAATGAAATTATTATGCAATAATTTCAATAATAGTAATAACAAGCTATCAAGCGAAAAAATCCTTATCAAAATTGGCTCAGAATATGCAATAGCGTCATAAACGTATAACTGTAGAAGTGTATATGTTGTAGTTTTTTTTTTTATATACGAGTAATATTACCTTCTATATTTAAATTGTGTATTAAGTATGTAAAAAGAAATTAAATAGAAAGTAATAATAATAATAATAATAATAATTCTTTATTTGGAACAAAAAGATTACAATATTATTGAAAAACGATGATATCCGCAGAAGTAAAATGCCATACTTTTGATATTTATTACAATATTATTGAAATAACGATGATATCCGCAGAAGTAATAAGTAAGTAGAAATTGTGTATCCCTTTCCTGAATGCCATACTTTTGATATTTATAAACATCGATAATATCGGTATAGCAATGTCTATATATTGAGATTTTCGGACTTTATTGACCTTTGGGTAAAAAAGAAAGTCATAACCCATTTCGATATAGCTTATACCAGTCTGATATCTATATTCACTGCTTTCGGGTTCTTTAATTCGATATTTTATTCGATATATATATTAGATCACCGATATCTAATATACCCGTTATTAGGCCAATATATATTGTAAGTACAGTAAGTACAGTAGGCATATTGGTATAGCTATATATTACCACTCCTATTGTATGGTCGTCCTAAGACATTTTTTTTTAATACTATTTAAGATCAAAAAGAATTACTTACGATCTCTATTCAAACGGTCTGCATGTGAACGCGTCGTCCAGATGTCCAGCGCCATAACTAGGATGAACCCAAAATATGAAATGAGCAAGATCGCCATACGTACTCGCTCTTTTGAGGACTGGATATTCATGTTCTTATTTATCTGAAATCAGATAATAATCAACAGGTAAAGCTGTATCTGGGGCATAGTTTTATATGGATATAAGACGTGGACACTAACTCAAAAAATATTAAATTAAAGCCTTCGAAATGTGGTGTTGGAGAAGGATGCAGAAATTTTACTCGAAAGATGAAATTAGTAATAAAGAAGCATAGCTTAGAGTTAAGGAAAAGAGACAAATTATAAAAACTGTTAAGGTTAGTACTTATGAACATTATAATAGAAGGTAAGATAGAAGGAAGAAGGGGAAGAGGGAGACCGAGAAATAGGTACATAACGTAGATTCAGGTAAAAATTGATAACGTAATGTATCAAAAAGTGAATAGACACGCTAAAAATCGTAGTGAGTATCAAGAACCAAGCGCAGCACTTAAACAGGAATGACTCTCTCTTGAACCGAATACATTTTAATAATTACCTTACGTAATTCATTTAAGTACTCTATCATGTTGTTCATTCTGTAGGGGCCCTCGTAAGCACCGACCAGCGCCGATAGCAGTACCGTCCCAAAGTCCACGATCCACAGGATGCGTTTAGTAGGTGTGCGCATACGCACAGCTCTGGACGGCTCCATGTTTAGATCCAACACTAAGCCAACTACTCCCGCGGAAACTAGAACACAAATCTGTTTCTTTGATAATTAGAAAAACAATAATTGATAATTATAATAATATAACAGTAGATAGATAGATAAATAGATATATAAATAATCCTGAGTCCTCAGGAATGGCAAAGCATCCGGGGTATTATGGACCAAACAGTATACTCTGTAATGTCCATAGTACTGCTTATGTCTATAGGCGATGGTTACCACTTTCCATCAGGTGGACTGTCAGCTCGTTTGCCATTTAAAGTTGCATTAAAAAAAATTATTTGCATTCCTTGCAGCACACAAATCACAATCTATCTATGCCCACAGATATAAATACACAGTAAAAATAGATAAAAGAATAAAAAGCAATAATTCTAGCAATATTTTGTTTTATAACATAGGGGCAACATAATAAACTAGTAAGTAGTAATATTAGAACAATAACTCACCTATAACAGATACTATTATGACATTGTAAGCATACACGTAGGGCGAGAAGGTAATGAGCCAGCCGGCGGGCCGCCGCCGGAGCCGTAGCGGCGCGACGCCGACCGCGCGAGATACGAGCAGTACCACCGCCAATGCGCCCCACACCATGCATTGCGGACGGGACATTGGACGCGCTCTGATGGATCTAGTATTTTTTTTCTGAGACATTGGAAATACTTTCATGGATCTTATGTTTTTTTTTAATGGATAATAATGGAATGGTGCCGCGTTATCGGTATACACCAGCGGGGCATCAGTGAAGGTTGATAGGTGAGGATGATATAGGTCAGTTAGCCCATCGTGACGAACTCAACAAGAATTGTTCACGATGGTTTCCAGGGGGAACTACGTGGAGGTCGACCTAATAAGGTATAATGCTAGCAATGGGGCTGTCAAACTCCGTTGCTAACAATCCTTTTTCCCCTCATGGATCTTATGTTGGTATTTAATTAATATTAAACTATTTCTAATGAAATAGTTTCTATAATGCTAATGAAATAAATTCTCAAATCTATACTTATAATAAATCTGTAGAGAGATCAATTCTGTACATGAAATATATTTCCAAAATAACTATCAGGGGGTGATTAGTGATCGATACTGATGCCAAAAATACAATCAAAAAAATTTTTGTCTGTCTGTCTGTATGTTTGTTATAGAAACAAAAACTACTCGCCGGATTTTAAAGAAACTTGGTACAATTATTCTTCATACTCCTGGGCAGGTTATAGTATACTATTGATCACGCTACGATCAATAAGAGCAGAGCAGTGAAGGGAAATGTTGGAAAAACGGGAGATGTTACTACATTTTTAAGCTTCCGTCGCGTGCGTAGCCTTAATGGCCACTTTTTAAAATATAAAAATGTCCACCCGTGCGACGCCGGGACAGACGGGCCGCTAGTTTTTAATAAATTAAAAGATTCGCTGGGCAACTGTGAAACAGACTTCCTTCTAACATACAGGATAGTCCTTCCATTATTTCAAGAAAAGGTTGAAATATCATTTTTTAACTAATAACTTATAATAATACTTAATACTGTGCACTTATTATTATATCGTATATGTGTATATATTGTATACTATTATATACGGACTACCACTCCCATTGCTAGCATTATACCTTGTCAGATCGACCTCCACGTTGTCCCTCCTGGAAATAATCGTATTAAATTCCAAGTGTATTCATCACGATGGGCTAACTGACCTGCCTTTTCTTTCTCACCTATCCTCCTTCATTGGTGCCCTAGCAGCGTAAACCATTAGCGCAACCGGAGTCACCATCCATAAAAAATAATGGTACAATAATATCCTTGTCAGGGGGGAAAGGGATTGTTAGTAATGGAGTTTGACAGCCCCATTATTAGCAATATACCTCCACGTGGTTTCCCCTGGAAACCATCGTGAACCATTCTTGTTGAATTCGTCACAATGGGCTAAATGACTTGCTTCATCCTCACCTATCATCCTTCACTGGTACTGCGCTAGTGTGTACCGTTACGTAGGCGGGGCAACCATTCCATTATCATCCATAAAAAAAAATATCTTTGTCAGTTTCAGTCAAATCCAAATCATTTTAAAGGCTGGCGAGTAAACATTACGAGATTGTTTTTTATGTTTAGTTTTTATGTACCAAAATGTTTATCGAGCGATGGCACAGCAGACTAAACAATATGACATAGAAACGTTATTTTTTTCATGTCATTATCTTGTTGAATCATTATCATTACGAATATAATAAAATTGTAACTACATGATATCTGTACATGGGAGGTATTTTTTTTTTATGGGTGAAAATGGTATGGTAACCCCGCCTGCGCTAACGGGATACGCTGGCGGAGCACCAGTGAAAGGTGATCGATGAGAATGTAAACAGATCCGTTAACCCGTCATGATGAATTCATCAGAAATTAACCATGATAGTTTCCAGGGGGAACCGCGAGGAGGTCGACCTGGTTGGGTATATTGCTAGCAATGGGATTCTTAGTCTCCATTACACATGGGAGGTATTTAAAAATAAAAAAATATGCAGGGTCTTTATAAGGGCCTTAATATTTGTCTGTTTATGTCAGTCTCTATATTTGATGCAGCATCACGAAAAACTAGTACATCAAATTGGTAGCGTTCTTCATTGTCGTGTTTTTAAAGATCTAACTTAAAATCTGGTGCATGTTTTGTTTATTTATTTATTTATTTATACTTGATTGTACACACTATAAAAAATGTAACAGAAGTAAGTAAATGTACAAAGGCGAGCTTAACTTAAAAAAGAGTTCTCTTCCAGCAACACCCAATGTGGGAAGGAGCATCAATGTTTCGTCTTAATACACCAATTGGAAGTGGTGAAATCCACGCGTACAGGGGGGAAATTGATTGTTAGTGTTAGTTAGTAGTTAGAGATTTAATAGCTCTATTGCTAGCATAACACCCTATCAGGTCGACCTCCACGTGGTTCTGTCTTGAAACCAAAGTGGTTAATTCTTGTTCAATTGGTTATTATGGGCCAACTGACCTTCACCGGTACCCCGCCAGTGTATACCGATAGCGCAGGGCTTACCATTCCATCGTCACCTATTAAAAAAAATCTACGCGTGTAAAGTAGCGGGTGAAAAGCTAGTTCAATAAAAGATTGTTTACGAATTAGACAAACAAATTTTACTCAGAAAAAAAAATTTCAATAGTAAACTGGTATGTACAGCACAAATAAATTATATATAACATCAATATCTCTGCACACAGATTAGCAACGTGTTTCGTAGACAGATTACATTTAAAAATACATATTTGAATTTAGAACGCGGCATTGAATTTGCGAATTTGTAAAATACATTTTGCTTAGCAACAAACTGGAACTCTTTGCTCGAGGGAAAAGGGATTGTTGGTAATGGGGAGTAACGACCCTATTGCTAGCAATATACCCTACCAGGTCGACCTCCACGTGGTTCCTTCTGGAAACCATCGTGGTTATTTGCAGATGAATTCGTCACGATGTGCTAACTGACCTGTTCTTATCCTCACCTATCACGTTGTTTTTGCAGAGCAATGAATAGTTTTTTTAATGATAATGTAATCCCATCTGCGCTAGCAGTATAGACTAGCGCGACACCAGTGAGGGATGATTGGTGAGGATAAAAAGACAGGTCAGTATGATGATACTTACTATCAGAGATAGTTGACACTTATTAACAATCCCTTCTCTCACTTTCCCGAGGGTTATGCACCTAGGGCTTGCGAAATGCGGCCATGCAAGCACACTTGTTACAAAACAGAAATACGAGTGGGACAGAGGTACCCAAACGACTTTTGTACAAGTCCCCCTATGATAAATATTATTTTTTTTGGTACTTACGTTAGTCTGGCGCGTGTTTGGAAATAATAATGGATGGAAATTGTCTGTCGAACTTGGCTCACGACGTGTTAATATTTATTTGCCTACAATTGTTTTGTTTTCGTAAATCAAGGATTTGTTAAATTATACATTTCATTATTATTGTAAGGTGTCATACATTAAATTGGTCGGTGAGTTAGAGACCGCTTCATAACGATACTATCCACGCTTTATGGTTTTATTCGTCGTATTAGATAGTAAGGGATAATATAGGTTTCAAATGAAATATCATTATGCGACAAATTTTTTTATGTAACTTAAAACGCCAAACAAGCTGACGGCCCACCTGATGGAAAGTGGTAACAGTCGCCTATAGACATGAGCAATACCATGGATATACTGTTTCGCCCATGATACCCCCCATGCGTCGTCATTCCTGAGGACTCGAGTGTTATTCCTTCCCTTCAAACCGAAACACAGCCATGCAAACATAACTGTTTCACGGTAGAAACATTAAGGCGACAGAGGTATCCAAGCAAACGACCTTTGTACAAAGTTTCCCTCTGATAAACTATTGAGCGAGGGGAGAGGGGTTGTTAGTAATGGGGCTTAAAATCCCTATCATTAGCAATATATCCATTCAAGTTGATCTCCACGCGTTTCCCTTGGAAATCATCGTGGTAAATTTCTGTCTAGTTCGTCATGATGGACCAATTGATCTACATTTATCTTGTCTTCCCCCACTGGTGGGCCACTTACCTATACGCTAATACAGTCAGGGTCACCATTCCATTATCACCATTTAAAAACTGTTGGTCAAAAAAAGTTCTTGAGTTGAGGCGGTCCTATACAAGGAAACGCAGTGTAGGACAACCCCCCCCCCCCCCCCCCCCCCCTTACTAGATGGAGCGACGATCTCATATGTATTGTAGTGAGTCAGTGAGTCAGCTAACTGCATAGTTAACTCGGAACCGGACCTTATGTCAACTGCTGAACATAGGCCTTCCTTATAAGGGGAGTTTTGCCAGTGGTTGTCACGCTTGGAAGGTGGGTTGACAACCGCAGTTAGGCTTTGGTGACGTATTAAAAAGACGCTGCTGGCCATCTCTAGTGTTTGTTAATTTGAAAGAAAGAAAGAAAAATATTTATTTGGCGCATATCAATAACAATTACAATTAAAACATAAACAATTATATACTTAAAGAAAAAGGAAATATAAAAATAAAACTTATGCCTAATTAGAAATTATGCAACTAAAATGGTCACCACTCAGCTAAGTGTTTAAGCATTCTTATATAACGTCTGAACGCTGTAAAAATTTTATGTGGAAACAATTTGAATTTAATTAATTATTTAATTTGGTTTATTTTAATATGGATTTATCATTAGTAGGTACAACTCGTGTTTATTTAAAACTAAACAATTAATATTATAGAAATAGCCACGCCTCACGGTTGTGTCAACCATAGAGCTTGAGAGACGGTCAACAACAAGGTATCTATTATTTGTCTAATCCAAATAATTTGTTATTCAACCCTACCATTATTTATGAAGATTAATAGGTGCTTTATATAGAAGTGATCACACTTAAATACACGGTACAAATATACAAAAAAATCCCACATTAAAATAGGTACTTTAGAATTGACGCTTGTCGTATTTTAACCAACTACAGAAGAATGGAGGGTAATGTGTTTCGGTTGTACCTCTATTTGAAAGTATTATGTATATGTGCAATATATTCTGATGTGTGTGTGTGTGTGTGTGTGTGTGTGTGTGTGTGTGTGTGTGTGCGTGCGTGCGTGCGTGCGTGCGTGCGTGTATGTGTGTGTAATAAATTCAAATTTTAAAGTTATTAGTTTTTAATCCGATCCGTGTAGTTTGTTTTAATTTGGGCAATAAAATATCATTATTTATATTGATGTGAACGCCATCGTGTAGTCTCAGCATAGAATGGGCCACACCTTCCTTTCTCGTAGATGTCGTAAGAAGCGAGTAAAGGAACGTAATGGTCAAGGGATGGGCATAAGCGTCACTCTTGAAAAATCTTTAAAAGCTTAACTGCTATTGCCAACCCGCCTTCCGAGAATGACAACTACTGGCAAAACTCCCCTTATGGAGAAGGCCTATGTTCAGCAGTGAACAGTTAACTGCTGAAAAAATATTGATGTGAGATCAGTTAGAGAAAAAGAATAATTAAAATCGGTGTAAATATCTCGTTATATAGTGTAACAAAATATTTTATTCCATAAATAATTAAAGATTGTGACCCACAAAAACAACTGGCTTCAAATGTAATAGAACCAGTTATTTTGGTCTAACTACTGAATCGTTATTGTTAAAAAATCTATGGGATCAATCTGTAAGTATATACTTTCGGATAAAAAATCCAAATCGCTCTAGAACTAACGAAGATTTTTTTTTTACAACTTAGAATGGCAAACAAGCTGACAGCCCACCTGATGGAAAGTGGTAACCGTCGCCTATAAACATGAGCAGTACCATGGACATAACAGAGTATACTGTTTCGCCCATGATACCCCCATGCGTTGCCATTCCTGAGGACTCAGATGTTATTTCTCTGTATCCTGTAAATTCACGCCATATCCCACCCTTCAAACCGAAACACAGCTATGCAAACACAACTGCTTCACGGTAGAAACACGAATCGGACAGAGGTACCCAAGCAATCGACTTTTATACAAAGTCTCCCTCCGTAGGGTAGGTTGTAGGGTAACCAATAAAAAAAAAAAAAATTTCAATCGAATTAAGAACCTCTTTCTTTTAGAAGTCGATTGAAAAGTGTTTTAACTCATGAAAAACTAATATGGAGTCATTAGAGTAAAAAAGTCAATTGTAAGGAACTATTATTAAAATTAGTTGAAAATTACGAAAGTTTCTTTGCATGACAGAATCCGAAATATGGATATTATCAAAAGAACCAAAGTGACTGACATAGACCGAAGTAAGCTGAAGTAGCAACAGGCTCACATATAGTAACACATTGCTCGAAGAACCGATAACCGATGGGGAAGAAAGATTCTTGAGTGGCGATCCCACACAAGTAAACGCAGTGTAGGACGACCCTCCGTCAGATGAAATTACGACCTCGCATGCATTACATGAAGTCAGTGAATGCAGGAGGCTCAGGACCGTTCCTTATGGCAGTCTATGGGAAAGAACTATGTTAAACAGTGGACAGATAATGGATGAGATGATGATGATGATGATAATGATTAAAAAATTAAAAAAAAAACACTTTATAACATAAACACTTTTTATTAATGCAAATTATTTTCAACAGTACTAGACAAATTGGACAATTCAGTGGCCATGGAATCTGCGGACATGGGTCTTATTATGGCTTGAAAGGTACCTATCATCATTTTGGCCTCACTACCACCAATCTGCCTTTTCACTATCGTTCTTTCTTCTTCTGCAATTTCGTTATCTTCAATATTCTGCTTCTGCTTCTCTTCTTGGAGAAACTCTTCATCGAACATAATTTCCTGTGGCTGTTTTAGAGTGATCAATTTATTTTCTGCAGTTACAAGCAAGTTTTCAGTTTCGATAATATTAACTTCGACTTTCCTTGGATCACCAATATCATATTTATTTATCAGATAATTTCCTGAAGTACTTGTGGTAATTTGTAAAATAATTAACATATGGACGAAAAAGGTCACAAAACAGGAAAATGTCAAAGACATATTGTTGGAATGATATGAAATAGAATTGTTCGCCGGTTTTAAATGGTATCATTAAGGCATAGATATTCAAAATTGTGTATGAATTTTAAAAAGAGAGATAAACTTATCTATGTAGATTCAAGTAGATGTTTTATGGTGCACGCCTAATGAATTGTTTATGGTATTATTTTTTACATTTTGAGAATTCATTTCACTATTTAATAGCTAATATTTAAAAAGAACGAAAATTTAATATTTATTTAATTTAACACAAAATAGAGTTAATTAAAATTAAAGACAAACAAAAATATTTAAAAGTTCTTGTTATACTTATTTTTTTTTATATTTTCATAGATTTACTTATTACATAAGCTTTCCCCGTAAGGGAAATGTTGACAATGGAATGTCCCATTCTATGCTGGGACTGGGACACGGCAATATATTTATAATGGAGTAAAAAATACATTATTATTTTTTAATCGTCTATCGCTAAACATAGGCCTCCCTCCAAAAGGGGAGTTTTGGCAGTACTTACGCTGGTTAGTAGCCGCAGTTAGATTTTGGTGACGGATAGAGACACTGATGTTCATCCCTCGGACATTAAGTTACCTTAGTCACCTCTTACGACATACACAGGAAAGGAAATGGTGGCCAATATTATGCCAGGACCACATGGCAATTCTTCTTCGGTATGTGTTTTTTAATTCAAAACAATTAATTATGATCTCTATCCTTTTGTGTGTTTATGTATGGGTATAGACAGGACAAATTGTGTACCTGTTTATTTGTGTATAATAAATAAAACACTGCTTAACTTATCATACAAAAACACAATAATATTAACGCATCACACGGCCACGGCAAAAATTCCGTTAATAACGGCCCGAATCTCACTCCTAATCCGTTAGTATTCGCCCCGCCCGCCCATAATCTCCACGTGATTACTGCTCTCCTATTACTCCGCTAAGTATTATTATGATGAAATTTTTTTGCGGGAACCAATCAAAAGCATGGAAGTGTTGGATTAAATGAAAAGTGTAAATTTTTTTAACCATTAAAAATAATCTTCAAAGGAAGCAATTGTACATAATAGATTAATGGGTATGTATTAATTAATGAGGATTGTATTTTTTTAAGGTGAAAGGATAAGTTGAGGTAAAACTCTATACTGGTTAGCGTGGATAGACCCGTGTTATCCTAGTATTAGAAATTGGCATATTAAATAGGTTCTTATAAGTTTACTATAGTAAACAACGATTTATGACTCTTGATTCATAATTAATTAATATATCTATTTTATTTGCTTAATTCTAAACTGTCATTTTGTAATATTAAACGGTCAATATGAAGTTTTCGCCTATTTCTTTGTTTACTCTATATTTAATTGTATAAACACAATGACTGAGTATGATATGGTAAACCATATCATCATCATCATCATCATCATTCATTATCTGTACACTGCTAAACATAGGTCTTCCACATAGATTGCTATAAGGAACGCTTCTGTACCACTTGCATCCACTGACTGACTACAATGCATTTGAGGTCGTCACTTAATCTTGTGTAGAGGGGGGGGGGGGGGTCCTATACTGCGTTTGCTCGTACGGGATCGCCACTCATTTACCAATGTAAACAAACGTATAAGTGAAAACGTATAAATAAAATCGGGTATTTTAAAATAATCTGTTGATTTCGAATGTAGTGTAAATAAAAGATTCAATATATATATTTGTTAATTTCATTTAAATAAGTATCTGTAATAATTTCAACAAAACTTGGTTACCATTTTCATTTTAAATTCTATTGAAATATACTATGAAATGAAATGGGATTTATTTCATAAAAACATCACTGTAGTTTCATAAGTTACACTTACTGTGCATAATTATTGTATTTTGTAATATATTTAAGTATTCAATCCTGCAAATGTGAAATCTTAGTATGAAAAGCTGCTACTTTAATGATCCTTAAACAGATTTACAATTTTGTGCTCGCTATTTTTTTAACCGACTTCAAAAAGGAGATTCTCATTTTAATTGTATTTTTTTTAATATTTGTTGCCTCATAACTCCGTCAGTTCTAAACCGATTTGGAATATTCTTTTTTTATCTGAAAGTATATTTTTACAGATTGATCCTATAGAAATTATATCAACATTGGTTTAGTAGTTTAATTTTTTCAACACAATAACTAGTTTTATTACAAATGAAGTCAGTTTTTTTTTGTTGTACACTTGTTATTGCATAAAATAACTGCTTTTTATAAACAAATAGGTAAACAGTTATCTGAGTTAACCCTACTACTAGAAAGCCTATGGTAATTTCTGTATATAGTATTACAAAACAGAGAATCACCAGAGGGACACTTTGTACAAAAGTGGTGCTTATGCACCTCTGTCCCATTCGTGTTTCAACCGTGAAGCAGTTGTGTTTGCATGGCTGTGTTTCGGCTTGAAGGGTGGGATATGGCAGTGAATTTACAGGGTGCAGATGAATAACATCTGAGTCCTCAGGAATGGCAACGCATGGAGGGTATCATGGGCGAAACAGTATACTCTGTTATGTCCATGGTACTGCTCATGTCTATAAGCGACGGTTACCACTTTTCATTAGGTGGGTCGTCAGCTTGTGTAGAGGTTGCCATTCTAAGTTGTTAAAAAAAGAAGAATCCTGTTTCCTACAGGACACACTTAGTCTGTAGCGTCCCTCAAATGCTTGCCGAACATTCCGTATCATTTTTTGTTCTTAAACTAGCTTTTATTATTATTATTATTTATTTATTTAATAAACAGGACACGCTTAGCCTAGTATAGGATTGAAACCTTGTGCTTATACAAACATATTTTTATATTAAATACATTTTTACACTTATTTATTACATTTATTATAAGTCTGTGTAAATACGATAATAAAGACATTGTGTCCAATTTTATCATCCATGATATCAATATCTTATCACCACGAACAAAAATAACGAAATATTTTGTCAATTAATTGTGTAGCGTCCCCTAAATACATGCCGAATATTCCGTACCATTTTTTATTCTTAAACTAGCTTTTTTATTATTTTTTTTTTTTCAAACTTCTCAGCTTTTAATGTTATTGTTATTATTTAAATAAAATTCACTTAGTTAACTTCCAGCAAACGGACCGTCGGTCGGAGTTTAGGGCCCCAGGGAGAGAAACGGGCGTACAATACGGGTAATATCTAAGAACACCACTTTCTGCATCTTTAGATTTTATCTAGAGTGAGCCGCCTCGGAATCCCAACCGTCTGAGATGTCGTTCCAAATTATTGGTTAGGATAAGACCGTTCACCGACAGAATGATCGAGATAATTTCAGATGAGGACTACAACCCCACATTTGTTATTATTGTTTATTCTTTATTGAACAATCAAAATTTGTATGAGTGGCTAATGCATTGGCATTATCTACAAAAATTATGAAATTTATTGTTTTTATTCCGAAAATTATTTGAAATTTTCATATTGATACTTAGTAACAATGGAATATTTATTATTATATTATATATTAAATATAATATTTAAATAAATAATAATCCTAAATTCAGGCTTTTAGTAAATTAAGTTATTAAATTGTTTTCTCTAATAAACTTTAAATTCTTATGTTTTTATATTTTATACAAAAAATTTGGAAACAATATTTGAAGCATTTTATAGTAAATCGATCACATTATTATCTAGATAGATATACGAACCCACGAACACTCAGGTTGTGGAATGAACTCCCTGCCGAGGGTTTCCCAAGAGACTGCAGCATGGGATTCTTCAAAAAGGGGGTAAATAGGTTTCTTCAGGGTCGGCAACGCACGCGTAATACCTCTGGTATTGCAGGTGTTCATAGGCTACGGTAACTACTTACCATCAGGTGGGCCGTATGCTTGTTTGCCACCTCAGTGGTATAAAAAAAAATTCTCGCATGTAGGCACGTTTTATTTATTTATTTACACACTACACTACTATTACTAACACTTTATTGCACCAATTTTAAAGGACTTATTGAAGAATTTTCAATAACTAACTATAGTGTAGTACAAAAGGCGGTTTTATTGTTAAACAATCATTTTGTTGTAGATTAAATTATTAAACAACAAAAATATACTCATTTACTAAAGTACATTTATTTTGAAGTTTTGAAGAAGACATTACGGAGTTATTTATCCATTAGTGATGATAATATATTTATGAAAATGTAGTTTTGATGTCTACGGTTTGGACACACTGTCGTGACAATTGACAACATATTTAAATTTTTTAGCTCTTAACTGTCCCCTACTGAACATAGGTCTCTCCCTACTACGGGATTTTACCAGTAATTACCACACTTGGCAGGCGGGTTGACAACCACACTTAGGTTGGTGATATTATAAGAGGGGCACTGCTGCCCATCCCTCTACCATTGGTGCCCTTAGTCGCCTCTTACAACACCCACAGGAAAGGAAAGGGTGGCCAACTTTATCGGGTTGGAGTAACTGACCAGCCTTTTCAGGGGGAAAAGGGATTGTGAATAAAAGGGGTCTAGTGGCCCCATTGCACGCAATATACCCTCTCAGGTTGACCTCCATGCGGTTCCCCCTGGAAACCATCATGGTTAATTTCTGTCGAATTATTCTTGATGGGCCAATCGACCTGCATTCATTCTCACCTATCTTCACTGATACCCCGTCGGTATATAACGATAGCGAGGACGTGGACACCATTCCATTATCACCCATTAAAAAAAAACTATGTCGGAACCACACGACATATCTAATTTTACGTCAATCTCTTGCTCTTGTAAGCGTATCACTATTTTTAATACAAACATTCCAATCATTCCAAATACTTAGTTATTTTTTTTATTTTTATTCATTTTTTAAAACTAAGCAGCCGTATGTCTGTCTAACAGTATAAATTACACTCGCCATTAATATTAATGCTTCTTTCTTGTACCTTGTGTATCCATTATCTATTCTAATCTTTTTCAATATCAACTACATCTAGAAATCATTGTGACATCTATGCGATAAGTATTTATTCACTTAGACGGTTAACTACCAATTTGAAAATGTTGCCAAATAAAGTTACAGTTATAAAAAGATACGAATATTTTATGACGCCCTTGTACATCAATGAACTAGGTATGTTAGTTATTTTCTACCAACTTAAGAATAAAGTAAAAAAAAGTCATTAAAGGCTACTTACTATATTTAATATTCTTTTTATAAATGGTACCATAAAGTGTAAGTAAATACTTTCACCCCCTAAAAGAATTTTCTTTTAGGAGGTGAAAGTCGTCTTTAGTATAAAATAGCACTTTAAAATTTTGTTTGAAAATTAATCATAGAACAACACGATCATTAAAAGTTTAGAACTGTCCTTATCTTGGTATAATTCTAAAATAAATCGGTGCAGTCGTATTATTCTATTGAATACATTTATGTTTATTTACAATAGATTACCATTAAATGCAACTACCTAGAAGTATCAATAAATGTAAATGAATATTCGCAGTGTTTTACAATTATTTATGACATACCTTTGTTAAAAATATCGATACCGATAAGTATCGTAAAAGATCTAGCATTTTATAATTCAATATTCAAATGAATGAACTGATTACATAGATTTCACACAAACCTTTTTTTCTTCGAAGTGATGCAGGCCTGTCCATTATTTATCAGTACTTTTTATTTTTAAATTCCTTATTATTTTTTTTTAGTACGTTTGTTCCGTTTGGAACAGGCTAAGGTCGGAGACCATGCTGCCTAGTCTTCAAAAAGATAATTTGTCTGGAATATTTCCTTATTATTATTAATTAAAAAAAAAAGAACGCATTTCTTTCTACGCAGTTTTGTTAAATGCAAAAAAAAAAAATAAAAAAAAATATATGATGTAATGTAAGTTTATTTACTAGTCGTAATTAACATAGTAATTACTTGCTCTGTGGTCATTATCCATAATTAACAAACAATAATTAAGGTTGTGTTCCACAGACAAAACCGACTTCAATTCTTCAATCGTTTCACAATTAACGAAGTTATAAGGTAATAAACATTAAAAAAATACAACCGAATTTAATACCTATTTTTTAAAATCAGTTTAAAATTGTAATTGTACCTAATCCTAATAAATTATCAGCAATTATAGTAGAATACAGACTTCATTAAAATGCATTTTTTGAAAGTGTTTTCGAGAGTAGAGTTAACGACTTATTGATTCATTTTTAATGTACCGCCACGCCTTGTTTGCGTATACGATTATGGACGTAATAAAAGAACTTTATTGCTTACTAAAAAGACATCTTACAAATTGGTTAATGTTTACATAAACGTCTCCTTCTTCAACTTATGAGAGCCTAGTTGACGTAATACCTTTTGATCTAATTACATTACCAATTTCGATATTAATAAAGACTAGCTTTATCTCGCAGCGTCGCTTATCTTCCTTCTTCACCAATTTCCCTCAACAAATGAACTATTAAATGAAAACAAAAATAAATTAACATTATTGTTTACAAAAAAGACAACTCACAAACTGATTAATGTGTACATAAATGTCTCCAACCTAACTTATGAGAGCCTAGTTGTCGTAGTATGTTTTGGCCTAATTACATTAGCCATTTTTTTATTAATAAGGACTAGCTGTATCCCGTAGTTTCGTCTGTAGTCGTTTTGTAATTATAAATAGCCTATAGTAACACTTGTTTATTAATGTGCTATCAAATAAAAATAAATTAATATTATTACTTATTAAGAATACATCTTACAAATCCTCCCTCAACTTATGAGAGCCTAGTTGTCATAGTACCTTTTGATTTAAATTTTGTATATTAGAAGGAAATTCAGGTATAGTTTTTTTTGGTAGCATGCTCTATAGAATATAACTGGGCCCCATCATAACCTTGATAATATTTGTAGAATGATAAACGAACAAAATTGTACCAGGATACCAGTAAGGGATGATAGGTGAGAATGAAAGCAGTCAATTGACCCATTGTGACGAATGCAACAAGAATTAACTTCCATGGTGAATTGCTATGAATTGAATAGATATGATGTTCATAATGATCACTATTATTTTACAGTATTTAAAACTATTCCGAACTAATAGTATCATTAGTTATTGAGATAAGAGCTGTGACAGACGGACAGACGAACAGAATCAACCATTCCTTATCTTTTTCTCTTATGTAATACTAAAAGAGATTTTAAAAATGTTTAAATTTCTAATTATTTGAATAAGATTTTTTTCTTATTAACCGACTTCAAATAAAGGAGATTCTCAATTCGGTTGTATTATTATTTATGTTTGTTACCTCAAAGTTCTAAATCGATTTGTAAAATTATTTTTTTATATAGGATAAAAAATATAGGATTGTTGACACAGAGATTTTATCAAAATCTATTCAGTAGTGTAGTTTTAAAATCTAAATTACGAGTATTACTTTTGCCACAATTGAAGTATGTTTTTTTTGTAGGCTGTAACACTGTTTTCGCCTTGAAATTGTATTTATACCTAGTTGTTATTAAATTATTAATACAGAATAGTGAACTTTTGTCACAGATTAAATACTGTGGTATACAAAAAAAAACATGTCAAACTGTCAGAAATATTCTTTATAATCAGAAATCACTCTTATTAAAGTTGAACGAAGATATATTGTTAACTTCATAACAGAGTGACACAAAGTGAATTCGCTGCGGACAATGGGGTTTGGGCGGGGCTAGATACCATCAAAAGCGAATAATGTTGATAAAGTCGAGTGTTTACTGTGAGTACACATAATGCGAGTGCTTAATAACAAAATGTTATTAACTATATACACGTACCATAGAGTGTTATCGAAAATATCACCTGCGAACCGTAATACAGTAATATTATTATTTTCCTTTGATCCTTATGCGAACAATTCCAGCGAAATTGTTATCTTCTTGTTTTGAAAAAAAAAAACAAGTTAACGCACATGTCTTCATGGTCGTAGAATACTGACGGATCTGACAAAGATTACATATAAAGATCCGTCAGTATTCTACGGCTATGACGATGTGTGGGGTTACTCTTGAAATAAATTTAAATAGATCGATATTGGAATTCAAATGTTACACACTCTCGGTTTGCAACACTAGCGACATAATGGTTCCATACCGTTTCAAACTGAAATACAGCCACGCGAACTAATAGTGCGAAGCACTTGTTTAATATATATAAAAAACAAAACTTTTACCTTACATCAAAGATAATTTAGTATTTTTACACAGTGTTCTATTATTAACTTATTTAATTTACACTGCACTTTTAACTAATTTGAAGGTCCACTTGACTTGCGACGCGCGAGACCTTTGGTTCAAGGTTTTACTACTGACAAATTTAGGGTTTGTATGACTTTATAGACAATACTACTGATTTAAATGGAAATAAATGATATACAAGCAATACCATGGAGATAACAGATTATACTGTTTCGCCCATGATACCCCTCATGCGATACCATTTCTAAGGACTCAGGCGTTATTCCTCTGTACCCTGTAAATTCACTGCCATATCACACCCTTCAAACCGAAACACAGCCACGCAAATACAACTGCTTCACGGTAGAAACACGATGGATAGAGGTGCCCAAGCAAACGACTTTTGTATAAAGTCCCCCTCTGGTAAATCTATAATATAGTAAAATTATATCTACCGATAATGCAGTCATACTTATCACTTCATTATTATCCAATCTTAGACATCTGTGACAACAACAGTATCTTGACGGTCCTTGCCTTCATCTTGAAAAAAACCTAAAATAAAAAAAAAATAAATGTTACAGCAAAATAATAAGTATAGTACCAGGATGACATAAGTCCGTAAGAGGTCGATATCAATAGTAGTATTTTTTATTTTATTTTGGCAAAGGACTAGTGTTGCCCATCATGCCACTAACAAATAGGGAATGAAACAGGATATTAAAATGGAAAATAGAAGTATTTTATTAATAGCAATGTTTCAAGGCGTGGATTCTACGAAAGTGGAAGGAGCGAGCGACATTCCGGTTGCGGCCGCGAAACCTCGGCGCTCCCGGTCCACACGCTGCGTCGTTGGAGGAGCTCATGCACTAGTTCTGAGGGTATGTTTAATCTCCTATACTATTATGAACTCCTATTACAAACTAGTTGTAACCGGTGGCTTTACCCACGTAAATTAAGAAGTAATCAATCGTTTGACAGCACAAACATTTTTCACATCTTACAAATGTCATAAAGAAATTTGTAAATTTGTTTGGTTCGCCATTACTTAAACAATTGAATGTTTTTTTTTTTAAAAAAAAAGGAAAATGATAATCTTTTTTAAGCTAATAGTTTTCTTTACCGGGACTAGTGATGGGTGATAGATGAAATATTTTTAATTGATGATAATGGAATGGCAACACAATCAGTCCAACAACGCTATCAGTATACGCTGGTGAGGCACCAGTGAAAGGTAATAAATAAGGATGAAAGCACTTCAGTTGGCTCATCGTGATGAATTCTTTAAGAATTAACTAGGATGGTTGGGGGGAAAGGGATTGATAGCAATGGAGACTGAGAATCCCATTGCTAGCAATATACCAGGTCGACCTCCTCGCGGTTCCCCCTGGAAACTATCATGGTTAATTCCTGATGAATTCATCATGATGGGCTAACTGGCCTGTTTTCATTCTCATCTATCACCCTTCACTGGTCCTCCGCCAGCGTATCCCGTTAGCGCAGGCGGGGTTACGATACCATTTTCACCCATCAAAAAAAAAAACTAGGATGGTTTGCAGAGGATACCATCTGGAAGTCGACCTGATAACGTATATTGCAAGTAATGGGACCGTTAGTCTCCGTTCCTAACAATCTGATTTTCCTTAAAGCACTAAGTTCTTCAAAAAGGGTGTTATAAGGATTTTATGGGTCAGCAAAGTGCGCGTGACATCCAAGTGGTGTTACAGGCGTCCATAGACTACTGTAACCCCGTTTACCATCAGGGCCTTATGTTTGTTTGTCACCATGGTATATTAAAAAAAAATCCTCCCCTTTAATGGACGAAATCAGATCAGTAGAAAAATAGAACAAATAATGTCTTATTCGTAATCTCTTTTTCATGTTTATAATAAAAATAATAAAATAAAATTATTTTTTTTTCGAGTTCAACTGATTTATAATTTTTGAATAATCTTTTTTTATGAATTGCCCAGTTCTAAATACAAATTCAGTTGAGAAGTGGCTAATAAATAAGAACGGACAAGAATTTTAATTGTTTATCTACAATAATCTTCAATTTTCGCGGAGAAATCGCGTAACTATATTTTGGTTTTGCCAAAGGTTGACTAGGAGAAAATGCTATATAGCATTAAGTTCGCCTTTTGTACCATTCCACCTTTTTTTTTTGTAATATGGTCAACAAAGAATAAATAAATAAATAAATAAATTTGCTCTTGCTAATATTAGTAAAAATAAAAATTAGCAAGGAATGATTTAAATATCCAGCATTCTTAGACAAAGTACAAACGAATCTATCAATAGAATCGTTTTGGTCAACGCTTAAATGAGAAAGAACAAAACAGCGAATGTCGCCATCTCATTCTGTCACAAAGACTCGCTAGCGATAATAATTCTATCAATAGACTCGTCTGTATTTTGTCTAAAGGGGCAGGTCTTATATACTTCCCTCCGGGTGGTATGGTGAGCCCGCCAGCCACCCTATCTTGAGAGAGGAGAGCTGCCCTTACCATCAGGGGGCGGGTCGCTGCCGTCGGAGACGTGGTGAGTGCGAAAGCGAACCCATGTATCCGACATATGGCATTGCGAGGGTAGATCGTCTGGTTTTTTGGTGGATTAGCTCCTGTATAACGGGGGGATTCCCACAGTACCCATTCACCTCCCACAAGGTGTATGGGTTTGTACAAAGCATTTTCCAGACGTTAAAAAAAAGGTCCTATATACTTCGTTCTTATGATCCAGGTATCGAGTTTGTTCGGACTGGCGCCGCTGAAGTTTGAGGCGTGTGATGGCGGGTATTACGTCACAATATCCAGTGCTATGTGTATATATAGTTATATACTGGTCACAGTACTAGGTAAGTACAGTCATCGCCAAAAATAGCTGTCCATGCTTTTGATAGGAATAACTATATGATCTAATCTTAGATTATATAGACAGAGTGTCTCCATAAAAATGCTTCGAGAAAAATGGGTCAACTTTTTCATACAATTTCAATGCGTGATTAATAAATATGAGTGATTCCTTTATAACTTCTATATTTATTATGTCTTATAAATTTTGCATATTTTTAATGCGTGAATACTCATTTTATTTATTATATAGTACGTCATATATACATTTTATATGTAAGTTATATAGTTAGAATACTGATAAAAAAACGAGTCAGCTAATTTGACAATTAGCTGACAAAAAGTTGACCTGTTTTTGAGGCTCGATACTCTATCTATATAATCTAAGGTCTAATAATAATGGTGTTTGCCGTGTGGTTCTGGCATAAAATGGACCACCCCTTCTTTTCACGTGGATGTCGTAAGAGGTGACTAAAGGAATTTTATGATCAAGGGATGGGCAGCAGCGTCCCAATTGAAACATCTCCAAAACGTAACTGCGGTTGCCAACCCGCCTGTCAAGTGGCAACTATTGGCGAAACATCCCAATAGGAGAGGCCCTATCTACGTTGTACAAGTAATGGTTGTTGTGAGAATTTCAACAAGAGTGATGTTTTTATAATTTTAGTATATATATATATATATATATATATATATATATATATATACTACTAAAATTATAAAAATTATATATTATATAACTAAAACTAATTGCACTAAAACATACAGTAATAACAATAAGTTAATAACAATGTTAGCAAAGGCGAACTTATCTCTAAAAGAGAATTCTTCCAGTCAACCTAACGCAGTGGCATAGGAAGTAGTGAGTGGGCAGCAGTAGTGCAAAACTGAAGTTAAAATAAATATTTACATAAATATAAATCATTATATATATACACATATTTGAAAGATACAATATTAATAGATACATATGAATATAAACCTACATAAATAAGAACATATATACATATATATGTTAAATGCAACATATAAATATCAAATAAAAGAGAACACAATGATGATAGTTTTCTAATCATTTTTTATTGTTATTCTTCCAGTGATATCCAGAGTGAGAAGAATTTCTCAAAATTTGATTTGTCTATATTTTTTTTTGTGGTCATATTATACGATTACGACGACATATGTGATGCAACGTTAGATATTTATTACTCCCAATTATATTACTGATAATGTAGCTTCCTACAGTTAAAAGAATTTTTAAAATCGTTTGAGTGGTTTTCAGTTTATATATATATATATATATATATATATATATATATATATATATATATATATATATATATATATATATATATATATATATATATATATATATATATATATATATATATATATATATTTAATTTATTTATTCAACACTTTATTGCACTAATATAACAGGATTTGTTAAACAATTTTCAATACGTATAGTGTAGTACAAAAGGCGATCTTATTGCTAAGCAATCTCTTACAGACAACTTTTGGGTAGAAGAAATTAAAGCATAAGTAGGTAGGTGGCGCTTTAAAAGAAAAAGATCTGTAAACAAATAATATCTGTGAAAGCATAGTCAAATACACATACATAAATAAATACATACATCCAAATATATACATATATACACATACATATACATATACAAATATATATATACATACATACATATATACGCACAAATACATACAAATATACCACACTAACACACATAAAACTGGAAATACGTAGGACTAAGTGATTATAAGGATAGGTAGTGGGCTTTAACTAAGTTTTTAAAAATGGGCAACGATTGAGCGCACCGTATAGAGGTAGGGAGAGAGTTCCACAAACGAATCATTAAAGACAAACAAACAAATCTTTCCTGTTTATAACGTTAGTATAGGAAACACACGATCCCATGGACGACGTCAGGGGCGTTCCGGGAACCTTGTCAGTCCCAAAGAAATCTTATTAAGACCTTCTTGAAGAAGCTAACGATGTTGTCTCTGGGGAAAACCTCGGCAGCAAAGCTCATTTGCTTTGAGAAAATTTGTAAAAATGTTTGTACGCTTAGATGTTCGAATCATGTCTGTATATCAGAAAGTACATATCTTATATATAAAATATATATAGACTTTATTTATATTAACATAATATATACAATATATTCGAGTGCTTGCTCTCGATTAGTATTACCACAAATTTAGTATTGCCTGGTGGCAACCCGTATATAATGGCTGCAAACAAGGTCATTTTTTATAGAGAACCTAATGTTGTCGTATAATAAAAGTATAAACTTCCGTTTGGTGGAATTTTTCTCAAAGAACGTAATGAGTTTGTTAAATTTACTAAACTTATTAATTATTTTCATTTGGTAACCCTAAGTTGCGGAGAGCAAGCAACACTGGTATTGTTTCGTAATATGTTATTGCATTTGTCGTCTTTATTTAGACAAATTTACACTTGCAGAAGTTAGCAGCGGAATCATAGCCTAATAGGATAGTCAATATTTATTTTTTATTTATTTATTGCATTAATTTATATTTTTATTTCGATAAATAGCCTACAGGGTATGAAACAACATTTACCGGATAACAAATCAGCTGTTAACTGCTGGACATAAGCTTCCCCCTTGGGGGGTTTTGTCAGTTATCCCTATGCTTGACAGACGAATGTGCTATCGCAGTTTTCTATTCCTGTAAATTTCTTTAGTCGCCTCTTACGACACCTACTTGGAAAGAAGTGGTGGCTTATTCTATGCCGGGACCACACGGCGTATATATTATTTCCAAGTATAATAAAACATTATATACGCAAAATTTTATTGGTTTCCAGTAATATTAACAATATCCGGCCTGGTGGCGGAGATCAAGGTGGGCGTGGAGTTGGCAGTGCGTATGTCCTCGACCACGTCACAGATCGTGTCCATGTGCGACATATTAGTGGTGGTGCTGACCGCCGGCGCGGGTGTCTACGGCGCGCCGAAACGTATGCGAAGCATGCTCAAGTTTATGGACAGCGTTGCTTCGGTACGCCTACAATTCTGAAATTCTTTTGAATTGTCTCTTCTTTTCAATAAGATGCTCCAACGCAAAAAAAGAAAATTAGTCGATAAAACCAAGAGCCGCCTGGTCAAATTATTATACAAACATATTTAATTTAAGACATACTTGTACACTAGGATAACAGGACTCGATAACATATCTACATTTTAAATTTATGATAGATTAAAATGAAATTTAAAGGACGCTCCTCCACCAATTTAGTTACAAATATCAGTTTAATATGAGATATAATCGTGTACCAGGGTAACAGGATTTAAACAAAGATTTATATTTCAGGTTGATACCAGCATAGGTGGTAAATATTCAGAGACGACAGAGCGCAAAATATGCGCGATACTCATAGCAATTCTCGTGTTCTTCTCCGGCTTGATTATTGATGACATCTGCTTCTATGTGATACATGCTAAGAAAGTGGGAAGACAATGTAAGTATTCAGGATGAACTTGATTATTTTTTGATGTAATAAAAAGTTTATTAATCTATTTATTGTGAATTACTCTTAAGTAGCTTCAGAACCAATCAATCATTGTCATTCCCTTAATTTGATCATCATCATTCATCGTCGTATAGACATGAGCAGTACCATGGACATAACAGAGTACACTGTTTCGCCCGTGATACCCCCCATGCGTTACCATTCCTAAGGACTCAGGTGTTATTCCTCTGTACCCTGTAAATTCACTACCAAATCCCGCCCTGTTGGTGATCTTATAAATTTTCACTTTTCCTTATAACGTTATTTTTACACATTCCAGGGGACGTGCTGCTCAACTACATAGGTTTCTACTTGCTATGGTACATAGTCATGATATTGGAACTGCAGTTTGCTTTTACTGCTCTGTCGGTGCGCGTGCGCTTCCAAGCCATCAACGACACGCTCGTGCTTACCGCCAAGAAAGCATCAATGCCAAGTACGATCTTAAATTACATTTTACATATAAAATATGCTCCTGATTATAATTCATAATGGGGTTGCCAATTGCATTTTTTTATGAGTGAAAAGGAATGGTAACCCCGCCTGCGCTATGGGTATACGCTGGCGGAACACCAGTGAGAGATGATAGGCGAGAATTAAATCAGGTCGGTTAGCCCATCGTGATGAATTACATAAGAATTTACCACGATGGTGTACCAGGTTTATCAGGGTATGGGGGTTGAGCTGATGACAATGAGGACATTAAATCACTTTCTCGCGACCAACTGCATTCGTCAATTGTTAAGGTAGGAAGGTAACTCTACGTGGTTACATTTCTGTCATATTAAAATCCAGCGTGGCGGGCGGAGAGTAACTCATTAACACCATAACTCTTTTCCATTGCCGGAGATTAGTCGGAAATTTAATTTGACAAAATATGTTCTTATTGTGTCAAAAGTTTCTGCAAAAAAAGACTTAATAATATAATATATTTCTCGCTATTAGCGTTATAAACATAGGATATGAAAACATATGTTTTATTATAGATATTACCAACTACTTAGTAAAATAGATCCTAAATAAGTACAATGAGAAGAGAAAGTATTTTTTTTTAAAAAGTACATAAATTTATAATATTCAATAGATAATAATTAAAGAGCCAGTATTAAGTTTGGTTACTCATTAATTTTATAATAAAAAAGTATTTTTCATAATTGAAATATTTATTTTATTTATTTAAACTTTAATGCACAGGAAAACTATGTACCTACATATGGCGGACTTATCACCAGACGGTGTTCTTTACTAGTCAATAAATTATATTAAAGATATCAATATTTTTTTTCTTTTTATAACGCATAACTTGTTTTACCTTTGAAACATTTGAAAGTCCATGAATCGAAATTAAAACTATAACAAATGCGTGAATTTCTGTTATTTTGCAACTTCAATTCTAAAAATTCAGAACTGTCATGTGCACACATTTACATTATACGCACACTAGTGTAACCATTTTCTTATCTGTTTTTGTGATTGCATTGCCAATCTGTTAGTACATTGTGTATAGATATACACAAATGTGTATGTATGTGTGTATATCAAGTTAATGTGATCCTAGTTATGTCCTTCTGTGGTAGTGTCCGCAGTGGAGAAGACTAGGAGTCCAGCGTCGCTGAACATCTTCGCGATCAGCGTGGCGTCGTCGGATATGCAGCGTGCGGGCAACGTCAACCTCCTGGTGGACTCGCACGACGACTCCGACCATGATGTCATCGTGTCCAAATCTGGTACATTTTATGGATGATAATGTATCGTTTTTGGTTTTTGCATCTGCATTATCAGCTTGTCCTGGTGAAGAGTGCCAGGAAGTGCTATTAAGTCCTTACTTATCAGCACTCACTTGTGCTCCTGATAATCCTATCTACATGTACTGGCTATGAAGGCAGGTCAGTTGGCTTATCGTGATGAGTTTAGTAGGAGTTTACAACTATGGTTTCTAGTATTATATTATTTCTTGCAATGAGACCACTACTGCCCATTACTAACAGTTTCTTTTCCTTCCCCACGTGATATTTTATTTACACGTAGTATCTGCTTCTTTCATCAACAACAACATCAACCGAATTCAAAAGAAATAAGGTTCTCAATTCGGTTGTATGTTTTTTTTTTTAATATATATCTCATAACTCCATCGATAAATCGATTTAAAAAAATATATAGATCGGTCTCAAAGAAATTATATCAAAATCCGCTCAATAGTTCAATTTTTAAATCGAAATTATTGATTATGCCACAGTTGAAGTAGATTTTTGTGGTACACAATCTTAATTATATACTTACTGATTCAAGCCGGTAAAGCCGCCGAACACAGCTAGTAAGAAATAAAACTCAATGTCGCAGTGGGAGGTGAGCCCCGGCTGCTGGTGTCCGCCGGCAGGGCGGCCGAGCAGCTGTCGAAGCTGCACGGCGCGCTATGCTGCGCGGTGCGGCGCGTGGAGCACAGCTACGGGCTGCCGCTCGTGGTCATACTCATCTCCACGCTGCTCCACCTCATCGTCACGCCGTACTTCCTCATCATGGAGATAAGTGAGTCACGGGTAACATACCCTAACCATAATGAACTAATTAAGACATTTTAAAATGGCAGAGAATTTAGAAATATTATGCACCGAAAAAAAAAACTACGGCCCTGTAAAATAACGAAATATTAATAAAAAAAATTACAGTGCTACACAATCACAGATATTGCCTGGTCCTCAAGCTAGGATGTCCTATGTTATGAGGAACTAAGCAACGTATATCTGAGGGCACAACCCAAACACCCACACCGAAACCAGTTCAGAAAAGTTTATTTTTCAAATTGTCCCGACCGGCAATCGAATCTAGACTCTCCTTTAGACAAACATCATACCTAGTATTTTAGAAAGTGTATTTATTTAGCCAGTTCACTCGGGATATTGTAAGAATTTAATCGATATCCCATACATACAAATCTGTTTAGTTATGGTAGAATAAAAAACTCGGATGCACATATGAATCTTGAAAACAGCAGGCAGTCGTGTATCAAGCTTACGGCCCAACTAACGTATATGCTTTCGATTAAAAAATAATAATAAAATAATCATTATATAATGTATGCTATAAATAAAAAACTATAATCAAAGACTAGTAAATAGAGGGCAAAAGAGGAAGAGGAAGACCGAGGAATAACTACATGGGACAGATAAAAGAAACACTAGGTGTTGTGTCGTATAGGGAGGTCAAGGATATGGCCTGGGATGGAACTGGCTGGAAGAAGATGCAGGAATTAGTCTGTAATGCACCGAAAAGAGGAAACTCCTAAATGAAAAGAAGAAACGAAGACCTGAGAATTTAAATTGTATAATTTTACCTTACAGTCGTGTCTACGAATCGTGTACACTTCCTGGTACTGCAGTTCCTGTGGTGCGTAACGCATTTACTGCGATTAGTAATCGTCGTGGAACCTTCTCATTACACAATAATTGAAGTAAGTATCACCAGAGGGAGACTTTGTACAAGTATCGTGTGCATGGGTACCTCTGTCCCACTCTCTGTTTCTACATTGAAGCAGCTGTGTTTATTTATTTATTTAAAATTTAATGCACAGTGAAACTATGTACAAATGACGGACTTAACACCGGACGGTGTTCTCTACTAGTCAACCATTGGGCAAACCGAGAAATAAGTAGGCGGTGCATTATTGAATTGGAGAAATATAAAAAATACTACATATGTATATTCTTATATTATAAACATATAATTAAACTAATATAGACATACACATAATATATTAAATAAATAAATATATATATGCATACATAAGTACATACAAAAATAACAAACAATTAACTGTATTAGAGGAGCAAATCTATGACTTTAATAGAGTAACCAGCAAGATCAAGTTTTAAAGGAAAATGAGAAAAAAGTAAATAAAAGGAAATGCAGTTTATAAATCGGCCTTTTTAAGAAACAGAAGCGCAATATGCCTGTATTTCGGTTTAGGCTACGGCTGTGAAATTACATGGTACGGAGGTATAACACCATAGTTCTTTAGAATGGTAACGCATGAGTACCATGGCATTCTATGGTGCTGTTCATGTCTATAAGCAACGGTTACCATCAGACGGGCCGTCAGCTTGTCAATTAATTCTTTAATAAATTCGTTCTATTGTACTAGGGTAAAAGAACCCGTAGCCTGGTGTGTCGATTAATGTCATTGACACCGACAACTGGGGAGTTCCCTGCACGTCTCGAAGTGTTCTGCCGACAACTGATGCTGCAGACCACCTCCTATATGCCGATGGGCATGTGTACTTTGGACCGGCCACTTGTTGCTTCGGTTAGTATATATTGTTTTATTTTTAAAGACTTACTTTCTTTAGGTATATCTTTTTTATGGATGATAGTGAAATGGTAACCCCGTCTGTGCTAACGGTATACGCTGGCGGGCTACCAGTGAGGCATGATAGGTGAGAGTGAAAAGGCAGGTCAGTTAGCCCATCGTGATGAATACACCTGGAATTCACCATCATGGTTTCCAAGTGGGACCACGTGGAGGTTGACCTGACAGGGACCTGCTAGCAATGGGACTGGTAGTCTATATTACTTAACCCCCCCCCCCCCTTCAAATATATCAAACTTATCGTACCCTGAACAGATTTCTCGGATAAGATTCTTTCCACTTTCCCTACTCGCGGAAAGAGAAGAATTAATGCACGTCGATAATTTACAGAGATTCAAAAATTTCTAATTAAGGTTCAGCTAATATAGATTGAATAAGACCAATATTTAGTTTATTTAGATAAAAATAGCACATGAATTCTTCTCTTTTCATCGAGTTAATACGGCACTCTAACAATAATTAATTTCTAATTAGCTTTTACCCGCCACATTGTAAACATATTATATTGTCAGGCGTCAGGAGTGTTTTTTTTGATGGGTGAAAATGGTATGGTAACCCCGCCTGCGCTAATGGGATACGCTGGCGGAGCACCAGTGAAGGGTGATAGATGAGAATGAAAACAGGCCAGTTAGCCCATCATGATGAATTCATCAGGAATCAACCATGATAGTTTCCAAGGAAAACCGCGAGGAAGTCGACTTGGTTGGGTATATTGCTAGCAATGGAATTCTCAGTCTTCATTACTAACAATCCCTTTCCCCCCGCGTCAGGGGTGTTCTTCTCTATAAATCTGTCCGATTCTAGAATAAGGGCATACGGGTATGCGACCCCGGCCTCCCGAGCCGCTCCAGTGTCCCAGTCCTTTCCGCAATTGCAGCATCCCCCCATTCCTTTCCCACATAAGTCTCTTATTCCTCTCATTTGCTAATTTCCTTCACTCATTTCCAACGTTCCCTTCTTTTTTTCTTCAATCCTTTTCTCCATACTTTAGGTGGCGGAAACCACAAACAAATTCATTCCCAAAGAGGGTTTTTTTTATAGGTGATAATGGAATGGTAACCCCGCTTGCGCTATCGGGATACGCTGGCGGAGCACCAGTGAAGGATGATAGGTGAGGATGAAGTAGGTCAGTTGGCCCATCGTGACGAATTCAACAAGAATTGTTCACGATGGTTTTCAGGGGGAACCACGTGGAGGTCGACCTAATAGGGCTAGCAATGGGACTGTCAAACTCCATTACTAACAATCCCTTTCCCCCTCCCAAAGAGGGTTGACGTCAGGCAGGCGGCCGGTCGTAAAACTTCATATAAGTCAAATCCTTTAGTAATATGGATAAAACCAGATTACGCCGACCACAATAATAATTGGGATAAGGGTAGGAAGACGATGATGTTATAGAAAAGTCTTATTTTTATTTTATTATAGTAGTTTATTGAACCAACACTTTTTTTTTTATTTTATACAAAAATCCACAGCTCTTAAAAAATAACTTACATACTAAGTCTCTTATGAATACAAACAATAACGGATTTTATTTATACGAGTACAAACAAAAATTTTATTTCCAAAGCGAGGTAGGCAAATTAGAGTACCCACTCTATGTATGTATGTAAGTAATATAAGCACACGTATGAAAGAAACCATATATAATAGTAAGTGTCCATAAAGATAAGTTAATTGATATATAAAATAATTAAAAATATATTATAATTATAAGAAAATATATTAGAAATATAAATATATTATAAAAATATATTATAAATATAATCATAGCACACGACATTTCATGTGTAGACTTGTAAATTGACAAAAAATGCAATAATTGCCACTTACAAAAATATTTTTATATAACAAAAAAAAAAAGAAAAAGAAAAAATTAACATCGCCAGAACAAAAAATATAAACAATTTATTTTAATATTAAATTTTTATGTTCTGTATTGAACAATGATGATTATATCGATTTAAATAATCAAGTTTAATAAATAAATATATTGTCAATAATTTCTATTTTATATTATTAATGTAAGAACATATTATTTTCGTCTAGTTGTGCAACTATTATTAACGATCTTGCACCTTAATATTACATTTTGCGCCCACGTTGTCACTACTTTGGCTCGTCCCTCAGTTCAAGCCACATACTCATTTATTAATACAAAACTAATTAAACTATAGTTTACATTACACATTTAGACAATTTACTGAGAAACGATCAATAGACAGTCGTGGAAAGCTCATCAAACTGTAAGGCAGTGAAATTTAGGGTACGGATACACAGGGCCGGATTATGCTTTAGGCATAAGCAAGTGTCTAGAGCCCCCCATCGGCTAGGGGACCCGCGCCCCGATAAAATATCTTTAAAAAAAAAACTTTAAATGAAAATACTTATTGAATTATATACATATTATATATTTTTGAATTTATAGGGTACAGGGGAATAACACCCGAGTCCTCAGAATGGCAAGAGGGTACCATGGGCGAAACAGTATACTTTGTTATGTCCAGGTCCAAATGTTACTGCTCATGTCTATAGGCGACGGTTACCACTTTTCATCAGGTGGGCCGTTAGCTTGTTAGCCGTTCTAAGTCGTATAAAAAAAATTTGTGAAAATTTGTATCTAATAAACTCTCAATTTTTTTTTTTATATATTATAACGTCATATTTCAATATATTTCGTAACACGTTTCAAGTAATTATATGTCAAAATTAGAGCAGCTTTTTCGTGACACATGCATTGCCTAAGAATCTCAACGTGTTTAATTCGGCCCTGTGCTTTTTTTAATTTCATAATGGGTGAAGATGAAATGGTAAACAGCTATCGGTATACGCTGACGGGGCATCAGTGAAGGGTGACAGGTGAGGATGATCCGGCCCTGTGCTTACATAATAACGTAAAGTCCTTAGGGATGGCGAATGAAGGTAACTTATGTTCGTGGTAAATATTTCATTCTCATAGGGTTTCTTAGCATGTAAGTTTCTTTACCATATTTTCCAAATGCTTAAGCAGATTTGCAAAACGTTCTATTGTTGCAGGCGTTCAAAGGCTGCAGTAACCGTTTACCATCAGACAGGCTGTATTTTTATTTATTTATTCTTTATTGTACACAAAAAATTACAACATATATATAAAATAAAGGCGAGCTTAACTCTGTAAGGGTTCTCTTCCAGCAAACCCTGAGTGGAAAGGAGCATTTATTACCAGCGGGCAGTGTGCGTACAATAATAGGAGGAAACATTATAGATGTTTCTATTAAAAAATAATAAATATGTCGACATATATAAGTAACTCATTAAATTAAAATCAAAATAAATACACATCTGTATACAATAATACATATACATATATACATAATCATAAAATATCTCTTTACATACAAAATACGTACATATACATACATAGATATAATAAGTTTGTGAGGACAGAAGATGCTCTTTTAATCTGCTCTTGAATATGTATGCTTGTTTGCATTGTCCGCTGAAAATAAAATAATGTGTTACTTACTTATTTTTGTTTAGGTGAAATAGATTTTCCAAATCGTTTCAATAGTTTTTGAGGTTGTCTATTACAAAGAAATATACAAAAACTATCAAATATTTCCTGTTTATAATATCCTTTTTATTCGGGTCACTGCGACACACATGGTGAAAATATATTTCCATATTTTATCTTTTGATTTACATTAAAAAAAAATCGTATAAACTCATTTGTGTGTCATAAATGGCTTAAATAAAGTGTATATCTATCTATCTTTATATAGATTTCATTATTAATATATTTAATTTGTTTTCAGATACTCGGAGCAGTCACTACGTACTTAGTCATACTGATACAGTTCCAGAGATACGACACTTAGTTACATATTAGATTATTTATTTTATTTACATATAAATATTATAAAAACAATTTTTTCATATTTATTTCTTTAATATAAATAAATCAGACTTATTTTTTTAAAAGAAATCCCTAACAAACTGCCATTGGTTGTGCACTTAATTCATCAATATGTCCTAATAATTTATCAATTCGTAAAAATCCTTAATTGAACCTTTAATTTAGAGAACTGTAAAATAACTTATCTAAATTGGCTTAGAGTTACGTATTCTAAGTTACGTATTCATGTTATCATCATCATCATCATCATATCAGCCGTCATCTGTCCACTGCTTCACATAAATCTTCATCGTAAATTGTCATAAGGAGTAAGGCCATTCCTTATGGTGCAAAGAGGGAGGTTTTTTTTTTTTAATGGATGATAATGGAATGGTAACCCCACCCGCGCTATCGGTATACACCGGCGGGGCACCAGTGAAGGATGATAGGTGAGGATGAAGTAGGTCAGTTAGCCCACCGTGACGAATTCAACAAGAATTGTTCACGATGGTTTCCAGGGGGAACCACGTGGAGGTCGACCTAATAAGGTATATTGCTAGCAATGGGGTTGTCAAACTCCATTGCTAACAATCCTTTTCCCCCCCAAAGAGGGAGGTTGGCGGAGAGTAAAACACACTCGTTGGTAACTGGTGTACTTCAGATTTACATGATGAATACTCGGGCCTTAATCAGTTACAAAATCTCTTTTCTATTAACTGCTGTGTGCTAATATGAAATATAATATTAGGAAGTTATTTCAAACATTTAGTTATGTTCATAGAACGTGTTAGTTACGTTACCATATCACAATGGCAGTTTAATATTGGGGGATTTTGCCACTAGTTATCACGTTTGGCAGGCGGATTGGCTACCGCAATTTGGCTTTTGGGCCGATACTGCCCATCCCTCCATCATTAAGTTTTTTTAGTCGTTTCTTACTATACCTACGGGAATGAAAAGGGTGGCGTATTCTATGAATAGATGATTGTTACTCTTTCACGGAAAAAATAATTAACACTGTGAAATTTGGATGATAATGGAATGGCAAACCCACCCCCGCTATCGGGATACGCTGGCGGAGCACCAGTAAAGGATTATAGGTGAGAATGGAAGCAGGTTAGTGCTGTGTGCTTTAGTTTTTATGAATAAGGGAGTAAATATATACAACTTATGCCGGCTCAAATTGCTACCGAGGTTTTCCCTAGAGACTACAGTATGGGGTTTTTCAAAATGGGTCTCTTAAAGTTTCTACAGGGTCCGCATCGTGCACGTAATACGAGAGAGTGAAAGCAGAGAGTCTACCATGAAATAGTTACCGAAATTTCGAGGTCGAACGAAATTCAAATTTGATGTTAAAATTATATAATATATACCGTTTAAAAATATTAAAAATGTTAAAATATCGTTCCTTTGGAATGAAGAATGGCAAATGAGTAAACGGCCCACTTGATAGAAAGTGGTAACCGTTGCCTTTAGACATGAGCAGTACCATAGACATAATAGAGTATACTGTTTCACTTAAGATACCCTCCATGCGTTGCCATTACTGAGGACTCAGGTATTATTCCTCTGTACCCTGTAAATTCACTGCCATATCTCACCCTTCAAACTGAAACACAGCGATGCAAACACAACTGATTCACGGTAGAAACACGAATGGGACAGAGGTGCCAAGCAAACGACTTTTATACAGTCTCCCTCTGGTAAATATTTGGGTAAAGCAATATGCCCACCACTGCCCACGATCGCGTAATTATTTTTAATGTATCAAAAAGGGGGGAAAGGGATTATTAGTAATGGAGTCTAACATCTCCATTGCTGGCAATATACCCTATCAGGTACGACCTTCACGCTGTTCCCCCTGGAAACCATCGTGGTTAATTCTTATGTAATTCATCATGATGGGTTGACTGACCTGTTTTCATCTTCGCCTACTTGTGGCCCGTCAACGAATACCTATATAACGCAATCGCAGTTATCATTCCATTCTCATCCATTAAAAAAAAACATGTATTAGAAGTACATAATATTGGTATACCTATGTTACTCTTTTATAAAGATTTGGTTTGAATTGATTCGAAATTTGAAGCAAAATGCACACATCTCAATTTGTAAGATATGCTTACAAATTGAGACATGCACATACGAAAAGTAAATAAATTAAAATAACAGTTTTAATGTAGCGACGGCGTATAAAGCAGTGCACTCAAAACTTTGGCCGAATGCCTGCAAGACTGTATTTAAACGACTTCCTACGGATGCCAGTTAATTACCGTGACATACTGACTCCTACGCTTCACTGCTTTCCTAGTTTAACCAATGAGAGACTTGGTACTAAAGTCGTCGGTTTGGGTGCATCTATCCCACTACTGCTTCCTAGTTTGAAGAGTGGGATATAGTTGTGAAGTATAAAGGCAAGAAGATCCTCAAATAACGCATAAGGACTACAATAGGCATCACAGTATATCCTGTAATGTTAGAGGCAGCGTAAGGCGTAACAATAGGCTTCCTGATTTCCTATTACTGTTTTCTTTTCCCTACTCTAATGGAAATTATAACTGAACCATTTATTGACGTCAAAAAATGTATAAGGCATATTTCCTTCAAATAATGCAAGTGATTTCTACTATAATAAATATAAATATAAATATATATATATATATATATATATATATATATATATACTAAATATATATATACTAAAGATAAACTACATTCATTATCATCATCATCAAATGCTGCTGAATAAAGGCCTCCCCCATAAGGGGCGGTTTGCCAGTAGTTGCCATGCTTGTCGGGTGGGTTGGCAAATGCAGTTAGGCTTTGGTGATGTTTTAAGAGGGACGCTGCTGCTCCTGCCTTGACCATTATGTTCCTTTAGTCGCATCTTATGACACCCACGGGAAATATTACGAACTATATTACATCATTACTATTTAGGTGTTTCTTTTTAAATAAAAAAATAATTAAGTGTGATATCAAGACTTTTTTTTAATCCTTAAGGGCTTTTACCTTCTTCCAAGAACAAAAAATTTATGGAAATTATGAAATTTTCCGCTATTAATAACACATTTTCATACAATAACAAAACCACCTTATATTGTTATATAAACTTAGGTAAATATCCGTTTTGGAGGAAGAAAGTAGGTAGCATCTTTTCAAACAGGCTTGATATAAAAATAGCTAGTATAAATAAAGTTATTTTATTATTGTGAATTTAATATTAATACGACAACAGTGTGTCAGAAAGACGAATAAAATGCGAGAATATAAGGCACAAGGATACAAAACTGTATTCCTTGTTCTCAGGATAAATTAGTTTGTCCGTAGTAATTTGTATTTCCTCGAAACTCATTAGGTCCTGGTACTTGTAGTTGGTAGAGGTAGTAGTTTGAGTCGTTTTTAGTGAAGAAATCCGCGCCGAGAATGCTTTTTGAACTTGTTTGCCAAGTTAATTAAATAAAATAACTAATTCTGCATCCTTTTAGCATAATTTGTTAAACTTACATAATGTCTATCTGAAAATACAATTCCATTCATATCAGTTCAGCCATTTAGCCATGATTGAGCAACTAACAAAGATCCTTACCAAATTTTATACTTTATATTATAATTACTAAGAATTATTAAGATAGGATATGGAAAGGATATGGTTAAATAATCTATACCTATAGATTTTATATTTTATTTATGTAATGTAATACATGAAAAGTAATTATATATAATAACTTTTCATGTACTAGATTTTAGAAATAAAATTAAATTTATCACTTAAAATATAAGATCCACCAGATTTTAAGTTAAATTTTCAAGAATAAAACTGTGGAAACTGCACCTAATTTGGTGCAGTAGTTTTTTCACACAGACAGACACATAGATAGACAGACAGACAGCCAGACAGTCAAACAATATTTCTAAAAATTATTGCTCTTGTTAAGACCCCTTAAATCGATTTTTCTTAAATATCTCCGATGTCTTGTTAGAATTTTATTATAGAAGATTTCAGTTACAATAACCGCTTCCAATATCAATGTAATGTAGTAGACGAGGTAACAACTCTGTTGGCACTTCGATGCATAATATCGGCTCGGAAAATTCTTACGTAAACTCCTGTGGTAAACTCGATACGAGTATGTGTTATGATTACGATAGTGATGTTATATTTATCGATATTTGAATATCGAGGATTTTTAAAAGGTTTTTTTTGTATGCAATTTAGAACGGCAAACAAGCTGACGGTCCACCTAATGGAAAGTGGTAACCAACGGTTATAGATATGAAAGGTATTATAGACTTAACAGAGTATATTGTGTTGCTCATGATGTCCTTCATGTGTTGCTAAAACTAAGGTGTTATGTGTTAAGAGGACGCCTCTGTACTTTGTAAATTCATCGCCATATACCACCCTTCAAACAGAAATACAGCTATGCACTTTATTACGGTAGAAACACGAATGAGGTAGAAGTACGCAAGTAATTTTTAATGAATATGTTCTAACTATTGAGGACAGAAGGGGAAAAATGTTGGGACACTTGATACGACACGACGAACTTATGAACATTATAATAGAAGGTAAGATAGAAGGAAGGAGGGGGAGAGGGAGACCGAGACATAGTTACATCAGGCAGATCAAGGAAGGAGTTGGTGTCGTGTCGTATCAAGAGATGAAGAGACTCGCTGAAAATCGTAGTGAGTGGCAAGAGCTCCACCGAAAAGACCGCAGCTCTTAAATAGATAGATGTCCTAAAAAAAATTTATTTAGTTAATAAAATTTTTGTAAATGTTAAAATAAAGAAAACCTATTTTATTATTTGACCGTGATAAAAAGAAATAATAAATATCATAGTTTACCATAAGCAATAGATAACGTCTTTTTTTTTTAAATAAGAAGATCAGTTGGACTTTTTACAAAAAAAAAAAAAACAAAAACAAACAAGAGACATCTGGCGTCTCAACCTAGAATATCCAGACCTGAGCCAATTTATATGAGTATGTTTTATGAATTGAACTGGCTGAAATAAAACTGCTAACCTCATTTACGCGAAAGCTTTTACTCTACAGGAGTCTT